CCCCAAAGGGAAAAAAAATCTTGTGGCCGCCCGCCCGCCGCCGCTGATACCAGAGCCCAGCGCCGGAGCCAGAGCCAGGGAACAGATAAAACTTGTCGCCCCCAGAATTTCCCTCCCCCTTCTCCCGTCGCTCCTGCAACCTCCTCCGTCCTCCCTTCACTTTCTCCCTCATCTCCATCTTTTGGTCGTCCTCCTCCAAGGCGAACCGTTCCTGTCCTGTTCTTCGTCGCCGCGTTGTTCCTTGGATCCTCCTCCACCGAACAGCCCCGCCTCGCCGATACAGATTTTCTCTCACACACAAAAAAGCCGCGATAGAGCAGAGCCGACCCCTCCATCGTCTCTGTGGGCTTTTCGTCACGATAGACAAGACTCCGACATAGATCTCGATAGACGTTGGGTCTTTTTTTGATTTTTACTCTCTCCCGTCGACTTCTCACGACTAATACCCGACCACACACCCGCCAACATGCCTTCCGAGAACGCTCAGTCCGTCAAGGTCCTTGACGAGCTCTTCCAGAAGCTCACCGTCTCCAAGGAGGCGGCCGAGATCAAGGAGTCCTCCAACGAGCTCGCCAGCTTCATCAACGGCCGCATTGAGGACCAGGATGTCCCCAACAAGTGAGTGTTTCTGCCCCTTGCTTCTGCTGCCCGCCGCCGTCGTCGTTGTCTGCACCACTGCGCTACGCACAAAGGAGCCGCTGTGGCCAAAAAACTTTTTTTTCGGGACCAGCGAGCCGCACACACCCCGCCTTCCCAACTGGTCGCTGCCGCAGCCGCTGCCGCCACCGCACCGGCACCCCGAAATAAACCCCGCCAATGAGCCTCCCGCCAGCGCTGTCCACCGCCTGTGCGTCAGGGGGCGATTGGCGCTCAGGCCAGGTTGCATGCAGCGCATCGTGGGCCCTGCAGTGACAAAGACAACGGATGGCGGCAGATTTTCGTTGCATTTCTGCAGGACGCTAACCAACATTTTTTTTTTTGGCAGGACCATTGAGAGCCTGAAGAAGCAGCTCGCCAACAAGAAGGATGCGCTCGCCCGCGAGAAGGCCTGCATGGCCGTCGAGGCCATCGCCTCTCACGCCGAGGTCTCCGCCTCCGTCGAGCCTTACCTCGTCGTCCTCCTGCCCGCCCTCCTGGCTGCCGTTGGCGACAAGATCACCGCCGTCAAGAATGCCGCCAGCGCTGCCGTCATCGCCATTGCTGGCGCCATCAGCGGCAACGCCGCCAAGGCTGCCCTCCCCGCCATCATGGACTCCCTCCGCAACGCCCAGAAGTGGCCCGAGAAGATGACTGCCCTCGACTTCATCGATGCTCTCGTCAAGACTGCCCCCGCTCAGCTGGCTTTCCGCGTCCCTGAGCTGATCCCCGTCGTCTCCGAGTCCATGTGGGACACCAAGAAGGAGGTCAAGGAGCGCGCCTACAAGACCATGGAGCAGATCTGCCAGTTGATCGTCAACAGGGATATCGAGCGCTTCATCCCTGAGCTCATCAAGTGTATCGCCAAGCCTGAGAACGTCCCCGAGACCGTTCACCTGCTCGGTGCCACCACCTTCGTTACCGAGGTCCAGGAGCCCACCCTGGCCCTCATGGTTCCCCTGCTGGATCGTGGTCTGGCCGAGCGCGAGACCGCCATCAAGCGTAAGGCCGCCGTCATCGTCGACAACATGTGCAAGCTCGTCGACGACCCCAACATCGTCGCTCCCTTCTTGCCCAAGATGATGCCGGGTCTCCAGAAGAACTACGACAACTTGGCTGATCCCGAGGCCCGTGAGAAGACCAAGCAGGCCCTCGACACCCTGACTCGCGTCGGCAACGTTGTGGACGGCAAGATCCCCGAGGCCCGCAACGACGGTGACCTCAACATCGTCCTCGGCAAGCTCAAGGATGTCCTGACCCCCAAGTACGGCAACTACCTCGAGAAGATGGGCCCCGTCGCCGACTACATTGCTGCCATTGCTGGTCAGCTCGTCGACGAGAAGGAGAGCGAGCCCGTCATCTGGGTCGAGAACCTGAAGCCTTACGTTGCCGTCATCACCGGCATCGACAACTCCGAGGTTGTCATCGACACCCTCCGCAAGCGCGCTGTCCCCGGCGCCGCCGAGGAGGAGGAGCAGGAGGCCGACGAGGAGGAGGGTGAGGATCTCTGCAACTGCACCTTCTCCCTTGCCTACGGTGCCAAGATCCTGCTCAACCAGACTCACCTCCGCCTCAAGCGTGGTCAGCGCTATGGTCTCTGCGGTCCCAACGGTTCCGGCAAGTCCACTCTGATGCGTGCCATCAACAACGAGCAGGTCGAGGGCTTCCCCAAGCAGAGCGAGGTCAAGACCGTCTTCGTCGAGCACGACCTTGACTCTGCCGACACTGAGATGACCACCATCGACTGGACCATGAAGAAGCTCAAGGAGGCTGGCGTCACGACCACCCAGGAGGATGTCGAGAAGCAGCTCAACGAGTTCGGCTTCACCGACGGCATGGTTAAGGGCGAGATCTCTGCCCTCTCCGGTGGTTGGAAGATGAAGCTGGCCCTGTGCCGTGCCGTCTTCGAGGCTCCCGATATCCTGCTTCTCGACGAGCCCACCAACCACTTGGACGTCAAGAACGTCAAGTGGCTCGAGGAGTACCTCATTAACTCCCCCTGCACGTCCATCATCGTCTCCCACGACTCGGGCTTCCTCGACAATGTCTGCCAGCATATCGTCCACTACGAGCGCTTCAAGCTCAAGCGCTACCGTGGTAACCTGGCCGAGTTCGTCAAGCGTGTCCCCTCGGCCAAGTCCTACTACGAGCTTGGTGCCTCCGAGATGGAGTTCACCTTCCCTGAGCCCGGTTTCCTCGAGGGTGTCAAGACCAAGGCCAAGGCCATCCTGCGTGCCACCAAGATGTCCTTCCAGTACCCCGGTACCTCGAAGCCCCAGATCCAGGACATTACCTTCCAGTGCTCTCTCGGCTCCCGTATTGCCGTCATTGGCCCCAACGGTGCCGGCAAGTCGACCCTGATCAACGTCCTGACCGGTGAGCTCATCCCCACCGAGGGTGAGATCTACCAGCACGAGAACATCCGTATCGCCTACATCAAGCAGCACGCTTTCGCCCACATTGATAACCACCTGGACTCGACTCCTTCCGAGTACATCCAGTGGCGATTCCAGACTGGCGAGGATCGCGAGACCATGGACCGTGCCAACAAGGTCATCACCGAGGCCGACGAGAAGGCCATGGACAAGATCTTCAAGATCGAGGGCACCCAGCGCCGCGTCATCGGCATCAACTCCCGCAGAAAGTTCAAGAACAGCTACGAGTACGAGTGCTCGTTCGCTCTGGGTGAGAACGTTGGCATGAAGGGCGAGCGCTGGACGCCCATGATGACGGCCGACAACGTCTGGCTGCCCCGCAACGAGCTCCTGGCTTCTCACCAGAAGATGGTTGCCGATGTGGACATGAAGGAGGCCCTGGCCTCTGGTCAGTTCCGCCCTCTGGTCCGCAAGGAGATTGAGGCCCACTGCGCCAACTTCGGCCTCGACGCCGAGCTGGTCTCTCACTCCCGCATGCGCGGTCTGTCTGGTGGCCAGCGTGTCAAGACCGTCCTGGCTGCTTGCTCGTGGCAGCGCCCCCATCTTATCGTCCTTGACGAGCCCACCAACTACCTGGACCGTGACTCCCTGGGTGCGCTGTCCAAGGCCCTCAAGAAGTTCGAGGGTGGTGTCATCATCATTACCCACTCCGCCGAGTTCACCAAGGACCTGACTGAGGAGGTCTGGGCCGTCATGGACGGCAAGATGACGCCCTCTGGCCACAACTGGGTGTCCGGCCAGGGCTCTGGTCCCCGCCTCAAGGCTGGTGACGACGACGAGGAGGACAAGTTCGACGCTATGGGCAACAAGATTGTCACCACCAAGAAGAAGGCCAAGCTGACCTCGTCCGAGGCCCGTAAGAAGAAGAAGGGTAAGCTACCACACCTATCTATCATTGAGTATGAAGCATGAAGCTAACGGAGTTTTTCTTTACAGAGCGCATGGCTCGCCGCAAGCGTGGTGAGGAGGTCTTCAGCGATGAGGACGAATAAGCGATTCGCACCGACCGCGCGGCGCTGCATTGTGACGAGCGTTGTCTTTTTCTCTTACGACAATACCATGTTCTAATTTTCTTTTGTCATGTCATGCGCGGGAAGGAAAAGAACAAAAGTTGTGATGGGTTCTGGGAATGGGTTTGACGACTAGGCCACGCCGGAGCGGGCCTTCCATTAGATGATATTGCCATCTGTTGGCCCTTTACTAGATGTTGCCGCCCGCGGAAACCTTTGGGGGCCCCGGCTTGGTTGGGATTGGAGGACCCTGATTGTGCTGAGGCTGCCTGGGCCGCGGGTCGGAGGATGATAGACGGTAGAAGTTGAATTTCTAGATCATCTGTCACGCTGGCGTCTCTGTTGAGTGAAAGTGATGAGATGTACATGGAGGGACATGCCACGTCTGTCCTGTTCCCCATGTGCATGTGAGTACACAATGTCCTGCATGTCCCCAAACGAAACACAATGTAACGTAAATGAAAGCCCAGAGTAGCAACTAACCACTAGACAAGCGAGCACGGAGAATGCGATGCAACCCACCACTGACGCATACGGTAGACTAACACACGACCGAGGTCTAAGACTCAAGACCCGGGCAGCCGGGATGCGCCCGCGCCTCGCACCAGGACATCGCAAGCGAAGCATCACGGGCGCGAACATCCCGAACCGAGTCCGCCGCGCCGCCGAGTCGGCGAAGTCACGGCGATGGCTGGCTTCGGAGCATGCAGTGAAAGGAGGTTGCCCTTTATCGTCGTCCGTGAACGACTTACATGCCCGGCCCGTGCCAGGGACCCCCCCTCCCCCCCATGCCCTGTTATCACAAGTCCAGACCCGGTCCCTTGCGATACAGGACGGTGGCACGGGGTACGGAGTATCGGAAAGTCGGGAATATACAGCACGACGGAGATCCTAGAGGCAGATAAGAACGTGATCTGAGAGGTGGTGGTTCGGAGGAGGAGGAGGTTCGGAGGTCGTTGCCGGTCAGGTGACCGGTGAGACTCGGGCTCGCGGTCGGCGAGACGGTGTGCTTTCCCCGTGGGGTTGGCGGGCGGCGCCTCCCCGTTTCAAGGACGGCAGACCATTGCTATCAACATGGAATGCACGCACCGACTTCTCCGTGGTGTCCGTGACGCGACGTGCAATCTCGGAGGGCGGCAATGGGCGGGGGTCGACGAGACCAAAGTACACGATACTTTCCCCCCGAGGGGCCGGGTGCACACACGGCTTTTGCCTGCTACGCCGTCTCTGTGAGCGTGAGCCAGGCGGATGCAGACCACCTTCCTCCCCTTGTCCGTGCTTTTCGTCGTTCTCCCGTGGAGCGTGCTTTGCACTGAGAGTACCCACGAAGTACACTTCCATGTTGTGGCGTTTCCATGTTGTTGCGTTGATGGTTTCCACTGAGCTGTCTCTCAATCGCCCAATTCCGCTCCAACACCAGGCCCGGTCCCTCTTCCTCCTCCTCTCCCTCCTCCACATCGACCGGGAACGAGACGGGGATCTACGAATGAGGCGTCCCTCACCCGTCCCGTCCGGGACACCAGCTGACAAGCGCATCGACCGGGCCCTCGCATGCGCCAGCCACGCATGGCGAGTCGCCGACGCCGGGGGGCGCGCTGACACAAGCTGAATCCGTCCAGTGCAGTAACACAGGGAGGGCACTTGGACATGCTCTCCTCCTCATCAACTTGATGACCGTTCCCATGCCTCCGGTCGCCCTCGCTTGATCCCCCCTAGCTTGTCTCCATGCGCATACTGCAGGGAACCGACAACGCGGAGCGCTTGGGCTCGGGTTGTGGTACCCGTGCGTGGCATGCGTGCGACGGTGATGCAGCAAACTAGTATGTAAGCCTCCAGCTGGGCGTCTGCGCGGCTTCACGGGCGGATGGGGGAAGGGGGGCGCGGGACGGGAGGGAGTGCGCCTTTCGTAATGCGGGGAGCAAGGTAGCTCGAGACGGGAGACGGGAGGGGGGGCGTGTGCAGCGTGCTGGCGTTTCATTCAGGATGGACGACGGTCCCAGCCCGGGGGGAGGCTCCGGCGTCACTGTCTTTTCTATCCCCGTACGTGCATAGTATGTACATGCGAGTGTATACGCAACTAGGTTGTCCGAGCAGGATGACGACGGCGTACCTGTTCACGACACAGGCCTTGGACGACGCGTGTAAAGAGGCTGACTTTAAGCAAATGATGGATGTCCCAGGTAGGGAGATGGTACGGACGGCCAACTCCAAGTGTACTTGTCAAGGAGCGGCCTGAACTTTTCTCCTGTTGTATCGTCGTTGTCTTCGTTGCCGTCGTCGTCATCGTGCGCAGCCAGTGCCGCAACCAGTATCACAGATGCTGCCCTCCCACGTCCCAAATGTGACCCTCTCTCTTCCTCTCTCCGGTCTTTTGACCGCTCCCCGACATGTCTCAACAAGACGCCTCCCGCCTGAGACCCCGACGCCACATTTCGCCTCTCACCACCCCTCCAGCCCTCCTCCCCGCGGACCAACAATGGCTTGCCTATAACCAATGCCCAGTGACAAAGCGTCTTCCTTTGCCTCCCTCCCAGCCTGTACGGTACAGTACAGCTTACAGCAGCCGGCATCTGCGTTCTTTCAGATACGTACGTAAAACCGGGAGGCGCCCCTCCACCCTCTCCTCGAACTCGGCTCGTCGGAGTTCACCCCGTCCGGGCGGGCTGTTCTAGGCACGCGAGGGAACTCGTCTCTGTCGTCGATGAAGGTGTCGAACCCCGGGACTTCTCCGAGGGTCCATGTTCATGTCCCTGTCCCAGCCCGGCGGCACGCGCACAAACCACTGTACCCCGACTTTCGCTCGGGCACCCGCTGCGGCCCGTTCTGGAGACATTTGTCTCGCGATACAACGTCGGGCGAGCAGGGCGGGCAGTGCTGCCTCCAGTTTCAACGGTGTGTCCGTGTATTGCTGGCAGACCAGATGGACACTGCCGAGAATCATCAGAGGACGACAGCGAGATAGAGTGCAATCACATGTGGATATTCGAAGTATTCAAAATGTTCAAGTTCATATTCTCATGCCACTTGGGGTATATAACATTGCCTGGGCAAATAATCCCAGGCTTGGCTCCCGCTTGGTCGCGTCTATCCGGCTCTTGGCCGGGACACAAGACCTCCATTCACAAGCCACAGTCCATGCATGTACGTAATGTCACCGTACCCAAATCACAGCGGCGCACGAATTTACAAACACTGCCGCGCCAACAATGGAGCGACAGAGCGCCCAACATGTCGCATGTCGCATGCCGCTCCGCGCCAGCCCCGCCAAACCTTACATGACCTGCTCGTCCGGATTTCTCTTCTTGCGGCCAATGCCCACGAGGCGGAGCATCTCCTCCCAGAAGCCCGAAGGCTTCTGCGTGAACGTCGCCTCGTACCGGTCGATGGTGGGGCGTTGCCACACGAGGTCGGCCTCGAGAGGCTTGACAAACTTGGTCTTCTTCAGCAGCTTCCATCCGATAAAGAGAATCGGGGCGAGAATCTGCATCGTGTAGTGACGGAAGAAGCCGTCAACGCTCCACGGCGTGAAGGCTCCGTAGCCATAGAAGATGACGACCAGAGTCTGGATGAAGAGCGCGACGTAGGCGCAGTAGGGCTGGCCCCATCCGTAGTAAGGCAGCGACTTGCGGTCGATGCCCTGTGCCTGGCAGGCGCGGTAGTAGAAGATGAAGGTCACCGACATGACGAGGTAGTCGATGATGCCACCGGCAGTGATGAGGCTGACCAGCCAGTCGAGAACCTTGGCGGAACCGTTGCCGACCTGCAGGAATGACAGGAACGGGAAGCACATGACGACAAGGAAGCAATAGATGGGCACGCCATTGCTCCAGCACTTGCGCAGGACGGCCGGCGCGCGACCCTCCAGAGCCAAGCCGTAGAGCGACCGCGTCGCACAATAGGTGTACGTGTTGCCAGCCGAGAAGATGGATGTGAACATGAGGGCGTTGACAATGTCAGGCAGCACAGAGATACCCATGTTCTGCATGGCAATGACGTAGGGAGAGGCGGCAGCGTTGTCGGCCGACGCGTTGCCGTTCAGGATATCCTGGAGAATCTTGTTGTTGTAGGGAACGACAATGCCGACGCAAAGGGCGCTGCCGAAGAAGAAGATGCCAAATCGCCAGTAAATGGTCTTGAAGGCAGCCTTGATGTAGATTCGGGGCCGCTTGGCTTCAGCAGCCACCATGGAAATGTACTCGGGTCCGACCACGGCAAATGCGGCGTTCCACAGAGCGCCGAGGAAGCCCTCGAACCGGCCTAGCGAGTGCTTTGTGTGGTATTCGGCAAATGCACCGGGGTGGTTCCAGTAACGGAAACCATATCGGTCGTGATCGGGGTTGCCGCCAAGCATGGTGATAAAGGTGAAGAAGAAGAGCATGAAGATCAGGATGACCTTTCCGCCCGAGAGCCAGAATTCAGCTTCGCCATAGCCACGTACAGCAAGGATGTTGATTGCACTACAAGGCCGAAGAGTAATGTTTAGCATGCGATCTTGTCTTTGTAGGGGAAAGGGGAGTTGAGGGAGGATTGGGAAGGCGACCCGCCATGAATCAAGGACTGGCTAGGAGCACGAGTGGCGCCAGTCCCTCTCCTCAAACCTCAACTTGACAGCACAAGATCTTACGCATAAGCAATGATGACTCCGGCGCAGATGCCAGCGGTCGGACCGGGTTCCTTCATCTTGGGCTCCCAGTACGAGAGGACGAGGTTCAGTGCCGTGATTTCAAAGGGAATGAGCAGCGCCTCGTAGAGGAAGAAGTTCCACCCGGCCATGAAGCCGAAGGCGTCGTCGACCCAGTGGCCAGCCAGGCGGATGAAACCGCCGGACACGGGCATGAGGACGGTCATTTCAGCGATCGAGTTGTTGACACAGGCAAGAACCAGGGGGTAGATGGTGTAGGCCAGGAGCAGACTGCCCGGGCCGCCGAGGGCGAGGCCATTGCCGATACTGACGAACAGCGCGGTGCCAATGGAGCCGCCAATGGCAATGAGCTGAATCTGGCGGTTGTTGAGGCGTCGGTGAAGACCGTCGGCATTGTCGTCCAGATGCGTGCTGACGAGGTCGCCCACCTCTGGGGATCCGGGGATCTTGGACTGCTTTTCCTCGTCGGTGGTCGCCATGTTGGCGGTTGCGGCGCGATTGCCGGGCTCACGCACACGCAGTGTCGGGTTTCAACGGACCAGGGCCCCAAGTTCAAAGGCAGTATTGGGTATCCGGGGCTCGACGGGCCAGCGTCGAGAGGCACAAGCTCGTGCGGTTACACACACGCGAGCGCAATGGTGAGGTGAGGAGAGGTGATGCTCGCAGCAGGAGGGCGAGGTGGTGTAAGTGGAAGGAGACGCCAGTCGCGAGAGCGGAGGCGGGATGGGAAGGAGCAGAAGGGAGGAGGGGAAGGAAGGAAGGACGGATGTAGCAAAGGGAAAAAAGGAAGGAAGAGATCCCAGGAAGGAAGGATGGGTGAGAGGCGTGGGCGACGGGAGTATATACGTCAGTTTGGGAAACAGAGGCGGGAGCGGCTCTCCCACAAGCTGGTCGCCCTGCTGCAACGGAGGCTTGGGCGGGCAGCGCGCAAAGCAGATGGAACAGGCCCGGTCCAAAGTCCATGTTAGCTGGCACCCGGGTGCAGGGGGTACCACAGGACGGTCCGTCATCACTGGACAATACGGATCTTTTGCGGTTCGCCTGCGCTCCGTCGAGAGGGAAAGAGGCGCCAGCCGGGGCCGACACGGTCTGTCCGAAGTGGGGAACAGCTGAGAACTGCAGCGCTACTCGACGGTACATTGTACTTGGTACTTGGCTCGTTCCCACGGCCGGCTGCGCTGGGGGGGGGGCCGCAGGGGGCGCACAGTGGCCGGCGGGCGGGCTTGGCAGGCTGGCTGCGGTGCGTTTAGCCTCGAGAGGTGCGAATTGCGGGCCTGCTGGGCGCCTGTCCCTGCCGTCACTGCCCTGCTTCGCCAGCTGCCAGGTGCAGGTTCCAGGCTGCTGCCAGCGCAGTTCCGGCTGTCGTTTTGTCGCGCACCCACGCACCACCCACACCAAGCCGGAGGGTGCGCTAACGCGACGCTAACGACACCATGTACCGGCGCGGTACTGCTGTGTGCTGCTGAGGTCTCTCTGGTGCAGGCCTCCTGCGCTCCTGCCCTCCATCTCCCCGCGAAAGCGAGCAGGATCAACGCCCGTCGCAGGGATGGTTACGCTTTGGCGCTGCTTTGCTGACGGGTTAGGCCTGCGCACCTCGTGCTCCTCGCACAGCAATTCAATTCAGCTGTCGCGCCGCCAAGCAAGACGGGCGAGGCGAGCGGGCAGGGCAGCCTGGCGCAGCGGGATGTTGACCGGGTCCGCGCGCTGGGCTCGTTCCGGCCGCCTCGACGACACTGGCACCGCACACTGCATGCGGCGGCGGCGGCCCGCCCACCACTGCCCGACCGACCGGTAGCGTCTCGCCGGCGGTAACTTTGGCCACGACGCCTGCCACGCATCGGAGACGCCCTATCTCCAAAGCAAGCAAGACAGACATGGCGGCTGTGGCGAAGTCGGGGAACCAACGCCTGCGACGCAGATGCCAAATGCGCACAAAGAAGTTTTTACCTTGACTCGACTTGACCGGGTGTCAGGCCAGATCAATGCAAGTACCAGGACTTGCCGGCCTTGGTGTTGTCCAGTGTGGAGCGTGCGCCACGGCCAACCACTGGGCCGGCATTCGCCCCGCCAGCTCGCTGGGGTGGGTGTCGCTGCGTGAGATGTAACGACGGGCCTCACGTAAGGTAGGGCAGCAACTTGATTTGACTGATCGCTGTTGCCGCCGCCGAGGTTCTGGAAGCCCGACTCGACTTCTTTTGCGTTTTTTGACTTCCGGCGAACATGCCGCCACGGCTCACTGAAACCTGCAACCGCATCTCCGCCACCGCCCCAAAGCCCGACTCGACAGCGATTGACAACGACGGCCATTGGTGACGACAGCGAGGGCGAGGCTGGTACTTCCACGGACCCATCTCTGCGCCGGGCCTCGTTGACCCCATGGGCCACGTCCCACATGCACCACGAGCCCGTCTGCAGATGGTTTGTACGTACAGCGCTACAGGGAGGGTATCCACGTACGAGGACTCGACGAGTAGCACTCGTATCTCGACAGTACCTCCCTACCTACTCTACCGTGGCTGCACGTGCAAACGACCGCGCGAGAGACGGCTGATATACTGGGCGCAGGCGAACAGGCGAACAGGCGAATCTTGGCTGGTGCGCTTCTCCCACCGCAGCAGCCCCCTGTTGCAGCGGCCTGCTGCCTCTCGGGTACACCCGACAGACGGGACGAGCCAGCGACGCACGACCGCGAATCACCGTCCCAAACGGCAACGCTGTCGGGCATCTGGCACGGGTGTGCGACCGCCATGCGCTGCTGCTGACGGGCTGGGGTTTCGCGACGGGCGCGCCAGGGCCCTGGGGGCCTGGGCATGGGATCTGCGTCGGGATACATGGGCGATACATGGTCATTGATCGAACCCAGTAAACCGCACGAGTACATTTCACCTGCAGCCTCGCGACGCCCGCTTCCACCGCTCCAGAGCTGGCCGGGGTCTGCGACGTGCGGGCCACAGACGCTATCGCTGCGCAAACGCTAACCTACTCCCTGCAGCGACTGCCACGGCGCAGGCGGGCTGCTCACGCGCATTACGCAATGACGCATGTGCCCAGGTTGCCCTTTATTGCCCGGAGGAGGCTTGTCCAGCGGAGGCGTGCCCAGGTGGGTTCGTCGAACAAGCGTGGTGGGTGGGCTGGCATCCCGCCACCATCTTGCTTGCATCGAGTCTGCCATCTCCCATCTGCGATGGCATGTTTCCCCCCTCCGCGGGTCGCGCCCCAGTCGCCCAAGGCAAAAGCGGCATGGCTCCGTCGCCGCCCTGCGGCCGCGCAGCAGCCGCAGCAAAAGTCGTGCAACCCGAACAGGCTGCAGTTTTTCACGTCCCATCCGTCCAGCCATCCACCCATCCATCTCGCTGATACTCGCCAATGCCCAGTTTTGCGGGTCATCTTCTCTCTCCATGGTCCCTGGAAATTTGGCCATTCTGGGCCCGTCTCTGGCTGCTGTTCCGTGCGCCCTCTGCTCGCTGCAGTGTCGTGGACCCGGGGGGGCAAGGGGGCAACCAAACTACCTCCATCAACACCTCTCTGAGGGCTTGGCCCCGGCATATTCCCGAGGCCCCGAGCCGCCGGAGGAGGCAACTCCGGGCCAGTTCAACAATCAAATCATTTGAAACGGAGCAGCCGAGCACGGGACAGAAACGGACTCGAACCAGAAACCAACTTCCACGAACCCTCGAGCACAGCCTTCACCGTCAACCAACATCGCCCACCCCTTTACACTGATGGAGCCGCGCAGCGATAGCAGCCGTGGTATCTCGCCAGGTCGGGTTGAACTCCCATGTTCCCCCGACACCTTGCATCCTACTCCCTGTTCCTTGTTCCTTGCCAGGGCAAAGAAACACAAAGATAGTGCCGATTTCTCCAGAACCCTGATTCCCCACGCCAGAGACCCTTCTCTGACCACGAAACGGAGGACCGTTCGGTGAAACGGAACCCGCCGTATTGGCCGTCCAGCGCGCTCAAAGGCAGTCCAGTAATGACAGTCCCCGGTCAAACCCAGCCAGGGAGTGCAAAAAGCGGCATCGCTGTCAGGAACCGGGTCCCCGCGACTCTGACGTCACTGGCGCCACAACCATGACCGGTCGCGCTTCTGGCTCCCACAATTGGCTGCGCAGTGCCCGCTCCACGCAGTCTAATGCTGGCGGTCCAGGGCAAATGGGCAATTCGGACTTGCGCCAACACCAGAGTCTGGCGGGGCCAAGGTCGTGCAGCATGTCGAGGCTTCTTGGTACCGACTGACGGCCTTGGTCGACTTTGGCGGCACTCGACCCACGCCAAGGAGCCGCGCTATCAATATTGCATCTCGAACACGAACATGAGCCTGGGCCAACCGGCGACGATGACGACGAACCGGCGGGGAGCGAGCTGTCAAACCGACAGATGGCGCCTTCTCCCGTGGTCCTTCATGGGGTCCCAGCCGACACGGGCTGCAACACGCGGGACCAGCCGGTGTTGAGCCAGCGAAGGCGTCGCGGAGGCTGCTGATGTCACGACACATGGCCTTGACATGTGGACGTCATTCCTTCACGATGTAGATAGGTCCAAGGGCCCGTGCTAACGCCCACGATATCGAGACCCTCACGATGCCGTTTCGAAAGCAGGCACGGGCCACAAAGCGGTCCCATACATAGCGGCCTCTTCTTGACTGAATGAGGTCGCGATACGTTGGGCAATGCCAACCACACGCGACGTGATTCGACGTTGGCAGCGATGACTTGCAGCGCCGGGGAGATGCAAGATGTCGTACCTGCGAGTAAGGTTTCGCCCAGCCGGGCAGGCGTCGAGGCTAGCCGGTGCCGCCTTGGCAAGCTGGCGGGTTTGCGAGCAAGCTTTGACACCGAGTCGAGATATCAGGCGACACGGACGACAAGTACAAGACTGTACGGCGCGGCGCGGCGCCTCTTGACAGGGGCGGCAAGACTTGTTATGGCGAAACACGATGGCGTCCGGCTGTCGCGCCGTCATCCTGGACCACCTTGTCACTGCCCAATCTCTTGCTGTCGTCGAGACTGTGGACCCTGGTATCGTATTTTACTGTACTAACTGAGTATTCCAGGGGACTGCGGGAAAAGGACGAGTTGAAAAAAGCCCGCGACGCTTGCCAAAGCCGTGGTTTGGATTGGCTGCACGCCCGCTTACTGCAGGTTGGCAGTAGTTCTGCTTCGCGGTGGACTAGCCGGCCAGGGGCGAGGCCGCCGAAGCCTCGGAACGGGACAGAGGTCGCGTGACATTGATTGTCCGTGGCATCTGCCCTTGGCCTTCCTCTCCGTCCGGCTGGTGTAGTATGTACGTCTCCGTTACATGCCTGCGATGACCCGAACGGCTCGCTAGCCCCAAAGCTAGAGTCTTGGGCGCAGTCTTCACCGTCCCGCCGGCGAAGCAGACGGTTTGCGTCGGTGCCGGCGCGCGAGTCGAGTCGAGTCGGTGGCTGTTCTGTGACGCTCTGTTACTGGCGTACAGTGTGGACGGCGCCTTGCGACGGAGCAAATGTGGGCGCCGCCGGGCAAACACAGTGGGGCTCCGAGGACGAAGACTTTTCTCGCACTAACAGGCTGTGATCAGCGGCAATAAAGAACGTAGGCCGAAAGAGAAACCCTTGCCACGAGCCGTCCGTCTCGAGACGTCTCACTGGCTCTGCGTCCTCGGTGTGCCCCATCCGCACACTCGAGTACCTCCGTACTTGTACTGGACTCCGTAAGCATATCCAGTAGCGTGCTTTGTCGTGGTGGTTGGATTATTAGGGGGATGAGATGGATGGTGACACACGCCACGGCCCCGTCGCAACGAGGGAAAAAAAAGGATGGGCAAGATTTTTTGCCCGCCTGCTGCGCTGCTTAGCACACAGCCGGCTGTGCGGAAATTACTTACGGAGGCACGGGTGGGAAGGCGGTCTGTAAGGCTTGGCGAAACGGACTGTCCTGGATGTCCATCGCTCTGCTCCCACCGTTGGGCGAGGGCAGGGCAGCCGTGGCGGTTGTCGTGGCTGGGTGACGACGGTCAAAACGGAACCGACCAAACGGCACGGCACTGTCACCACGGTACGGCACTGGGTCGAAAAGAAACGGCGGGACAGCCAAGACCTCGGACTGGCATGGCATGGCATGGATTGGACCGACATGACATGGGCTCTGAGCGGCAGTAACTGCAACTGTACGCGTTCAGACACAGATCGATGAGCGCGGCATGGCTAGCCTCGCAAGCCTCGTTTCCTTGCGGGCGGGTGATTGCCAGAGGCAAAGCTTGTCTGCGTGAATTCCAAGGGTCGAGGCCGCCGACAAGGGTTCTCTCCGGACAGTACTTGTACTCGTACATCCGGGCCAAGGGTCGGATAATGAGGCCTGTCCAGAGGCAGACCCGGGCCCAGGACCCTGCATGCCCACTCGTACATCTGTGACCTGGGAGGCAGGGCGTCGTCACTGCCGCATACCGGGTAGCCAAGTTTTGGCAGCAGGCCAGGAAATTCGCGGACGTCACTCCCTACCACGACGGGTATCTGCCACATGCCTGCCCTGCGCTTCTCCCTGTCGCACGAGACGCGCTTGGTAGAATCAACTGCCCGGATCCCGTCTGCCGGGATTATCTCACGTGGTTGGGCGCGCGATCCTCAGCGGTAGTTACCATGCATGTAACCCGGCCGAAAACAGTCGTCATCTTTTTTTGTGCTCTGATAATACCTAGTAATTGTGACCCTGGACCATTATGCATGCAAGGCTGTTAGGATGGTGCTGCTCTACTTCGTACACAACTTTTTTTTACTACCCCTCCAAATTCTGCCCCACCCCCACCATCGTCGAAACTCGTCGCAACGCATCGCATCGCATCGTCCAACGCCGCCGCCGACCAACTTCTTTCTCCAGGTCGCGCCCAGGTAATTGACACAAACCTGACCTGCCAGCCGATCGAGCGTCCGAGGCTGCGGCATTCGGCATATTTGTATCACACAACTTGCAGCTTCTGTCTATACCACAGCCGCGAGCGCGCGACAGAGGCAGCTTGCGCAGCCTCAAAATCCTTCAGCGTCGAGACCAGCGCGCGCCTCGCTCGCCGGGAGGAACCGACGAAAAGCTGCGCTGCCTTGCCGCCCGAGACGCCCGTCATGGATGTCACAGCCGACCGCGGCACGGGCTCCGAAGCGCGCGCCGATCAGGCCGACAACTCCACGGCGCTGTATACCCCCGAGAGCCACGGCGATGCGGTGCGCGCCCTGGCGGTGCTGTCTGACGGAGGCGTCGCCGGGAAGCTGATAGAGAGCCTCGTTTCGCGCCTGGCGACGACGTCAACTCCCGAACCTGCTCCTGCAGCTCCCGCCGCGGAGACTGCAGCTGTCGGTCTTACTGCGCTGGATGCCTTTCTCCAGGCGAACGTCACAGGCCCAGTGCTGCCCGCCGAGGGCATCGCGTCTCTCGAAAGCCGGTTCGCCAAAGCCTGGGAATCCACATCGAAGAACTCTCCCACCAAGGCGTCTTTAACGGCCCTCCAGCAGCTCCAGAGAGCATGCCTGACGCACCTCGAAGTCGACGGCGTGGCTCCCTACGCCCACATCCCACACCTCGAGCTTTTCGCGCTGGCAAGACATGTATTCGTCGAGGCGCTGGCCGGCGAGGACCAGCAAACTCTGGAGATTACGTCGCCGTACTCGGACAAATCGAGCAGATACAGCCTAGGCTGGTTGAAGATGCGCGTCAACGTCTGGCACTACAAGCTGCTCACGCAGCCTAGCCTCGGCCCTGGCTCCAACTTCGCCAAGAGCTCCCAGTGGAGCGACGTCCCGACGCTCGCCTCTGAAATTCTCGACTCCATGGACGCTTTACTCGCTCAGATTACCGGCGAGGAGGTGTGGTCGACCGCCGAGTCGTGGGGCCGCGGAGACAAGGCACAGTTCCTCGTCGAGGCCGCCAACAACTACATCCTCCTCGGCCGATACGAAAAGGCAAAGGAGACGCTTCAGCAGGCGGCCCACGCCAGCGGCTTGACGTATGCCCTATCGGGAGCGCTCGGCAAGAGGACGAGGTTCCAGGAGAACAGCACAAGTCAGCTGGTCGTTCTTGCGCGCAGCCGCCGCGAGGGCGAGGAGACTACGGGGGAGGACGTCGAAGAGGAGGATGTCAAGCCTGAAGCATTGAAGCTCAACAATGACACGCTCCTGGAGGAAATTCACTTTACCAAAGAAAACAACGGCCACGAGGCCAAGCCCAAGGACCTTCCGGCTTCGCTGGCCGACCTCTCTCCCGATGACCAGCCGCAGCTCTCGCCGCTCGACCAAATCATTCTTCTCACGGAGGCGACGCTCAAAGACGCCTTCTCCCCCGCTGACACGCTGACCTCGGAAGAGATCCTCCCCTTCGCCGTCCGTGTACTGGCCGACAAGTCGACCAACTGGCAGATTTACACGCAGGCGCTCCTCGTGCGGTCAAGGATAGAAGTCCACAGGAGCAGGACGGTCGAGCGCGGTGTTCTGCAGCTACAAGCTGTCGCGGATCAGGTCCTCACGGATACATCAGCGCCGCCGAAGCAGGTCGAGGAGCCGGCGAGCGAAAATTCCGAGAACGCCGAAGTGCCGGGTATTCAGGTCACGACGCCCGGACAAGAAGTTGCCCCCGTGAGCTCTCAGCAGCCGACATCGTTCCTACCCGCCCCCAAGGCCGAAGAGTCCGCTCCCGCTCATGTCCGTCTACGCTACATCCACGCGTTGTGCACGCCTCCTCGCTGGCACCTCGAATCCGAGCTGGCGTACGCGTGGGCCGGAGTTGGGTCCCTGGCGTCAGCTCTCGAAATCTTCAAGCGGCTACGGCTGTGGGCTGAGGTAGCGCTATGCCTGGCGAGTGCTGCCGCAGCTGAGGATGAAGACGGCCGTGGGAGTGGCGGCGACGAAAAGGCCAGGGCCATTATACGATGGCGCCTGTTCCACAAGACCGGGGATGACGCTACGTGGTCGTCGGATCCAGACGATGAGGGCGTAGAAGACGTCACCCGCCTCAAAGCCAGCGACTACTCCGGCCCCGAGCGCACTCCTCCTCCGCCCAACGCGCCCCGTCTGTGGTGCATCCTCGGCGACCTCGACGACGACCCGGCGCACTACGAGCGGGCGTGGGACATCTCCAGGCAGCGCTACGCGCGCGCCCAAAAGTCGCTCGGCGAGCACTACCTGCGGCAGAAGGACTGGCAGGCGGCCCGCGCCGCGTACGGGCTCGCCACGTCGGTGAACCGGCTCAGCCCGGACATGTGGAGCCGCCTCGGCGACATCAACCTCCGGCTGGGCAAGTTTGAGGACGCCGCCGAGTCGTACAGCCGGTGCATCGGCAGCGCGACGGACATGTCGGGCGGAGAGGACGCCAAGACGTGGAGCAACCTGGGCAGTTCGCTCTGGAGCCTGTACTGCGAGGTGGTCGCCGCCGAACCCAAAGACTCCGACGACGACAACGACGCGAGGGACGAGGAGGAGGGCAGCGACGGCGAGGCGGTAGACGGCGACGGCGCGGGAGGCAGCAGCAACAAGCGCAAGAAGAGCCCCAGCAAGCTGCTCGCCCAGGCGCTCGCCGCGTACAAAAAGGGCGCGTCCATCGCGCACGACAACTGGCGCATCTGGGACAACGTCCTGACGCTCGCCTCGCGCATCCGCCCGCCGCCCATCCCGGACATGGTCCTCGCCTACAAGCACATCCTGCGCATCCGCAAGTCCGAGGACGCCGTCGACGCCGACGTCCTCGCCGCCCTGCTGCAGGACGTGGTCCTCACCAAAGACGTCGACGCGCCCGGCAGCAGCACCGTCGAGGGCATCTACGAACCCCCGCGCGGCTCCATGGAGCGCCTCGTCGCCCGCCTCGTCGAGGAGGAGGTCGTCCCCATCATCACCCACCGCCCGGAGCTCTGGGCCCTGACGTCCCGCCTGCGCGCCTGGCGCCGCGACTACACAGGCGCGGTCGAGGCCTCGGAGCGGGCCTGGCGCGCCGCCGTCGGGTCTTCCGGCGCGGGCGGCGCGGGCCTCCTTCCCGGTGAGTCCCCCGCCGGCGGCCCGGACTGGACCAGCGACGAGGCCGCCTGGGCCGACGTCGTCAAGCGCACCGACGAGCTGGTCTCGGTGCTCGAGAACTACGGGCCCCGGGCCGAGACCGTGGGCAGCCGCTGGAAGGGCAAGGCGCGCAGCGCGGTGCGCAGCGTCATGGGCCGCGGTAGGGAGACCTGGGAGGGCAGTGACGGGTGGAAGACGCTCGAGGGGCTCATGGAGGGTCTCAAGGCCGGTGCTTGAGAGGGAGAGCAAGGAGGGTTGGAGGAGGTGCGCCACATGATCTAGCGAGCATAGACGAGGTTCTGGATAGACAAAAGGCATCAATGACAAATCACGATTCGAATACATTCGTCACTATTAAGGGACGGGTGCGAGGAGCTCGCTGCCACAGTAGACCACCGCGTCGTCTTTACCAGCACAGATCAAGCAAGACAAAAGGCAAAAGGGGTTTGCCATGCATGCCAGTTCGCTATTCGCAGCTTCGTCGGCTCATCCACGCTGTAGTACAGTACTATACAGGTATCACATACATACATCCATTCATCTCAACACAGAAAGAGACCGCCATGGCGGACCTGTCGAGCCACGTGAGAAAAGCTCCGCCGATCGGTGCAAGACTCCCCGACCCTAGCAATACCTCCAGCCAAGCCGTGGCAAAAGCCATCGTCCTTAGGCACGACACAGTCCTGTGTCCCATGGCATGCATCCTAGAAGACGCCGGCAAGAGACGCACGAGCGCGCGCCAGGTCCAGCAAGCCAAAGCAAAATCACCTATGCCCGACACTCCTTCAACACATCAAAGGACGAGGTGTCCTATTTCTTGCCCTTCTTACGGCTGGGCACGACTTTGAATCCGGCGCCCTGAATGCTGCCGTTTTCGCTCTCCTTGGGCTGGGTGCTGTTGCTCCGCTTGGCAACCTCAGACCAGCCGCCGGCAGAGCTAGGAGACTTGCTGCTGTCCGTGGGAGGCTGCTTCTCCACGACTCCCTTCTGCGCGAGCTTCTTGCGGCGGACGTACTCTTCGGCAAAGTGGCGGCCATCCATGGTCTTGGAGTTGATGTAGACGGCGTCGGCAATGACGCCCGTGTCAAGCGGAAGCGCGTCAAGATCGGCCTGGAAGTCCGAGACTGCTCCACGCGTTAGTCAAAGTTCCTATTGTACACCGCGTGTTCGGGGAGAAACTCACTATCAGTCACGTCGGTGAGGCCGCGGGACAGCTCCCGACGAGTCCACTTGCTAAACTCCTCCATGGCTGCGCTGGCGGGGTCGGTCCTGCCGTTGGTTGGTCCACCAGGAGCAGGCTTCGAAACAGGCTTGCTCACAGGAGCAGGCGCCTTGGCACTGCTGACACTGGCAGACCGCCCCTGAGAGGCCGGTCCCGTAGGAACCTTCACTTTACCGCCGGCACCAACGGTTGCCCATCCGGCTGCAGGGGGCGCAGGCGAGGGGGCACTGGGAACGGGACTCTGGTTCGGCTTGCCGGCGAGGTTCGCATAGCTCTTCGAGGTGATGGCGGGCGAGCCCGACTGGACAGCGACGTCCCGTGCCTTCTGCTTGCGAACCTCCTCTTCGCGTTGAATCTCGGCCAACGTCTTCTTGCTGGAGGACGAAGGAACAGTGGCAGTGTTGGTAGCAGGGCCCTTCACCGCTCCAGGCTTGACCCAAGGGCTGGTCGCCGAGACAGGGGAGCCGTGGCCCCAAGTGCTGGTGGCCGGCAAACCGGCAGCAGCGGCGGCATGAGCCTGACGTTCCTTTTCGCGTACGAGAGCGGCCTCCTGCTCCATCGCGGCCTTCCTGAGAGCTGCAGCGGCCTCCTCTGCCTTCGCGGCCTTGCGAGCCTCGGCCTCCTGGATCTCCTTGAGGCTAGGCCCCTTCTGTCCTTCTTGGCCTGGCTCCCTGGCCCAGGGTGCCAGCGGAGGTGGCTGAGTGACATCGGGCGTGCCACTCTGCGACCGGCTGTACTGCTCAGGCAGGTTGGAGCGCGCACGCTGAGCAGTGGGCGCCGGGAGCGGAGTGGTAGACGAAGGCACAGGGAACGGCATCGGCATATCCGGGTCGGAAGGCACGCCAGCGGCAGCGGCAGCCTGAGCCTGCTGGACCTGCTGCGTCAACGACAGCGTGGCGTCTTCAACGTGCTTCTTCTTGCCGGATTTGCCGGCCTTTCCAGACTGTCCAGGCGCGGTCCCGTGAGAGGCGGCGGTCGTGGAGGGCTCGGCGCTGTCGATGTGCCCCTTGCTCATCTTGGCGTTCGCGGCTTGTTCGGCTTCGTGCTGGGCACGCAGATCCTCAAACTCCTTCAAGCGCTCCCTAAACCCCTCGGGATCCTCCGAGAGTTGGTCAGCCTCGGGAAGGCCAGATCTGAAGTCCGCACCATCGGGTTGCATACCCCGTTGCTGCTGTTGCTGTTGACCCATATCACCGCCAGCAGCACCTTGCATAGAAGCAATCACCTGGCGTTCGACGTCGGTGAGGTTAGACAGGTCCTCCACCCGATAAGACTCTCCGTTTCCCGGCCCAGGTCTGGCAGCGTGTTGGCCCCCCGCAGGTTGGTCCATGTAGCCACCAGGGGGCATAGAGCCGATTGGGGCAGGCTGCTGCTGCTGCTGTGACTGCTGCTGGGGAGGAGCTCCAATCGGAGAGGAGATGCTACCGAAGCTGGGCTGGCTCTGAAGACTCTGAGCGCTGGAATGGTGCTGCAGGCCGGGCCCTGGCATCTGAAACTTAGTCATGGCCTGCTGGCGCATGATGAACTCCCTCTGCTGGGCCATGATGTATTGCTCCTCTTGCTTGCGTCGCTCGAGGTTGTTTTGCTCTTCAGCGGTCAATGTTCTGCCGAAACTGGGAAAGACGCCACTGAGAGGTGGCACCACACCGCCAGGCGTGGTGGTAGCGGCAAAAGGTCCAGTCTGTGACGCAGGGCCGTGGGGGATCCCAATCTGTGGCACGAGGAAGGGTTCGCGAGAGTTGCCGATCCGCCGAATCAGCTGCCCCAGCGGTTCAAACTCAGGGTCCTCCACCTTCTTGACACGCAGGTCAGGAGTGAAGAAGTTCGCCTTATACCAGTCGTTCATTTCCAGACCGGTGAACGGTCCCTGGACCTGTCCCTGAGGGTCGAGATAGACCCACCTCATCCTATCAGGCATCACCATCTGTCGCACCTGGGCGGCCGGTGGTTCGTTTCCGGCTTGGCCAATGCCCCCAAAAGGCAGGCCGCCGCTGACTGGGGTGAAAGACTGGGGACCGGCCGCGGCTCCGGCCGACTGTGGTGGCTCGGCGGAGCTGAAAGGCCCATGAGCCCGCGACGCATCGGTGGACGGGAAAAGCTCCTCGAAAACTCCACGGTTGGACCGCATGGGGCTTTCGGTGTCTCGTGGAGGCGCTCTGCCAATGGCACCGAGTGGGTGGGTTTGGCGCGGGTCCGAGTCCGAGATGCTTTGGTCCTGCTCAAGCTGCGCCTGCATCTGAGCCTGCATGGCAGGCGGGAACAGGGATCCCATCTTGCTGCCGCGGCCGATGCTGCCGGCGCCAATCCCACCGGCACCGGGCGGGCCAAATACACTGCCAAAGTTGGACAAGCCGGGGGATTGGAGTTCGCCCATAGGGCTGAACAGGGAGCTGCCGAAGGCGTTGCTGAAGTTTGGCCTCTCTCGATCAGGGGTGCCGGAAGATGGCCCCACGGGTGCGGGCCAACCCGACAAGCTACCGAGCGGGTAATTCTTCGGTCCAGCACTTGACGTCTGACTGCGATCGCCGCCATCAAACGCAGCCGCACCGAACCCTCGCCCGATGGAGCCAAAGTTGCCGTGAGCCTCATTTGTGTCCTGCCCAAGACCTCTGCCGGAGCCGCTCTGGTCATTGTCATCATGACCATGACGCTCGGCGGGTGGGCTGCGATAAGGGTTCGTCTCCGAAGGACTGACGGGACCGTCGTCGCCAGACTGTCCTGCTCCCAGGTTCAGGCCAGACATGCCGAAATCACCGGTAGAACCCTTGACGGGCGTACCGAGGATGCCCACACGCCCAGCGGAGGCATGGCTGCTCGAGGCGGTGTCTTGAGCGCCGCCAAGCACCGCACTTCCAGACAGTTCGTCGTCGCCAAAGGGGTCGGTGTCGGTTCGAGGGCGAGAGCGCCAAGACTGCTGAGACGAGGCAGCCTCACCCGACTTGGGCGCTGCGCTGTCTTGGTTATCCTTGGGAATCAGATGGGCCAGGCGGCTACCACCTGCAGCTCCTCCTGCTCGCTTCTCGCCGACACCAGACGTAGGGAGGGCAAAGTTTCCGAAGGCGCCGCCGCTGGGGGCAGCCTGGCTCGAGGTGGGCCAAATGGCGCTCACGCCGACGCTGCCCGACGTGTTGGAACGCATCAGGGTACCGAATGGCAGTTTTCCTTGGCCTTCGCGAGCACCGTGCTCGCTCTCGCCGTCATCAGGCTCGGACTCTTTCAGCTCAGTCGGCTTGCGCGGAAGCCAGCTTGACGAGTCCTCACGGGAGAAGCGACCAGCAGTGGGGGAAGCGAGGCCGCCGGCGCTGAACGGATTCGACTCCAAGGTCTCACGTCGTCTGGTGCCCGGTCGCGTGACGGAGGAAGGCGAATTGACTCCGTAGGAGTTTCCCGCCCCATGCGAAACCGAAGCCTTGCGTCCATTGACATTGCCCTGGTGCCCATCTTTGTTCTGGGTTGGGGGTTTGAGCGGCGAATTGATATCTGTTAAGAATGCCTGCATCGCGAATACGTTAGTCGGGGCAATTCGTCAAGGAGAGGGAAGGTAAAAAACGAACATCCTTCTCCTCCACAGTCAAGTCCTGCACGCCCATCGGCAGGGTCTCGCCCGTTTGCTCCCAGCAGAGGTTGGGCTCTTGCGGGACGTGGTTGTCGCTGCTCTTGCCCCAGGCCCTTCCGCTGCTTCCATTGATACTGGAGGGGTCCCATCCTGGAATAAACAAACGGGACGGGCCGTCACCAAGTTTTTGCGTGCGGAATATGTCGAGCAGCTCGTCTTTGGAGTAGCGGGCAGAGCCGGCCTCGTAGATTACTGGTTGCGCGGCGGCCGACTCGTCGATGCTGGGATGCTGAACCGCGTTCTCGCTGGGTGGCGGGGGATTCGACGCTTGGCCGGCGATGGGGGTCGTAGAGGAGCGTCGGAAGGTGAGGGTGCCGTTGGCGGAGCGGCCATCTCGTCGCGACCTGTCGCGGTTACGTTAGCATGAGTGACGCATTGCAGGCATTGTGATGGTTGAAGAGCGTCATTGTCCCTTGTTCGCGTCGGCTGCATAGGGGGCCCACAGCCAAGTGGACAGCACTTTTTCCCCTTGCAAGAATTGGAAAGCCAAGACAAGCAAGGCGAGAAGGCAGAAGCACGACGACGAGCGAGATGCAAGCCGCAACAACGACGGTGGTAGGCGGAGGCGCGGTTCATGTGTTGAGACTTACCAGTCGCCTCCCGCAGCTCCCCTTCCATCATTCCTCCCTCCTCGCGAGTCACGGTTCGCGTTCTGGCCAGCTGCAGCCGAGGCAAAGCTGGAAGGTAAATTGGTCGGCATCTTGCACGGTCGATCAAAGCGTGTCGGGCTTCGGCGGCAAGGTCGAGGTCACAGCTGAGCGTCCTCGAGGTGCGGGATAGAGAGCGGCAAACGAAACGTCAGGCGGCGAGTCGCGAGGTCGAGGCGAGGGCGAGAGAGGGCGAAAGAAAGGATGGCCAAGTATGCACAAAACGCTGTTCTCGTCTCCGTTGCGGTGGCTAGATGCAGATACACGCGCGCAGTGGCGGCAAACGACGTGGTGAATGGATTTGCAGGGCTGAGCGGAGGTGGAAAAGTATGACGGGCGGATGTTTGCTGGTCGCGGGAGGAAAAACCTGAGGTTAGGTTTGCAAAAGACAAAATTGGAGGTTTCCCCAGTCTAGGGAAGCGTGCAGTGGAGCGGCACCCGGCGCCCTGAGGGTGGCCCAAGCTTTCAGGTGGCAGGTCATTGGACCGTGGGCGGGTGCCGGGATACCCGCGCCTTAGCCGGCGCTGCGGGGGGATGCGCCTGTGCCTTAGCAGTGCAGTACCGAGCGAGGAAACCTAATCAGCCACCACCTTTTGACGCTGGTGGGACACCTGGGACCCTATGCGGCCCCCGTGCGAAAGAATGGATAGCCCAGACGGGCAGACAGCGGCACGGCGGGCGTGGGCCCTGCCTGCCTGCCCGGGACACCCATGGACGGCACAGCGAGCGTCGTCCCGTTCCAGTGTGGGCTCCCTGCTGCCTGTCACTTTGACCCAAGTTACTTTGTACAGTGCGTGCTTCACAAGGCGGTGCAGCCATAGGTAATTGTTGTCATGTCCTGCTGGCAGAGCCTGGGGTGGCACAAGGTGTAATTACGTAGCACGTCAAAGGACATCAAAGCGCATGCACGACGAGGACGAGGACGCATCACAGGCGGGGTTGAACATTTTGACGTGCGTGATCCTGACGCTTCTCTCGTACTTCGTAGAGCCATACTGAGTTAATAGCCGACTCATTCCACTTCACTACTACCGTGTCCTTTGCCCTGTCCCTTGGCTGCGTGTTGCCTCGCCCTCCCAAACGCCCCCCTCCCCCATGACGTGATAAGCATCGTCAGCGGCTCACAGTCGTGTCCGTGCAGCACTCCGCGATGTGCACGTGGCAGAGCACAGGGCGACGCGACCGCGGGCGCGTCCGTCACCTCAGTCCGTCACACGTCTCCCGCGCCGCGTTCCGCACACCGGCCGCGCGCCTCGCGCCCCAGTAACATGCATACCAGCTCACACTGTCGTCAATCAGCATCGCCAAGCCTGGCTGTGAGACACCAGACGGGGGACGTACAAGTGCCACAGGGAAACGCAACGTGTGAGAGTCGTCGCGACGCCCCCAAGTCCAGGCTTGCCAGCATGGGCCAGCTGCCATTCGGCGCCCATTGAGATACAGAAACGCGGCATTGGAGCAGCGCCAACCCAAGTGCCACGCCATTGAAAACCAGCCTGCAAAAGTCGAATCCGGCCGTGGCAATCATCAGGTACAGCGCACTCGCCCTGCCTGGCGGTGCAGATGAACCAGACAGCCTCAACAGCAGGGAGAGAATGAGCCACGACCGCACATCTCGCCTCGCCAGCATGCTGAGCCGGCAAGTGTCCTACGGACTGGATCTCTTTATGTAGATGGAGCTCCCTCTATACACCTCTGGCTCGCACTGTTGTATATCAAGAGCGCGAAATGGGTGTTGTCCAGTAGGGCCAGCGTCTGGGCGGCTATAATGCCCTGGACTAGGTCGCCGTAAGGCTTCGGTAGACACTGGTTCGTCTGTATGCTGCTCCAGTAGCCCACGCCTTCAACTTGTTCGAGAATGACCTGTCGCTTGGCCGCGAGCAATGCTTGATGTTCCATTCTCGCCATGGCACTGTGGTGCGCCATATGGCCTGCCAGCTGAGGAGCCGCGGACAGCGCATAGTCGCGCGGGCCGGGCTCGGCTTTATACAACCCGCCTCCTCTGCAGATGCAACCCTGAGCCAAGGCTGCAGCGAGAGGTTGAGTTTCAGCCAGCGAGTATGATACTTGTATCTCCGCAGTGATGCCTCAGAGGTTGTTGAGGAAATGGTGCTTGAATTTTCGGTTCGCCCGATCCGCGGAGCGCAACATCAGCTGGTCGCCGAGGACGTCGAAAGCGAAGGGTTTGTGTTCCACCTGTTGCTCTGGACCTGGGGCTTCGGTGGCGGGAACTTGTATGCGGAATGTTGTGCCCTCCTTTGGCACGACTTTGAGTCCCCGACTTCTGGTGATGATTTCGAGAACAAACTTGCGGTCGCGGACAACGATGCCTTGGATACCAACGCGGCCGGGGCATCGGCTTCTGACCACCTCGGCCAGTGCGCCGTGCAGCTCGGCGCTGGCCAACTTGGCGGCGGCCGTGGGACCACCGGTAAAGATGTCGTTGCCAAGAACTTCGCGCGCGTATCCGAGCCAAAGCGCATTGAGGGGCTCATAAATTTCGTACTTGTGACCGTCTCGGGGGATGTCGTGGAGGCCGAGCTGTCGTCGCTCGCGGGACGATAGCGGCTTGGGCCTGATCTTGGACTTGGCCTTTGCCGCCTCGCGGGCCCTGCGCCGGGCGGCCCTTGCGTTGGCAACGGCGGGGGGAGGCGACGAGGGCCGGAGGTGAAGCGTGCGGTGTTGGATCTTGTCGGCGTAGATGCGGTCTGCGCTGTCGGGCGAGTGCGCCCTTGCGAGGAGGTTCTGCGTGGCAATGGCGTTTTCTTTCTGCTGCTGGGCCAGCTGCTGCTGCTCTGCGGGGGTCGCCATGGCGCCGCGGCGACTGGCCTCGAAGGGGGAGCAGGGGCGGAAGATGCGGTGGTGGTGGTGGCGGTGATCGCGATGGTGGTCAGAGACACAATCGAACGGTGCAAGTTTTGGCTGCCCCGCGATGCGCCAGCGTGGATTGGATTTTCTGGTGGTCCGACCAACGCCTGGGGCGCTGGGCCAGTCGGCCGACGCCCGCTGTCGCTGGCACCCAATGGGGAGCTCCCCACCTGGCCGAGCCGCCCCAATCCGTCGAGGTTCCCCGGAATCGCCCCCCAAGCCAATCGCGCTTCAGCGCTTCACATGTCCTCGGCTCAAAGCTGTAGTGAGCTGTGGAGTGACATCGACAGCCGCGCCCCCCACCCCCGTCTCCCCCCATCCTGCCCGTTGTCTTTGCCCCGACTCGCCGTTCGTGTGCCGCTCCGTTCGTGATGCCATACTGCTCTTGCCATAGCATGGGCGGCAGACAACTTGTTGGGCCAACAAAATCTGCAACGCGACCGAGGCGATTGGTGGCAACGTCCGCTGCGAGGCTGATGCATGACAGACATATCATGCTGACCGGATCCTCCAGCTGATGCCACTTCTCGAACCCGACCGCCGCAAGCCGTCCCCGATCTCTCCCCTCCGTGTCGCCGCTTGTCCCCCAAGGTAGCCTGCCGCCTGCTGCCATTGATCCTATCCCGGGCCATCGATCGACGCCATCGCCGCAATGTCGAACAAGGACGACACGTTCGATTCGGCGAGCGGCTCGGCTCCCGATCTCCAGATCCTCGGCGACGAAATCACCCTCCAGCCGAGCGGCTATGTCGAGCCGCAGGGTGGTATCGAGGGCAAGGAGCAGGCCTTGATGCACCAGTTTGCCTCTTTCCGCTCTGAGCCTCTACAGTGAGTCCCGTCGACCCAGGCCGCGGTGTTCGATCGTCATGTTCCGATACTGACTGGTGGTCGTCCCCATCAGGTTTCTGCGCGAAGTCTCCCTCTACGTGTCCGGCCAAGGATGGCGAGCCTACGACCGGGTTGTTGGACAGCCCGTCTTCTACTCAGGCTTCTCCGAGAACATGAAGTCCATGGTGCTCTCGGCGCCGCTGCTCCAGAAGCGAATCAGCCAACTCGCCGAGAATCGCGTCACGGTTGAAGAACAGGAAGGCCTCTTGAACAAGAACGACAAAGACTACGCCATCAAGCGCACGCAGAGGCGCAGTGTTCTCGAGAGTGGTCTGCAAGAGGTGGCCGAAAAGCTTACCGACGACATGATCTGCAAGATGGAGAGCAAGACGTTTATCCGTGGAGCTTATTACATGGTCACGCAGCTCTTGACTCGCGCATATCATCAGGGCATTCACGTCTCTAGCGAAGAGGTGTTGCGTCTCAGAAAGGTTGCCGACATCGCTGCCAAGAAGAAGCAGAGCATTGTCTTTCTGCCCAGCCACCGGTCGCACGTTGACTATGTCTCTCTCCAGCTCATCTGCTACCGCCTCGGCCTGACCCTGCCTGTAGTCGTTGCAGGAGACAATCTGAACTTCCCTCTCGTCGGCAACTTCTTGCAGCACGCTGGTGCTATGTGGATCAGGAGGTCCTTTGGCGACGACGCGCTGTACACGACACTCGTCCAGTCTTATATCGACACGCTACTACAGGAAGGTTACAACTTCGAGTGCTTCATCGAAGGCGGAAGGTCACGAACGGGCAAGCTCTTGCCTCCCAAGTTCGGCATCCTGAGCTTCATTCTCGACAGCATCCTGTCGGGTCGCGTCGAAGACACCATCATCTGCCCCGTCAGCACGCAGTACGACAAGGTCATCGAGACGGAGGGCTACGTCACCGAGCTCCTCGGCGTGCCCAAGAAGAAGGAAAACCTTGCCGACTTCCTCTCCGGCGGCTCTTCGGTCCTGTCTCTGAAGCTGGGCAGAGTCGATGTTCGCTTCCACGAACCCTGGAGTCTGCGAAAGTTCATCGACGACCAGCTGACTCGACTGCCGAGGATCCCACCCGGCCTCGACACCGACCACCGCAACCCAGAAGTCCGCGCAGTGAGGGAAAAGATCCTGCGCACAATGGGCTACAAGGTGCTCGGCGATATCAACGCCGTGTCGGTCGTCATGCCCACTGCCCTGATTGGTACGGTACTCCTGACTCTTCGTGGCCGTGGCGTCGGAAAGCAGGAGCTGCTGCGCCGTGTGGAATGGCTGACGGAGCGAGTCCGCGCCAAGGGTGGTCGCGTCGCTCACTTTGGCAATGCGCCCCTGTCGGAGATTGTGAATCGTGGCCTCGAGGTGTTGGGCAAGGAACTGGTGGGAGTCGTGGACGGGCTCGCTGAGCCGACTTACTATGCTGTGGATCGCTTCCAGCTCTCCTTTTATCGCAACATGACGATCCACCTCTTCATATATGAGGCTCTCGTCAGCGTTGCCATGTACACCAAGGTCAAGCAAGGCGGCGGGCGCGCCATGCAGGACATTTGCTACCAGGAGCTCCGCGATCACGTCTTCTTCCTCTCTTCGCTGTTCCGTGGGGAGTTCATCTTCTCAGCCGCCGGTCTGGTGACCAACCTGGACAACACACTGCGGGGCTTGGAGAACGACCACGTCGTTCGCCTCGACCGCGACCCCGAGGGCAACATCACAACCATCGGCCTCTCCGACCAGGAGAGGAAGGCGGGTCGGGAGAACTACGACTTTTACTGCTTCCTCATCTGGCCGTTCATCGAGGCCAGCTGGCTCGCGGCCGTGTCGCTCATGGGCCTGACTCCGCCGTTGGAGGAGAAGGAGGACATTTGGATTGAGCAGACCAAGGCGCAGAACAGCGCCCAGGTGGTGAGTCTTGAGTCCTTTCCGTAGCGTTGCGTACGCTGACTAACAACCATGCAGCTCGGCAAGACGCTCTACCACCAAGGCGACCTCTCCTACTTCGAGGCCGTGAACAAGGAGACGCTCAAGAACTCGTACACGCGCTTCGAGCAGGACCAGATGGTGCACGTGGTCAAGTCCAAGGACCCCAAGATCCCGCCGCGCATCCAGCTCGACCCGTCGTGGCGGCCCTCACGCGACCCGGAGACGGGCGCGCTCCGGCCCGACGGCAAGCTGTGGGACTTTACCGAGAAGATCGCCAGCGCGCGCCGCGAGGGCAAGAATCGCCGCGACGGCGCGACGGTCAGCTCGCGCGTGCTGCGCCTGACGGACGAGCTGGGCCGCAAGCTCTTCGTCGAGGCCGTCGAGGGCGACAAGGGTGGCAAGGGCAAGGGCAAGGTGCCGAGCGTGCTGAGCAGGGAGGAGAAGGAGACGCTGCGCAAGAGCGTCAAGGACGCGCGCAGGAGGAGGAAGGCCGAGGGGCGGCCGAACCTGTAAAATTATGGCAACAACATGCGATGTCACTGGGGACGGCGGGGGTTCTTGTATCATGATGCAGCACCTGTATTCTCTTCATATACCCAGGAAACGGAATTTGGTGGATGCACTCGACGCTGCCTACGATGGGTCCTCTCCGAAGTGTTTTCCAACGCCATGCCATGCCATGCTGTCTCCCAAATGAATATCTTCGTCTTCCGCCTACCCAGTGTTCGCTATATGTGGTCTTGGATCTGCGCTTCTATGAACTCCTCCGCTTGAGGATAATGTTGTCTATCAACCTGACCTGCGGCCCGCCGGCGTGGCCCACGTCCTCTCCCTCGCGCGCCTTCTCCAGCGGCAGCATCTTGATGGCGCCGCTGATGACGGCGCCCTTATCCGGGTCGACCGCGTCCACCTCCTCCAGTGTGTCCGGGTCCGCCAGCGAAATGTAGTCGACCTCGAAGATGGCACGCTCGTCGGGCGGGAGCTCCATCTGAGCGCGCAGCACAGTCCCCGTGATCTCGTGCGCGGCGCCCAGGATGGCGCCCCGGTCGAGCTGCCCGGCATGATACACCGCCTCGGCGGCGCGCAGCGCGCTGTTGAGCACGATGCCGACCCTGCGGCGGCGGGTGCCGAGGTAGACGTTGCGGGAGCTCAGGGCGAGGCCGTCAGGCTCGCGCTCCGTCGGGCAGACAACGACCTGAGTGGGGACCATGAGGTCGCGGACCATGCGGCGGATGACGACGGTCTGCTGCACGTCCTTTTGGCCAAAGTAGACGCGGTCGGGCTGGACGATGTTGAAGAGCTTCATGCACACGGTGGCGACGCCGCGGAAGAAGGTCGGCCGGCTCGCGCCCTCGAGCACCTCGCCGACGGGCGTGATGGTGACGAAGCTGCCCTTGCTGTCGACCGCCTGGCCGGGGAAGCCCGAGGGGTACATGTCGTCGGTGGTGGGGGCGAAGACGGCGGAGATGCGCCCGAGGTTGGCGCCGTCGTCGGCGAGCTCGCGGTCGAGGCGCGCCAGGGCCGCGACGTCGGTGTCCCAGGTGACGGGGTAGGAGCCGAGGTCCTCGCGGATGCCGAACTGCGCCGGGTTGACGTAGATGCTGACGACGACGTGGTGGTTCTCGCGGGCGGCGGCGCGCACCAGCGCGAGGTGGCCCTCGTGCAGGGCACCCATGGTGGGCACGAGGCCGACGGAGCGGTGGTTGATGACGTGGGGCTTGCGCCAGCGGCGGAGGGATTCAACGGCGCGGAGGACGCGGATGGGTGTCGAGGGGATGGTCTCGCCGGCGCCGGCGCCGTTGCTGCGGTGCGCCCGGGAGAAGAGCAGCGGCAGCGGCGACGACACCGGCCGCAACGCTGCGAGTGCGTTCAGCCGGGGCATCGCGCGAGGGGCCGCCGCCGCCCCCGCAGCCGTAGCCCCAACGGCCCTCGAGGCGGCGAGGATGGGGCGCCGCAGCATGGTCGGCTGGTGGTCGGGAGGAGGAATTGGCAGAGGAGTGTGTTGCGAGATGGGTTGAGGCGGGGTTCAGGGGGGTTTTAGAGGCGAAGCGGCCATTGTCGAGGCGCAATGCCTCGGCAGATGGGATCTCGTGATAGTTTCTGCGGCGGAGATTTGAGGACGGTGGGATAACAAGTGATAGTGGCTTGGTCGTGGTGGTGGTGGTGGGCGTTGGACGAGGGGCCAGGGTCTTGATGAGTAAGCGGTCCCGAAATGCTTACCCTGTACTACAAGCCATGGCACTGTGCAATGCGCTTTTCCTTTTGGCCCTGTGCTCGATGGTTATTGGAATTGGGCATGTAGAGTTGCGGTCATTGGTTGTATAGTGAAGTATAACCTGTGGTAAATCGAGCCCATTCGCGGAGGTCGTCTCGCCGTGCTACTCAAGAACTATGCATGTCACTGCAAATTGTGATCGAAGTAGTGGATGGAGATCGAGCACAGAGCACTCAGTCAAGAAGCATGAAGTATTGGTGAAGCATATATCATGGAGAGAAGATAGTCGATATTCTTAAGGCCAGCTAAATATAACTGGCAGATTAATACCACCAACTCCATGCAACCACCAACGGTCGGTCGTCTATTCTAAGCACGCTCCAAAATCAATCCGAACCCGCTCCCCAATGCAGTCTATATTATATGCAAACAACCCTTTAGTCGACGAGCATCGCTGCTCAATATTATAACTGGGTGGGCGTCATTAAATCGTCCGAGAAACTCTCAAGCCATGCCGACGGCGGCGCCGGAGTCCTGCTTGAGCTTCTTCCACCGGGTGCCCAGGCCGACCATGGTCGCGATGCCGGTGCAGGCAATGCAGATGGCAAAGACGACCTTGAGGCCCGTCATGTAGCCGTCGATGATAAAGGGCTGCTGCTCGACGGGGAACGCCTTTCGGATCTCGGTGGCGCCGGTGAGGACCAGCTTGGCCATGTCGACTGTGGGAGCGTTGCGAAGCACGGCTGGCACCATCTGGTTGATGAAAGCAGACTGCGCGCCGGACACGAGGAAGGCACCTCCAATGCTCTGGAAGACTGAAGGAGAGAGTCAGTATATGCTATAACCATGGCTGGTTGGTAAGGGGGATTAGGTAGTACTCACACAAAAGCATGCCCGTGCTCGAGGCCAGGTCCTTGGGCGTCGTCGAGCCCTGCACGGCAATCATGGGAATCTGGAAAGCCATGCCCCAGCCGGCGCCGGCGACGATCTGGTAGCCGATCCACTTGCCAGTAGAGGTGTCGACGTCCAGGAGGTACAGAAGCCCGGCTCCGATGGTGGCCAGGACGCCGCCGCCGAGAAGCATGGGCTGGTAGAGACCCGTGGCAGTGACACAGGCGCCGCTACCGACGGTTCCGAACGTGACAGCGATGATGAACGGCAGGTTGCGGACACCGCTGGCCGTCGGGCTGGTGCCGTGAACTGACTGGAAGTAGATGGGGATGTAGTAGATGGCGGCGAAGAAGCCACCGGCGAGAAGGAAGGCGTAGGCGTTCATGACCAGGTTGGTGCGGTCCTTGGCCAGGCGCGGGGGCACCATGGAGCGCTCGCCCTGGTACCACTGCAGGCCGGCCCAGGCAGCGACGATGGCAACGAAGCCGACGAGGAGACCGACAACGACGGACGAGTTCCAGGCGTGCGCGACGCCACCGTACTGGACGGCCAGGATGTAGGAGACGGTGGCGCCCATGACGAGGACGACGCCGAGAGGGTCCATCTGGAGGAACTTCTCAAGAAGAGGCGCCTCCTCGGGGACGGCATTGCGGGGCGTCTGGAAGAAGAGGAAAATGACGACGGCCGAGACGGCGCCGATGGGCAGGTTGATGTAGAAGCACCATCGCCACGAGACGTGGTCGGTGAAGGCGCCGCCGAGGAGGGGCCCGATGACACTGGCGATGCCGTACGAGGCGCCGAGGATACCGGTAAAGGCGGGGCGCTTCTTGGGCGGAGCGGAGAAGGCGATGATGGTGTAGGCGCCGGCTCCGAGGCCCGCTGCGCCGACGCCGGCAATGGCACGGCCGGTGATCAGGGCCTCGGCGTTGGGAGCGGCACCGCAGATGACGGAGCCGAGCTCGAAGATGAGGATGGCGAGGAGGAAGGACGTCTTCAGGGGGAAGTACTTGTACACCTTGCCCCCTACAGTGGAGTTAGTATCGGTTTCATGACACTGGTCCGGGAGAGCGGTAGTGGAACTTACACGTTGACTGGAAAGCGCCGACGGTCATGAAGAAGGCGGCGCCGTACCACCCGACCTTGTCGAGACCCTTGAACTCGTCTGTGATTTTGGGAATAGCCGTCGCGACAATGGTCTGACCCGGTATTAGCCGTGGTTGCCCTTCCAGCGCTGGGGATGATTGTGAAACGTACCATGTCCAGGGAAAGGAGGAAGATACTCAGGACAAGGGCGACGACGATGAACGCCAGCTTGATGCCCTTGGGGTACTCGTCCTCGGAAAGCTCATCGGACGAGCCCGGATCCTGCTCGCCCTTCATGACGCTCTCGCTGTCCTGCTTCTCGGGGTCTGCTCCTGCGACGGCATTGGGGGTGTCGACCGGCTTCTCGTCGACGGAAGTGCGCTCGCCGGCAAGGGTGGAGGCGGCCGAGGACACGGGTCGGTCCGTGTCCCTGGGGACGCCAAGGCCTGATGTTGTTGAGGAGGCCATGGCTGTGTTGCTGTGTGGATAGTCTATGGCAGCGATGTTGGCGTTGATACTGGCTGCTGGCGTTGATGCCTGGTGCATCTATCAGAGCTGTTGGAGCTCAGAATTGAGTTTGACCCAGCTGTTTGTTTGTGTTGTGATGGCTCAACTTCAACACCAAGGACGGAGGGGGAGAGGCCTATATGTATTGATCGTGGAAGGAGCCCGGATCTGACACAGGTCCGGTACGGCAACCCGATAGCAAAATTTCCTCAGCCCAGGCAACATGCTGGACAGCAACACATCCATGGTGCGGATACCTAATCAGGGCAGATCGCAAAGCAGACCGACCAGACCAGCGCACGTTGCGCGGACTTTGCGAGCCCCCTTGGAGGGCCCTAACGCAACGCAGCTCCCGCTACCAGGGTGTAACGCGAGCTGCTCATCCATCCATCCCTTGCGGGTCCGACGATGAGTCGGCGCCGCGCACGTCAATCTGAGCCATAACGAATGGAACCGGGGGGGCACATGCAGCCTGCCGGCGACAAGGCCGGAGACATGAGCCAAGTCCGCAGGGCTGACCACGACGTGCGCCGCAAGTGTCCCCAAGTCAGCAGGCGGCTCTGACAAGGTGCCGCAGCTAACAAACAAGCTCCGCTGCACGTGGAGCCAAGGGGCTCCGAAGACGAGCGAAAGCCGGTTGGGACTTGGGAGAATCCGCTGGCGCATCCGTCGTGGCGGCGGAGCGGGTCCCGCCCCGAACAAAGTCGCTCTTCGCACGCATGGTTGCGCCGCAAAGGACCAACTCGGAGACTTTTTGCAGGCCTCCTTTCCCTTCTGCTGACGCCTCTGTCCGGTCAATCGCACCACGAGCGCCGGTGGCCGTCTGTGCTGTTTTGGCGACAGCGTCGTCTCCTGCGGAGTTTGGCATTGTTGATTGATCAGCGTCGTGAAGCCACTCGCCCGGGCACAGCAACATGGCAGCGGGGAACCAAGCCATGGTGAATTGACTGAATTGCTTTCACCATGTCGCGTGAAGCCGTGACACCCACAGGGGGGGCATAACGCGCTGACCATAACGCCAATCCACCCAGGCGACTAGCCTCCCGGCAAGCGGCTCGTCGACCGCAACATGGCGAGTGAGCCCTGAGAGCACGCACAGCCATGACGGCCAAGCAGATCCGACGTACGTAAGGCGACAATTGCCGGCTGAAAGGCCGATGCAAGGTGACTCATGGTGATCAGTGAGATGCGAGGCGCTGCCCTGCCAGCGAAACCACACTATGGTCCCATCCGGATATCTCCGGGCGAGGCCCTCCCTTGCAAGGCCAGGCCAAATTTGCCCAGCAAAATTGCAGTGGTTGCCGGCATTTGCGGACTTAAACGCCATGATGTGCAGACGTGCATGGGCGGCGGCGCCAACAAGTCCACAACCATGCCTTCGACGACGATGTTCTCGAAGCTTGCAAGGCGTGTCGCGCCGGCGTTGACCTTGCCAGCGGCGCATGCTGGCACTACCGTAGCGACAAGGTGGAATCACAATACCTCGTACAATGGTGGAATATTTTCTGGCCCTTGCGTTTGTCACTTGGTGACATCGTTCCAGGCGCCAAAGCAGTCGCAGTTGCTTGGTATTAGGCACCAAGGAAGAGTGCGAGCGAGCGTCTGACCACCTACTGGAAGCATGCGCACTTGTGTCCTTGGAGAAGTCAAAACACACCGTGGCTGACTGGCCCGGCGTTAACGGGGCGATTGCGGGCGGGCGGACTTGCAGACGACCCGCTGGCGACATTCGCCCTCTTTGTGGTGTTTTGGGCCAGAGCAGCGGCAGCCGGCACGGTGTTCGGGGACACGGCAACCCTCGTTTGCGACATCTCGTAAAATGTAATGCGCTTCACGGAGTTCCGCGTTCCCAAGCCACGGGCAGGTTAAGGACCGTGACCCCGACGTGCATCCCGGTGTCAGATCGAAGACAGGGACAGGGAGCCCGTCGCCCTCCAACAGTTGTTCACCCATCGCAGCCTGGTGGAGATGGGTCGTCGAGCGGGTTCCCGTCGCCTGGGTTCGGGTAGCCGCCGGCGCAATTCGATACCCGGAGGCGTCGTCAGGCGCCGCACCAGCGGGCCTCCATCCCTCCAGGCGCCGACCGACGCCGGAACGAACACGATTTTTGCCCGGACCATCGCGAAGCGCCTGCCGCTTGACCTGACCTGGCCGACAGAGGGTTAGTTTGCTGCACCGCCGCTTCCTTGTTCAAGTTGCGCTGGGTCTTGCCAGTACTCACGTGCAGGGAGGGTTCAAGGGTATGACGTCGTGCCGTATCGTGGCTGTCCTGTGGTGCACGGCCCATTGACTTTTCGGCAGACGCGTTTCGTGCAGCCGGTCCATGATGCCCTGGCAGCGCGTCGCCCACCCGCAACGGCGCATCACCGTCGCATGGCTGCAAGGTGCAAGACGCACAGCAGCTTCAGAGGCGGCAACGACAACGCGTCCCCTCCTGCCAATAGAAGAAGCAGGAGCGGCGGCCACAGCAGCATTGCTCAAGCTCAATGGCAGCCGCCGCGCCGAGTCGCTCCTGCCATCGCGGCCCGCGGGCTCCATCTCGAACCGCCCCTCGCCGTCCTCGGCCCCCTCCACTCCATCCCCAGCTTCCCCGCGTTGGCAACCCCGCCGCCAGCTCTCGACGATTCCAAATAACAGAGTCTTCAACAGCTCGCCGACGACGCTCTTGAGGTTTCCATCATCACCAACTCGTTTCCGCCGACTCTCATTCACCACCATGGCCGCCCGATCCGCTAGCGAGCCCGTTGAGCTCCAGGCGCCCAACGGCGTCAAGTACACCCAGCCCACGGGCATCTTCATCAACAACGAGTTCGTCAAGGCCACGTCTGGCCAGACAATCACCTCGATCGACCCTGCGTACGTACCTGACCACTCATTTGATACGCTGGCTTGTTGACAGTCCGACTTTAGCACAGAGAAGGACATCGCCACCGTCCAGGCCGCAGGAGCCGATGATGTCGACGCCGCCGTCCAGGCCGCGTACAAGGCCCTGCGCGACCCTTCGTGGAAGCAGCTGGCCCCCTCAGATCGCGGCCACCTCATGAGCAAGCTGGCCGACGCCATCGAGGCCAACAAAGAGACCCTGGCCACTATCGACGCCTGGGATAACGGCAAGTTGGCTCCTGCATCTCACTGCAGCTCGTGTGCTTACGCTTCATCCAGGCAAGCCCTATGCCGAGGCGCTCTCGGTCGACCTCGAGGAATCCATCACCGTCTTCCGCTACTATGCTGGCTGGGCTGACAAGGTCTTCGGGCAAACCATCTCTACCACTCATCAGAAGTTCGCCTATACCCTGCGACAACCCATCGGCGTCGTCGGCCAGATCATTCCCTGGAACTATCCCCTCTCCATGGCATCCTGGAAGCTCGGCCCGGCCCTGGCCTGTGGCAACACGGTCGTGATCAAGGCGGCTGAGCAGACCCCCCTGAGCATTCTGTTCTTGGCATCACTCATTAAGGAGGTCGGTTTCCCCCCTGGCGTCGTTAACGTCATCAACGGATACGGTAAGGATGCTGGATCAGCCCTAGTCGAGCACCCCAAGGTGGACAAGGTGGCCTTCACGGGCTCCACTGCGACGGCCAGGAACATCATGAAGATGGCGTCCGCTACGCTGAAGAATATCACTCTCGAAACCGGCGGCAAGTCGCCACTGCTCGTCTTTGACGATTGCGACCTGGAACAGGCCGTCAAGTGGTCTCACTTGGGCATCATGTCAAACCAGGGCCAGATCTGCACGGCCACCTCGCGAATCCTGGTCCAGGACAGCATTTACGACAAGTTCGTCGAGCAGTTCACGCAGACCACCAAGACGGTCAGCCGCGTCGGCGACCAGTGGAACCCGGAGACGTACCAGGGACCGCAGGTATCCAAGGCGCAGTACCAGCGCGTGCTGGACTACATCGAGGTGGGCAAGTCTGAGGGCGCCAAGCTGGTCTCCGGCGGCAAGCCGTTTGACGTCAACGCCAAGGGCTTCTTCGTTGAACCCACCATCTTCACTGAGGTCAAGAACGAGATGCGCATCTTCCAGGAGGAGATCTTTGGCCCGGTCGTTGTCATCAGCCGATTCAGTGACGAGGCCGAGGCCGTCGGCCGAGCCAACGACTCCACCTACGGACTAGGCGCCGCTGTCTTCACCAAAGACCTCGAGCGCGCCCATCGCGTCGCAGCGGAAATTGAGGCTGGCATGGTCTGGGTCAACAGCAGCCAGGACAGCGATCCCCGAGTGCCGTTCGGAGGTGTCAAGCAGAGCGGCATTGGCCGAGAGCTGGGTGAGGCCGGCCTGGAAGCTTACAGCCAGGTCAAGGCGGTGCACGTCAACATGGGTAATCGGATCTGAGCGCCGAGCGGGCGACACCGCCGTGCATGGCGGCGTAATGATGCCGCATGGGATTAAAACAGAGATTGTACATGCAGCGAGGCATGGTTGTAATACCCGTTAATGTCGCTGCCAACGCGCAGGCTCTAGTATGAGCGCATTTATTCCTCATGCCTATGCCTTGACAGCTGAATACATGAAGTCCTTATTGTGTACTCCGGCTGAGGGGCGTCTGACAATCCGTGCTCCGCTACCATACCCAGGAAGGGCCTATGTCGCATGCCAAGGATGTCGTAAGAGCGGCTCTGCCCCGAAGGCCTGGACCACCTCTCCGACTCTGTCATCCGCGGCTCGCGAGCCGGCACTTTTCGATTGAATATCCGTGCATTTATCCACACATCAATACACGTCCCAGAGGCTGACTTTGCCATCCTTGGCGCCGGCAGCGATCCAGTGCGCCGCTCGGGCTTGCCTAATGCGACGTTCCTTGACGCCCGAGAGTGCGCCGCCGCTGCCAGTACCCGTGACGACGGAGCTTGTCGTCGTCGCCGTCGTCGGAGCATCTGTGTGCTTCTGAGCAGTGGCCTCGGTGGCCGGCAGACGTTCGGCGTAGTCCTGTCCGACGTCGGCAAAGGCCACGGCGTAGGCGCCCGCCTTGTGCCACTGCAGGACGGCGAGCTCCTTGAGGGTCTTGCACGAGTAGACGCGCACGTTGGAGTCCCAGCCTGCTGTGGCGAAGATCTTGCCGTCGGAGCGAATGCGCAGACTCTGCTGACCGGCGTGTTTGGTGTTGACTGTCTTGAGCGGGTGTGCCCATGGCTGAACCTTTTGCTGCTGCATTGCGTGAGGCTGCGTGGGGTTGGCGTTGAACGCCTTGGAGAGGAGGGACGGTGCAGGTTCCGTGTCGCGCACGATTTCCTCATCAGCGTCTGACTCGTCTGCGGTGGCTTCTGCGAGCGGTTGCCGGCTGGTCGGGATGGGGTGCTTGGCGATGATGGCGTCGGCGGATGAGGTGAGGAAGAAGTCGAGGCTGGGGTGCAGGTCGAGGGAGAGGACTGGCTGTGAATGCGCCTGCGAGCGGTACGTGGTCGTCCACTCGCCCGACGCGGCGTCCAGCCGGTGCAGGGAGGCGAAGCCGTTCTCGAAGGCGGCGAGGAGCGTGAGGCTCCCGCCGAGGTGCAGTAGCCGCAGGCACATGGCCATGCCGTTCTGGGCGCCGGGCTTGACAGTATGCACGCGCGTCTGGCTGGGTAGCGCAAAGATGTCAATCTATGGAGAGCGGCGGAACAGACGGTCAGAGTCAGAATCATGAGGGGCAGAGCGCCGCGGCGGTGAAGCACGCGATGAGGAGCGAGACTGCAGATGGATGGGGATGCTGGAGTGGCACACGTACGGCCTCGGACAGGAGCGTGTTTGGCACGGCGACCAAGATGTCGGACGAGGCGCCGAGGTCACGGGGGTCGAGGGGACCGGCGCCCTCGTGGCTCGCACATGCGGCGAAAGAGCAGAAGTTGAGGGTGTTGACCTCGATGAGGTGCAACATCCACGGGTTTGGGCGCGGCGAGGGGACGCTCTCGACGGGCAACGCCTTGCTGAGGGCGGCTTCATCCTCAACCCCGAGCTTCCACACTATGAGCTTGTGGTCGCGTCCATGCCTTGTCATCAGTCAGTCACGAGACCTAATCCATTGAACATTGCCGTGCCATTTGAAAGTTGGTGATACGGGCACGTACGTGATAAACTTGTCCCGACCCCAGCCCTGGAGCCCCAGGATGGCGTTCTCGTGAGCCCGCCAGGACGCGGCAGGCCGCATGATAGCTAGGTCCCAGATGACGACATGGCCGTCGGCGTCGCCGGTCGCGAGGCGCTCATTGTCTCTCAGGAACGCGGCGGCGTGGATCTGGGCCTTGTGGCCGCGGAGGATGGCCTTGGGCGATGGCGGTGCGTCAGCCATGGCCGTGGTGGCTAGGGCGCGCGGGTCATCGGTCACAGGGGGTGTGTCGTGTCTCCCGGGTGGAGATGAGAGTGTGAGGGTGTTTCGTCAGGGGCTGGACATTGTTGCGGGATGACGAGGACTGTCGCGACGTGCGCGGTGGGCAAGTGAGTCGAGTGCGGTTCTTGGTGGAAGTCTGAGATGCCCTCTTTTTGGTGGAGCAACCATGAAGTGCCGTTTGGGGAGTCACGTGGACCGCACTCAACACCACATCGGATAACACATCGTATCTGTATTTTTCACTTCAAATGTGCTTCTTTAGAAAGCAGGTCTAATGCGCCGTATTTTCAAGTTGTCGCTGTGTCTTCAAGCCTGGGCAGAGTGTCTTGGGTGGTTGTCGTGAATGAGAGAGTCACCCCTATGACGATTTGATGAGAGACTCGCTGCCATGCAAGCTGAACAAAGCATCTCGGCAGCCCAACACACATAAGCCGCAACTTCAAGGGTCGCCACCATATCTCGACGTCAAGCGAGCGCAGGGCCAATGAGAGTCTTGCCCAACTGCCACGTCTCAAATGTCACGATCCACAGCCTCGGTTGCCTGCGCCGAGGGGCGTCTTCCAAAGTGCCGGGTAGATGAGGGTCCAACTCGACGTGTGGCTTGGTTTGTGCAACGGGCCCTTATGGTATTATGTATGTACTTCTGTAACGACTGGGATAAGGAAGTGAGAGCCTGGAGGCGGACCATTGGCTGAGGGCGTTGCGGCGAGGATGTTGTGCGTTCAGCCCTGTTCGTCTGTTTGTCCATGTCCCTTTTGCCTGCCACACGACATGGGGGGAGGCAGGGACCGACAGTAAGGCTCATTGAAGTGTCGTCGGTTGCCGGTCCATGGTGAGACTCATTTATTGTCGGCCCTGCTGCAACCACGTGTGCGCAGCTCTCTCCTCTCTCTCTCTCTCACCGCCATGTCCGTGACACCCAGACTGGACGACCAATACGTGGCAGCGAGATATTTGCGGCGCGCCTCTTTCGATCGTTGAGCCTGGTCGGCCGCGGCCATCGACCTCGCTGTCTCACCTGGGGCTAAGCTCGGAGCAAGGGACCGTCACGGTGACATGGACTGGAGCACGCAGCGATGAGGCGGGTGACTGCCGAGGCGAGGAGCTCGCTTATGCCAGAGGCGGATGGACACAGAGCGTCATGGGGAACATGGAGCCGCTCTGGTCCCCTCTCGCCCGGAAACAGGAACCACAATAATAGAGACCAGGCAAACCCCCGGTCGTCACCTCGTCTGAAGTCTTTGATGATGCGCTTCGTGTAAAAGTGCTACTCGAGCCATCCCGTCGGACGCTACGCTTCACCCCATCCCCGGATCACAGCAGCCATTCTGTGTCGTCGTCGTCCGTCTCTTCGTCACGCCTCGTTTCGATCCGTTGTCGAAACCTCAAACGTTTCTTCGGCAGAGCGTGCGAGCGGCAACTTCCCGAGACCCCCATACCGGGACCGGACTGGAACTGGACCGGACCGGAAACAATCATGACAAACGTAGCAAAGGGGAAGCGTGTGCGGACAGGGTGCTTGACCTGCCGCGAGCGGCACCTCAAGTGCGACGAGGCGACACCCATCTGCGCACACTGCCGCCGCGGCAGCCGCCGGTGTCGCTGGGGGCTCAAGGTCAACTTTCTCGACATTGTAGTGCATGTGCCGGCGAGACTCTCGAGGTCGAGCGAGTGGTCAGGTACGTTTGTGCTGGTTACCCTCTCGGACTTGGACTGTGCTGCTATTTCATCTGGATGCGCTGATGACCGACGCTCCCTGATAGTCAGCTTTCTGGACGAGTCGCTGCACATAGCGTCCGAGTATAAAGGAGGGTTGAAGAGGTATGCCGTCGCGAACAGGGCTGTCCCAGAGCCCAAAGGAGAAATACGGCGTCATGCGACAGTACAGGATGATGGCGAGGCCCTTGCGCGTTCAGTTTCGATGTGCAGCTCCCTTCACGGGCGGGACAACAGGCCAGAAGCAATCTCAACATGTCGCAGAAAGCACATCTCAGGACGTTCTGAGCAGCGGAGACTGAAAGACTCAGATCAGGTTAGAGTTGCCAGAGTTATGGATTTCCTATGGGCCAGTGGCGAGACACATATTGGCACGGGGGTAGAGTCACAGTTCCACTACTCGCCCCGCGTCCACGATCGATATCCGGGAAGCAAGGTTGTTACTTGTCTAGATGCGGGAACCTCCAACCAGAGCGACACGGCGCGATACAACTGCGTGCCAACTGACAGCTCCAGCATCGCGTCGCTCACGAGCCAGACGCCCTCTAGCACGCCAGCTAACAGCCACCTGGAGGATTCATGCGCAGACTTTTCAGGACTAGACGGCCTGACGCTCACGGCACGCGAGTTCCTAGCCACAGAGATGGAGCTCGAGTACATGAAGGCCTTCGTGGACGCCATCGGCGCGTGCATGGACTCGCTGGGCGAACACAAGTTCTTCAGCCAGGTCGTGCCGTATCGCGCGCTCGAGTCCCCGGCGCTGCTCAACGCGCTGCTCGCGTGCGGCGCCAAGCACCTCTCGTTCGGCGCGGACAGGAGCGCGGGCGTGAACCCAGACCCAGAACCGGAGCTGCTCGGCAACACGGCCGCGTGGTACTACAACGCCGCGACAATGATGCTGGTGCGCCAGCTCCAGAACCGTGACTGTGACGTCGCCGAGTGCGCCGTCACGTCCCTGGTGCTGCACGTATACGAGGTCATGGCGGGACAGCACCTGAGCCACGGGGCGGGCGCGCGGCTGCTCATCCGGAACCTCGAGTGGGATGCGCGGAGCAGAGCCGGCAAGGACAAGAGCAAGGGTAAGGGAAAGGGCAAGGACGGGGGCGAGGGCGTTGGGGCGGCGTGCTTCTGGTTGAGCGTGGGCATGGAGGTGCTGCAGTGCCTCGAGCACAAATGGGTGCTGACTTGGGACCCGGATGAATGGGGACTCGAGTCCGAGTGGGCGATGGCTGATGGAAGCGACGACATGGAGGCGGGACAGGAGCTATGGATGCATAGGGCGCTTTATGTCGTGGCCAAGGTGGTCAACTTCCGGGCCACGAGCTCGCTATACATCGACACGGACCCCCACGATCAGCAGGCCAGGCTGAGGAGCGAGCTCGCCGTGTGGCAGGACCTGAAGCGCCTCTGCGACAGATGGAACGACTTGTGCCCGAGGTCCATGCGGCCGGTCGCATATCTCCCCCTGGGCGCGGCGAAACAAGAGTCATCGTTTCCAAGATTTTGGTGAGTACACGCTGGCAAAGTGCAGCCTAAAGGCATCAGTACGTACGTACACTGACATGAGTTTTCAGGTTGACGAGAGACTCTGCGACTCTGGGCCGGCTATTCTACCACACAGCCCAATGTATCCTGACACAAATGAAGCCCCTGCAGCCTCCGTCCCTGACCAGGGAGATGATGGCTCTCCAACATCACCACGCGCGCCAGGTTCTTGGAATTGTTGCTAGCAACAGGGAGCGCAAGGTGATTCCCATGGTCATGCAAGCCATCGTGGTCGCCTCGCTGGCACTGGTAGACCGCGCCGAGCAGCTGGAGGCCCTGTCGATACTCGAATCCATTCCGGGCCGAGGCGTTGGGTATATGCGGGAAGTGGAGCAGAAGCTGAAGCATTCTTGGAGGTGGCCTCTTGCGGATAGCTTCGCAGGAGTCAGGGGCGCTGATGCGTACAGCGACCGAGGTGGTGAAGCGACCAAGCACGCAACACAGTGGCAGAGACCGACTATGCGCAGCCCACGGGACAAAGGGATTCACACGGTAAACCCGCTGAGCTCTGCCCGGATCGACCACCCCCAGAGGCCATACAAGACCTGGTACCGAGCGGCGGGTGGGTGATGCCTTTGGGCGATGTCGTGTAGGTTTCGTGTATGATATGGGACTCCCGTATATCATTCGATATTATGATGACGATCATGATGATGATGAGCCCCCGCCTTGTGAGAAATTGAGACTGTATCCTCCAGTATTCTCGTCCTTGACCATCTGAAAGTTGTTGGTGCTCAGGCCAAAGGGCTTGAGAATCCCGTCGCCCAGGTTGCGAAGCTTTCCCCACATCTCGGCCATCTCAGTCTCCTGAGCGGCCTTGGTCCTTGGGGGCAACGCTTTGAGCTGCGCACGAACGGTGCGTGAGTCGGCGGGCCCCAGACCGGGCATGCCGGAGAGCGTGCGGTAGTCCTCCTCTGCGCCCGCGAGGTTCTGCCACCCGCCTGCTTCGGAGCGCGCGCGAGCCCGCCGGAGGAGCGCCTTGGTGCGAATGCGGAGGACGTCGGCCTTCTTCTGCTCAAGGCTGTCAGCGGGCTCGGGCTGGGGTTTCGGCAGCGCGGGTGCTGATTTCAGGGCGCCGGAGCTGATGATCTCTTCCTCGGCATCGTCGTCGGTGGTGTCCGGTTTGGGCTGCGACGTTGCCGCCGTGCTGTCGCTGGTGGTTTCATCCTTGTCCTTTGATTCTGAGCCTTCCTCGACTTCCTTCGCGGGTGAGAGCTCCGAGTCGTTCTTCTCAAACTCAATGAGACTGTCCAGAGCGGACGTGGCCACTTTGACGGCCTCCTTCCACTCCTCCAACTTGAGGTGGCAAGCCGCTATGTTGCTCTGCAGCACGGCCCGTTCGTAGTGCAGGTACTTGGGGCAAGAGGCAATGGCGTCACCGTATCTGGAGATGGCGTTGTGATAGTCTTGAGAGGTGAAGAGGGCGTTGGCGTCGGCCTTGATGTCGCGAGACTCTTTGAGCAGCGCCTGCGGACACGACTATCGGTCAGCTCAGTGACCAGGATTGATGGTGCTGCGGTAACATGTGAGCGGGGGAATATCGCACCGCTTCTTCCTCCGGGCTGAATCTGGCCGTCTCTGCTTCGCTGGCGACGTCTGCGTCGTGAGCATTGGGCAGCTTGGCGCCGTCGGCTGAGGACCCCATGTTGAGCGACGTGGCCTACCGCCGGTGAGTTCCGAGCGTCGAGGTTGGCTTGGGTTGGTTCGTTGACGACGGAAATGGGGAAGGGAACCTGCGTCAGGGACTCGGGGCCGCCACGACGCTGCCGCGCGGTGCCTGGCCAGAGTGGGGGCGGGGCTTCCATTGGTGGGGCCGCCCGTTCAATCTCTGCCCCTCCGTCGTTGCGGCCGAAACCTCAGTCCATCTTTTGACTCACTCACCGAGGCGTCTGCCCGCATCTCCGTCTTTCACTTTCATTCGGCACTTTGATTAAAAGAAACAACCTCTGCTCTTTCATTCCAGCGGGCCTCTTGGCTGGGCGCACCCCAACCGCCCCCCTCCAACAAGAAGCAGCCTTCTCCATCCATCAGTCGACTCATCAGTCCCTCCGCACGAGATGGCTCCGCGAACCGAGTACGTGGCCGACCGCAACCCTCCGTCCCTCCGGCCCAGACCGGAGTGAAACCAGGCGTCGCCCCGACTGGCTCAGGGGCAGCCGTCGCTAACAATGCCACCCACAGCTTCCCGCCCGTGCGGGCCTGCCTCTTCGACATGGATGGCCTGCTGCTCGACACCGAGGACCTCTACACCCTCTGCGTCAACCTGGTCCTCGACAAGTACGGCAAGGGTCCGCTGCCCTGGTCCATCAAGGCCCGCCTGCAGGGCCGGCCCGGCCCGGCCGCCAACAAGATCTTCCAGGACTGGGCTCAGCTGCCCCTCACCCACCAGGAGTACCTCGCCGAGCTGAGCGTGCTCCAGCAGAGGCTCTTCCCGACGACCAAGCCCCTGCCCGGAGTCCCCGAGCTGCTCGCGGACCTCGACGGCACGGGCAAGGGCGACGCCGGGCGCGTGCACGTGGCCCTCGCCACGAGCTCGCACGAGGGCAACTTCAGGATCAAGACGAACCACCTCACGGACCTCTTCTCCGTGTTCCCCGAGGAGCGCCGCGTCCTGGGCGACGACACGCGCCTGCAGCACGGCCGCGGCAAGCCCCTGCCGGACATCTTCCTCCTCGCGCTCAAGACCATCAACGACACGCTGCCCGCCGGCGAGCGCCCCATCGCGCCCGAGGAGTGCCTCGTCTTCGAGGACTCGGTGCCGGGCGTCGAGGCGGGCCGCCGCGCGGGCATGCGCGTCATATGGTGCCCGCACCCGATGCTCAAGAAGGAGGTCGCGGGCCGCGAGGAGGAGGTGCTGGCGGGCCGCACGGGCGAGGCCGGGGAGGTGGACCTCCACCAGGTAGGCGAGCTGGGCGACGGATGGGCCGAGTACCTGGAGACGCTCGAGGCGTTCCCGTACGAGAAGTATGGCATCGTGGTGGCCCCGGCCGGCAAGGCGGCTCAATAAGAGCCAGGGCGTCCTGCATGCCGAGAGGTCACACACATGGCCGACTCTGCATGCATTGCTCCATAGCGGCATGCGTAGACGTAGGTGATAGATGCGACGACAACGCCCGATGGACCAAGCGTCCTCGTGTGCGAAATGAGATGAACCAGGGGAAAGCACAGAAACGGGACATATAGACCGCGTTTATAATAACGGCCGACACCAATAGCAAGATATGAAATCATGAGTTACACCAGAGATCCTCCCGTGTAGGCCGGCTGAACGGAAAGCTCCGGCGAGCGGCAGGCTTTCCGCGGGTCACGACATCTTGCTTGCGCACTTTAGAGCAAGTAGGAGTATAGGCCGCAGGTTTGCTGCGGCTGGCGAACATTCCTTCGGCTCGAAGTGACTTATTAGGCACTCATCGATCGTCTCGCTGCACCGCTGGAGCCACGGCGCGAGACACGGCAGACCATCGATGCCCGTTGCCTGCGTGCGAGGTCTATCGTCAACGCAATGTCCAGCGAGCCGTTGCATTGGCGTTGTTCATCTAGGTAGCACAGCCGTCGATCTCGCGCATTGCCCGGCGGTACCGTGACGATTTGGGCCCCCTGGCTCTCAGCTGTATGCAGTCCAGCCACTGCATCTGCAGCTTCCTTGCGCGCGGCGCCTGATGCGGAATCGAGGCACATCGCGATCGAATTTCCGTGACACACACGTTACCCATCTACTTCAGTTTATAGTCGTCCTCGCATTCTCGAAACTCGAAGCTTGCAAGACAAAGAGGACGTAGCGCAGCAACTCGACAGGGCATCGAAGAGGACGGACACCAAGCCGCAAATCCTTCAGGCAAGCAAGCATGCCGTGTCGCCCTCGGCAGATTTTGGCACGATGTGACCCCGTACCGCTCGGCCGCCCGCCCACGACCGTTCTGACGTGATGCTCATGGTCCCCCCTCGCGCGCGTCCAAACTTACCTAGCTGCCGGGACGCCGCCGAATTAGCCTTTTCCATTCTTTTCTTTTTCTGGGGCCGGTGAATCCCTGTCGGATGCGATCGCCGGACTGGCGCGCGCGCGCCGTTGAGCATCATCATCGCCCGCCTCGGCAGCGGGCCGCGGGCGAGCTGCTTTTTTTCTTCTCTGCCGCTCTGCTCCCCGCCAAGCCGCCATGCCACCTTATGCTGCAGCATTCGATGCGTGCACCCGGTGAACGGGCGGCTTTCGAGCATGGATCGGCGCGGATCCTTTTGAGCGACGCGGGAGAGTTCCGGCGCGGCAGTGGGCGTGCGTTCGCCCGATGGCCTGCAAAGAGGTCGGAGGGGGAGGAGGGAGAGAGGGAGCGGAAATTGATGTGTTCACCTCCCGCTTGGCCCGCTAGCCGTGAAAGGATCTCTAGGCTCGCGGCCGATGAAACATGCCGGGCATATAAAGTCGAGCTTGAGACCGCGCTGCGCAAGGCAGAGAGTGAGAAAGAGGGGGTTTCCTGTGTAATTGTCCATTGTCCCACAGTAGAAAGCTGATCGCGCCGCCGCCGCCGCCATTTTCCAGCATGTTGTTCGGTAACGCTCTTGCGCTCGCCGTGTCGAGCTTGTCGCTGCTCGCGACGGCAGCGCCCGTGGCGGACGAGCCCCGGATCGACTACGATGCCGTCATTGTCGGCGGCGGGCCTGCCGGCCTCGCTGCCCTGAGTGGGCTGGCTCGGGTCCGTCGCCGGGCTCTCCTCATCGACTCGGGCGAGTACCGCAACGGGCCGACCCGCCACATGCACGATGTCCTAGGCTATGATGGTGAGCACACGAGCCAACGCATTCCTCAACTAGGCACGCCAGCCGCGAAAGACATGTTCTCGCTAACGACGTGAACCCTCACAGGCGTGACGCCCGCGTACTACCGCTGGGCCGCGCGCGGGCAGCTCGCGCACTACTCGACCGTGTCCATGACCAACGGCACCGTCACCAAGGTCGAGCCGCAGGCCAACAACACCTTCTTCAAGGTCTCGGGCCGGTACTTTGGGCGCGACGACTCGACCGTGACGGCGCGCAAGGTGGTGCTCGCGACCGGCCTGCGCGACCTGCTGCCGCCGACAAAGGGCATCCGCGAGAACTGGGGCAAGGGCATCTACTGGTGCCCGTGGTGCGACGGCCACGAGCACGCCGACCAAGGGCTAGGCCTCCTCGCGCCGCTCGACTCGGTGCCCGGCCTGGTGCGCGAGATCCTGACGCTGAACCGCGACATCGTGGCCTTTGTCAACGGCACGGACACGCCGGCCGCGCGCGCCGCGACCGAGGACAAGAGCCCGCGCTGGCAGGACTACCTCAAGCTGCACGGCGTGCGCGTCGAGAACCGCACCATCGAGTCGGTCGAGCGGCTCGCCAACGGGACGACGGGCGACGAGGACCCCTCGCTGCCGACGGCGCCGGAGCACGACCTGTTCGAGGTGCGGTTCGTCGGCGGCGGCGGGGAGCCGGTCCGCCGCAACGCCTTCCTGGCGAGCTTCAAGGAGGAGCAGGCGTCGACGTTGGGCGCCGACACGGGCGTCTCGCTGTACGGCGGGCGGCTCGCCGCAGATGCGTCCAAGGGGCTGGTGACCAACATCCCCGGCGTGTACGCCATCGGCGACGCCAACTCGGACAACGTGACCAACGTGCCGCACGCGCTCTTCAGCGGCAAGCGGACGGCTGTGTACCTGCATGGTGAGTTATCCAGTCGTCTCGCTTTCTTGGACCCCCCTTTATGGGGACGGTATTAGTGGTATTCAAGGAGTCTAACGGGAGTCAATTTGCAGTTCAGCTGGAGCGCGAGACGGCCGCTAAGGAGCTCGCGGCGCTACCTGAGAGCAACTCGACGGCCACCAAGCGAAGCGTCGACGAGCATGCGCGGTCGCTGTGGGACGAGATGAACGGGCGGCCGGACGATATGCTCTACGCTGGCAAGTTCGACCAGTGAGTGAGTGAGAGTCAGGGCGCATGAGTGAGAGAGCGGACGAGTGAGTGAGTGGGCCGGCGGCCGCTTGTGGATAGCCCCGGTACTTGTTCTCGTGCAGGATGGCCCAACACAGCCATGTATATGCGGCTGGGGGGGCCTTCTGGAAAAACTGTTAATATCTTGGCGTAATAATTCATAATAGGGCGCGCATCCTTCGTCTCAACGTTGTCGGCGGCTGTTGGAGCGAATGCCTTGTATGGGTCCCGGCGGTGGGTTGCTGTCCCATCGAATCCGCAGGTTTCAATGCCACAAATTCCAAGCATCCACCAATTTTGCGACGGCCCGGGAGCTCATGGCGAAAGAGCTTAGGCGGCAGTTGGGTGCGCCTCTGCCGAGATCTGTACGCACGCATGTAGCCCAGTGTGAATTGGGCGCCGCCGACTGCGTGTCCCCGTGTGGACATGCTGGCGTCTCGGCTGATGTCGGTCGCTGCCAGCGGCGGCGTCTCCTGATTGTGGTGAGACCAAGGGGACCACCTCGTCTCCGGTGGTCAGGTCACCCTGCGCACCCCGGCGCCCGACCCGACCCTGCAGGGAGGAGGAGTGCTCGGGTCCCACTGTTGACGGAAGACTCCGTGTTCAGTTTCATGTGCCGAGGGGGTGAGGAGCGGATGCCGCGCCGTGCGTGAGAACTTGGGCGCGCGCGGGGGAGAAGAAGCAGGGCGGGATGGGATGTCTGGGAGTGGTTTGCTACCCGACCGGTCCAGCTGCTGGAGGGGATACGCATGTATTTTTGGCGTGTCTCGTTCATCTCAGACAACGCTGCTGCAGCTGGGGAATCAATCGACAAGCTGGGTGTAGAGATTCGGCTCCGGCACGGCGTCTACCGAGCTTCGGACCGCCAACGCGGCCTTGCCGGTCTCGTGGTGCCATCTGCAGCCAGGGTAAACTCTTGTGCCAGGATGCCCCGGTATAATTATTAACAAAATGAGTAAGTACTCGACATTACTCCTCGACGTTAAGACTCGATATTAATACTGGGGCCGTTTGGCCTGTCGGCGGGCCGACTTCTGGATGTGTTCTGGCGGCGGACTTGGACTGCGTGTGCTGCAAGTACTTCATGTGTATTGCGTAAGAACACATCAAGTACGCGATGGGATGGTTGGTGTGAATAGAAGAACCCGTGTCTCTCCGCCCTCAAGCTGAGCGTAGACTGCGTGCACAGCACCTGACAGACACCACCTTGTTAGCTCCAAGAGGCATCCGTCCCATTGCTTACTGGGTAACCAGAGGTACTGTATAAACATATGCCGGCCGGGATGTTTCAGATGGCCGCTTCCCTTTAAACAGATGGACGACCAGTGAGAACGTGCGTCTGCAACCCGATCAGAAGCAGCAAGTGCACGGAGTAAGACGTCCACTGATCGCATAGATATACACGGAGTACTCGCATAAGTATGGAGGTAGTTTGTAACGTCCAATAGGCAGCGCCGCGCGGAAGAGGGACCAGCCTGCCGGCGTGACGCCAGAAGCGCAAGGCCGACCAGTCATGGGCCGGATTGCGAGAATAGTCGACCGAAACCCGGCACGCGGCAACCTCCAGTCTTCCGCGGGGGAGGGCCCGGATTCGCAAATCAGGGCATGCAGGACATGTTGCCAGCCGACCACCATCCCACCTGGGATCGGCCCGCGACTCACCACCTCACGGCATGCAACACCTCGACTGTTGTGCTTGCACAAATGCCGCCGCCGTCAGGTCCGACGGCGTGTGCCAGGCCGCGCCCGTCCTGCCTCATTCTCGTACGGGCGCATTGATTCATCTCGGGTCGCGAGCGTGGGCTCCGGACAGGGGAATCTGCTCTGGCGGACTTACATGCTGAAGAAGAGTGAGGGTGCGGAGAGGGACTCCGCTCCGGCGGGTTCCGGATGGGACGGAGGGCAGCAGGACCCCTGATGAGAGGCAGCGCCGGGCCGCTGCCTCGCTCCAGAGATTGGCGCCCTCTCCGGGGGATGATGCACAATAGAAGCCTGTGTGTTCGATGCTGTCGGGGTGGTGCTCTTGTCCCGTCCAGCGCTATTGTCTGCTACGCATCTCTACTCGTAGATTCGCGAGGTGCTGATGCCCGATGTCGAGCGGCATGCCTCGAGGATGTGGGCATAACCGCTCATCACGGGCTTTGTCGACGTCCTTTCGACAGAAGCCGAGTTTCTAGTGTACCTTGAGCCTCTCCCAGTGAAGCGGCAGTATCTGGGCGGGGACAATGTCCCACAGCCGTGATGCGGTACTGCAACCCAACATCAGGCGGCCTGATTCGGGGCCCCGGCGGTGTGCTCGACATCCTGATGCACCTCACATCGTGCGCCTGTCAGAACTGCCTTGGCAGCGGCAGCCCTGCCCGTGGAGCAGATGGGCCAAGTTGCACCGCGAGTGTGACTGCCTGTGTGACGTCAAAGGAGGACCCTCGTGTTGTTGTCTGTGCTGCGCAACTGTATGTTGAACTGCCTGCCCTGCGCCGTGGACGCCGGGAGGGTTGGCAGTGGAGGCCAGTGCCGGATGCCCGCTCGTATAGTCGGGGGCATTGGGAGCCGGAGCGCGGCGCCCGCGTGCACGGGGGAAGCAATCAGCGAGCCGGGCTAACCTGCGGCGCGGCCACCCATCCATCATTCACATGAGGTGCATTCGGCGGCCGTGGGAAACGAGGTCGACCTGGGGGGGTGGCAACGCCGAGGACTGACAAGACTGCAACGAAGCATGGCCGGCGGGAGACGAGCCCCGGATGGATGGTGCCGGACATTGGTTGGCCCACGCAAGCCCGCTTTTTCGTGGCCGCTTTCCCCATCGCCGAGGTCCGAAGCGGCGGCCATCCTGTCGGAGATGCGTATCGCTCCGACTGTCCTGGCGCAAGCGGGCCATGCCAGGCGCAACACCGCACATTTTGCTGTACCGCACCGCTCCCTGCGCACGTCGTGCAGCGCCGCGGGTGCCCGGGGCACAGAGGCAGGCTCGCACGGAGCAGAGCAGGGAGCGCGGTGGGCCAGGCAGCGCCGGCAACACATAGCGAAATTTTTTGCTCGTCCTGCCTCCTGGGCGCGGGCCACCCGGGGCGGCACGCGGCGAGCCCCAAGCATATGCGCGAGGGCAGGGCGTGGGCGGGCCGTCGACGGTGCGTCTCGACCGCGAGCTGTCTCAAAAAGGGCCGGGAGTGGCCGCGCACCGGCACTCGTGGAGCCGAGATTGCAGCGGGCGAGACACTGGCCGTCGGCTCGACGCAAACAAGCGATGACAGGCCGTGCTGTACAGTAGCAGTCGCAGCAGTCAGTCCCAGCAGCCGTAGCAGCGCATTCCGTCTGCTGCTCTGCTTCGCGTCGGTCGATCGGTCGGTCGGTGGAGGAGGGTTTCGGTTCGGGGGCCCGTCGCGCGGCGTTGCCGCCCTCCATCAGCCCCCCCCGGTCTCCTGGTTCCATCTCCCGTCTGTTGTCTCATCCCATCTCATCTTGCGCCGGTCCCATCCGTCGGACGCCTGGCTGCCGTCCCGCTCGTGTGCTCACAGTGCCCCGGGTCATGGATGCCCTCGGCTGAGGCCTCGACGCATCGCCACATGCGTCTCCCGGCCCAACCCTTTCGACATCGCCTGCCTGGCTTGGGAGCCGGCGGCCGTCGCGGCGGGAACCCATCCGCACCCGGACAAAGGCTAACTGGCTGGACCGAGCTGCTCATTGTGCGCAAGCTTCGGCGTCGGACGTGGCGCTGGCGCCCACGACCCCATTTTTCTGGAGCGTGACGCGGTCGGTCGGGGCTCCGGAAGGAGGGGTGGAGGCGCCTGGCCAGGCCAACGCGCACCACAGTTCCCGGAGGCCCATCGTCCAGAGGGCGGGCGGCGGGACCACCGAGTCGTGTGCGTGTGCGAGGAGTGCGTGTGCGCGCGCTCCTGTGTGCGGGCGCCGGTGCGGGTGCGGGTGCATGCGCGCGAGCGGGCTATTCACGCACGCTCTGCGGAGGGGGTTTTACTGTACAGTACGTAGTGCCCTGCAGATGACGGGGTTTTGCCCTGAGCGGAATCGGAAGAAGTGTCGGAAGCTGGCGATGGGATATCCGCGTGCCGGGCGAAGATGCGGACGCACTAAAGTCGACAAGTCCAGCGGTTCGAGTGCGGGCGGGCATGCGTCGGCGACAGGGCTGTTTCCTCCCCAGGCTTCCACGGCGCTGTGCTCAGCGCTGCCGCCCAGCGCCCTCCGACCTGGCCGTCTTGCCCCCGAGGACAACGGGGGCATGGGCGGAGGGCAGCTCCTCGGCCCCACCCGCCCTTCCACTTTCGCGCGGCGACGGTGGCGCATGGAGGGCAGGGCATCTGCGGGCATCAGCCAGCCCGGGCCTGCGCGAAACGAAATGGACGAAGTGGACGGCTCGTCTGCGGCCCCCAAGGCCCCAAATTACCCTCATCACGGGCGCCGGGCCTTTTCGGCTCGGGCACCGGGCGGCCAGACTAAACCGCAAGAAGCGCCTGCCAGTGTTGACACCGTACTGTATTGTACTGTACGAATACCTCAGGCACTGACTGTGCCCGCCGGCATGACTGGTACGGATGCTCCGTACGGCGGACAAGGCCACCTGGGGCAGGGGGTGGCCGCCGACTGACCTTGCCTGGCCTGATGATCTGATGTCACAGCCCCGGGGAAGTGTGTGTGCGTGTTTGTGTGTGTCTGCGCTCTGGCTGGCACGGGATTCTGCCTCCTGGGCTGTTTTGCCTGGCCGCCTGCCGCCGGCGCGTACCGTGGCTGCCCAGGCGCGATGCAACGGGCAGAGAATCGATCCATCGGCGGCCGGGGGGTGCTGCTCACTCCCTGGCGCAGTCGAGCGCTTGGTGGGATGTTCCTACGTATTATGTGTACGCGCAGTACTTCGTACTTTGTGCGTCTGTACATACATCACATATCTCTGCTAATTATAACTCCCTTATGACCGAGCAGAGCAGTTGGCCGGCTTTGACGCAATCTTGCTTACGCCTCCGTGCCGTCCGCTGGGCTGGGAGTGTGGCCGGCGGTGCATCCGGGGGAGGGAGGGGGGCAAAAAATCCAAACGCGCGCCGCGCCTCCTGGCCCCCCCCGGGCGGTGACGCTGCTGTACCCCCCGTGTTTTCGCCACGTCTCCCGGCAGAGCTGGGGGCACCGCCTCGCGCTCCGGACGAGGCAGCAGGCCATGGCGCACCTTGGGGCACTCCCGCCGTCTGCCTCGAGGCAACGCGACGCTCGGCCGGCTCACGGTGCGCAGGCGGACAGGGAGGCAGCGGCTGCGACGGGTACCTTGGGGTTGGGGAGCGCAGGGTCGCGCGGGCGCGGTAGGTAGGCACAGTGGAGGTCGCAGCAGCCCGTCCATCTGGGCGACGAGAGGTGGGCGCCGGACGGGGGCGGGCTGGGCCCCTCCCCGAAAAAACAGTGGGTGGCCCTGATTCGACGCGGGCACCTCGGGGCGCCGTGGCTCCCGTTCGCGCGCTGGCAGCCCGCACCCCCGACAATGTGTGTGACAATAAGAGGAGACCGGGACGGCTGCGTCGTCTGCTGCCTCGACGCGCGCGCGTCTGCCGCCCGGGGGAGACAGAGGGAGAGGGGGAGCCGGTGAGGGGCGCCTCGTCCCGTTCGCGACCATGGCCGGCACCTGTACATACCTAGGTCGTAGAGCTGCGATGGGAGTTGCGGTCTTGCCGACGACGTGCAGAGCGCCGCTGCCGATGACGCCGCCGACGACGACAGCAACGAAAAGACTGCCGGCGCCCGGTGCTGTTGCTGACGACCCCAGGGCGTGGTCGGGTGCCTCAGGTACATGCGGGCCTCTCGCCTGGCGCCGCGAGGGACCGACCGCCGCGCGACGGCAGCCAGACAGGGCAGGTACCTCCCCGACGCGGCACAGTGTGTCTGGGGTACCTTAGCAGCTCGCGGTGCGGTACGGGAGCAGGACAGGTCGGGTACCTGGGGTGGAGCACAGGCCCGGCACCTCAGGCCGATCCGCCCGTGCCAAGGGTGGTGCGGGCGGGCGGGCTGCCTGGCCTGGCCCTGCGGGTGCTGCTTCTGGTGGTGCTGTGCTGTGCTGCTGAGGAGAGCCGCCTCTTCCAGTCCTGCGACAGCCCTGCCCGGGGGGGACGAGTCGACGACAGGCGCGGGCTCCCATCAGGCAGGCCGCCCGCCCGCCCGCCTCCATGCCCGTCTGCCTTCCCCCCACCGCCCGTCCACCTCATGTCCAGCAGCGCCGCCGCCGCCCGCCCGCCCCGTCCGTCACCCCCAGCCCAGCCCAGCCCAGCCCAGTCTCATCGCCTCTGCCTTCCCTCTCGCTCTTCCTCTCCTCCCCCGTCTCCTCCTTCCGACAACCACCACGCCGCTCGCCCTCCTTGCCCGTCTCTTGCGAAGCCGGAAACCGTGTCGTTGCCTCTGCGTCCGTGTCGCGTCTGCTCGCCGAGCACTTCATCTTCATTTTTTTCTGCTGCTCTAGGGCGTGTCGCCGCGCAGTCAGCTTGCGCCTGTCGCGTCATTTTCAGCCAGGCCAGCCCGCCCGTCCATTTTTCTCGCCCCGGGCCCGACCGAGGACGGGGCGTGTCGCGACCTCCGGAGCCTCTGCCACCTCCTCCTCCTCCCCAACCCGCCTCGCCCGCGCAACTCCAGCATCACCACGCATCGCCGCATCGCCCTGCGACGTCTTTTGGACGCGCGCGTCATCGCCGGCATCGACTGTCTTTCTTTATTCCCCTTTCTCTTGATCTCTTGACCCCTCGAAACCCCCTGCTGCGCATCCTGCCATGTCCTCCGGCGTGGTGCGCTCTACCGCCCTCAGGGCCGGCGGCGCCTGTGTGCGCTGCCGCAAGGGCAAGACCAAGTGCGTCTACGAGAACGGGCGCGCGCCGTGCAAGAACTGCGCCAAGGGAATGCACGAGTGCTATCTCCCCTCGGAGAGCATGGCCCATCATCACGGCCAGAGCCCAGCCCGTCACGCGAGCGCGCACCGCCCAGCGCGCGACTCTCTGCCGGCCGCCGGCGCCGGGTCCTCTGACTCCAGGCAGGCCGTGGTGGGCGCGGGCTCGGCGCGTCACGTCCAGGCCGTCTCCGAAAAGTGAGTATTGAAATCCTTTTCCTTGCGCGTCGCTTGCCCTGCACGCTCCCCCGTCTTTGGATATTTTCTGCGCGCATTTGCGGGCGCTCGCTGGTCGGGTCGCCGTGGGAGGCGGGTGGCCCGTTTCGCGCCTCCCCCCGTCGCGGCCGACGACGGCGGGCGCTGCCCCCTTCGCCCGTTCCGTGGCCTCTCCAGTTTTCCCTTCTGTGGCCGCCCCCCTCTCCGGCACCTGCGCTGGCGGCCCCGTCGCAGGGTTGGCTCGCACCACGCGCACCAACGCAACGCCTCGCACCGCACCGCACCGCACCGCACCACCACCGAGGCACCACCGCCCCCGTCTCGTCCCTCCTCGTCCTCTGCGTCCCGTCGCCGCCTCGCCCCCCACTTGTCCCCCGCCCTCCTCGCTGCTCCCTTCCCCTCCCTCCTCCGAGCGCCCGGCCGCGTGCGCGCGTCTGGACGCCGTCGTCGCCCGCCTTCCCCCCAGTCTCACTCACATGGCACCGAATTGCATGCATCCTTCGGCTCCCCGTCCTGCCCTTCCCCGCCTGCACCTTTCTCGATCCGGCCCTCCAGAGCCCGGCTTCCTAGCGTCTTGTCGCGGCGTGACGTCGCCGGTTGGGCTCTTGGCTCCGTGTCGATGGGGTCCGGAGGTGCCTCCCGTCCACTCCCGGATGGGCCTCACATCGTTCGAGTGCTGCGACGCGACTCTCATGACGCTGCATCTCACCGCCTTCTTCTTCATGGTGCTGACCGACCGTCCTTAGGTTGACTCCAGAGCTCATTGCCGAGTGTGAACGCGTCGTCTCCAAGACCTTCCCGGCTTGCGTGGCTTTCCACAAGCCCTCGTTCCTCCAGCAGCTGAAGAATGCGTCTCTTGAGCCTGCGCTCGTCTACGGCCTCTTGACCTGTGCCGGCCGGTAAGTGATTGATGCCTCCGCTCAATTGACCTTGACGTGACACTGATGTCTGCATAGGAGCTCGCCTAGTCTCATCCGCCGCTATGGCTCTCCCACCCAGGCGGCTGAGACCTTTGCCGCCAAGGCCATCGCCCTCATCAACCAGAACATGGATCACCCTAATCTGGCAGACATCCAGTCTCTGTGTCTCCTCATCATCCACGAATGGGGTACCCGCAACGCCGTCCGCGCCTACATCTATCTTGGCCAGGCCGCTCGCATGTTGCAGATGTACCGGATCCTCAACAGCCACCACACCTCGGACTCTGCCGACCAGTTCCTCCGCGACGAGTCCTTCCGTCGCACCCTGTGGCTGATCTACATCCTCGACTCCCTCTTGACGAGCACTCCCGGTCGCTTTCCGGCCCTGTCGGTCCAGGACACGGCTGACGTGTCCCTGCCCTGCTCCGACATCAACTTTGCCTTTGGCAATGCCGTCTACGTCAAGACGCTCGGCCAGCAGCTCGGCCACCACGCCATCTCCCCCGGCCACGCTGTCCCTGGCGAGGTGGGCGAGTTTGGCCAGATTGTCCTTGCCGCCACGATCTGGCGCGACGTTGTGGCCATGCTCACCGTCACTTCCCTCGCCAACTTCCGCGAGGAGGACTGCAGCAGCCTCATTGCCAAGATTGAGGGTCTCCGGTCTTCGCTGCCGATGCAGTTCATCGACAAGCCTGGCCAGATTAACCTGCACATGACAATGGGTTCGGGATACACCTACGCCATGCTGCACTGCCTGCTCCACTGTGCCACCGTTTTCGTGCATCGTCGCCGGCTGCTCCAGGAAGTTACGGCGCCCAACTTTAGCCTCGAGTCATTCCGGGCGAGCCCGCGGTGCCACGACATTGTCGACCGTCTCTTCACCTCTTGCCACGGCACCATTTCCCTGCTCAACGCCGTTGAAGCAGGCGCCGAGAAGGATCATGCTACGTGCTTCCCCATCTTCATGCTCTTCTCGTCCTTCACGGCCAGCGCCACGGTTGCCTACCTGTCTCTGAAGGGCCTCACGCCGCCCAACGCCGCCGAGACCGCAGCGCATATTGTCAAGGATGGCCTGCGCTTCATGCACGATGGCACTGAAAATTGGCCTCTTATGACGAGCTGGCTGCGCCACCTGACCGTCATGCAGCGAGTCCTCAACAACGACGCCGCCACTGGCACGGGCATTTCGGGTGGCCACGGAGGATCTCGCCACGGCTCTCACTCGCACGGTGGCATCAAGGACGAGCTCTCGTCCAATGCTGACACCAACCCCGACGCTATGGACTATGACCAGCAGACTGGTTCCGGCGGCGCCGCAGGCCAAGGTGGCGCGCCTCAGCGTTCGGTCTCGGAGTCGGTCCGGGACGACAGCGAGCCCCCCGTGGCGATTCCCCGCCGACCCGGTGTCACCACTATCAATGGCGGCTCGGGCGGTGTTTCCACGCCGGCCACGACCGGCACCTCGCCCCCGCCCGGCGCCGCTCCCACGGCTCCCATGCATGCTCAGGAGCCGAAGCAGCAGAGCCCCGAGCTGGGTTCCAACGGCGTTGTGGCTGCGCCCGAAGGCCCCAGCACCAGTCAGGATATGACCGCGCCGGAGCTGTGCCAGGCCTTTGAGCGCCAGCTCCTTGATCTCGACGACCTGGCTGCGTTCATGGGTGGCGGTGTCTAGATGCTTAAGCCGTAGACCGGCGGGCGTCTGGGGTCATCAGGACGACTTTGCCCGTTTTCACGAACCGGGCGCTCTGGCGACTGGTTTCTTTTTGGAAGCGGAACGTTTATGGATCGATGGAAAAAGCGGTCAGCAGGAACATGTAGGATTTACGGAGCTCAGCGGGATACCCGATATGGTGGAACAAAGGCGGAAGGCGTTGGTGGTATTGCCAATTCAGGGTGGCCCAAGAGAAAGGCGCCAAAGCCCCGTTTGCTATCTGCTTGCGATGTCACGTGGCACGACGACAAGGGAACGAGGGGGAAACGGCTCCTCTAGTTTGTCTCTTTTTTGCTGCTGCGAAGTTGGCACGGACGCTCGTCGTCCTAGCTGCTTCGTCATGCGCTATGCATGCATCAATGTATCAGTACCAAAGTATCTCTCGCCGTGCGTCCTGCAAGTCGTGCATGTGTATGGCCAGCTCGTGGGGGTTCTCCCACGTCAAGGTTTATGTAGTTTGCAGTGTTTGTCCCAGCGGTGAGACGGGGGTCCTTGAATTGGGCAGCGCAAGTCTGTGCCGTGGTGTTTGCTTGGTCAAAGACTTGGCGCGGGCACGGTGCGGGATCGAGCCAGGGTCTCGGACGACCAAGAGACCGGAGCCGCATGGTAGGGGCCGTAATTGGGCGTTCAGATCATGTTCTACACTTGAAGACTTGCTGCGACGGGTCTTACTCTAGCTCAGCGGCGGAGACGCCAACCAACGTGCTACGACGAGACGCGAGGGAAGTGATACTCAAGAGGCAAGTTGAGACGGACCGAGTGTTCCATGAGAGAGAGGGAGAGACAGAGAGAGAGTTAGAGAGAGCGAGCGCACAGCTTGTGACGCCCCATGCCCTCAGTCAGACACCATCTCGAAGAACATACAGTCCGCAGATCGGGGTATTTAGGAACCGGGCCCTGCCACGAGCTGAGGTTCCATCCCACGCGGCATTTTGCACGTTTTACTTCCCTAGCTCAAATCACGACTCGTCATCCTCATCACCCCATGCTCTTTTCGCGGCTCTCCCTTTCGTGGCCGGGAGATGCCCGTCTGGCCTGGTCTGGGTAAGGGTACGACGACGGGTGGACGCCATCGGGCCGTCTGGGGAAACGAGGAACCGTGGGCGGAAGGTTGGGGTTGTGGGGGAGCACTCCGCCGACGAGAATGAACCGGAGGGAACAAGGCAAGGCACGCGGCTATATCGAGCATCATACTGGTAAACGGGAGGCGTTTTGCAAGCCCATCATGGCGTGCGCGTCGAGGGACGACGCCCGCCGTTCCTGTCCCCACTGGCCGGCATCCCGCAGAGCACTGGGACCGGCAGCTGAACAACGTGGACAAGGAACAGGACGATCAGGCACGGGTCGACGGGGTCTTGGGGACCTTGCAACAAAAAATGGGGGTGTCTCTCCATTCGTTAGCTTGGAAGCCTTCTTCCTCGGAAGTTTGTGCTCCTGTCCATCCGGGGGTTTTGTGGGTTGGGTCGGCGCGCTGGGGCTGGGGCTATCGGGTGTAAGTGGCCGCCCATGCGTGGGCACTGGGGCACTGGTACGTATTGGTACCACAGCGGGCGCTTCTAGAACGCCGGCGAGTGCGCATGGTATTCTGCAAACTTGTCATGAATGGCACGGTGGCATCGAAGCATATTTATTTCTGCTGTCTTCGGTACGTAGCAGACGGGCGGCGCCGCTCGCTTTGGCTCTCTCGTTCGTTTCGGCAGCTTGCGAGAAAACGACTGCAACGTCTTGGCCGATGCGACGCTGTCTGAAACGACAGTCGCAGGGTCGAAAATAGATGTAGGGTCTTTTGGCGGGCCTGTACCTGCAAGACACTTGAGCAAAGAACAACATCGACGAGATGATTGATTGCCCGCGGCGTTGCTCATGCACAACAGGACCCCCGGTTTGTCGGCGCGCGGTGAAGATGCCGCGCCGGGGCTCCATTTTTTAGCGGTTACCCAGGCGTGAGCCGGCGCCTCCGACCACGGCGGCAGGATGTCCGGGCGGCGCTGGGGGTCGACATCGTCCATGGGAGATGGCTTGTGTGTTCCGAAGACTTTTCGTAACTGGCGTAGAAGAGGCTTCATATTATCCCGAGCCGCAGCTGCGTCCGGGGTAGCAGCAGCTTGCGATGGAGACAACAGCAGCTGTATTCTGCCGGACGCCCGTGGAGAGCCTCCAGCTCCCTGGACCAGGTGAAACAGAATGGGCGCATGGAAGCCCGGTCGCCAAAGCGCCACCCAAGCAAATAGCAGGGCGGCTCACCGAGGATCAGAACTGTGGCGGCCGGGGGAGCGCCAAGAAGGTGGGCAGCCCTCGGCAATCTTCTGCCGGGCGCCATGTCATTGCCTGCCCGGACGGGCATAGCTTCGGGGGCCAGGATGGGCGAGGCTTCGCGACGACGTGGGGGAGCCGGGCGGACAAGCTTGTGTGTAGGCTTATCGTCGCGGCCGTCTCGTACTGAACCTAACCATGGCGAATTGTTGCTGTCTCGCACATTGCTGTCTTGGTCGTAGTAGCCGTACAGCACCGTTCAACGAAATGCCGCCTCCAACGCCTCTTCCGGATCGTCTTCGTGATGCAGCAGACGGCGAGGCAAGGATCGCCCCGTCTGAGCCAACGCTCCCGGCAGTTGAATGCTGCAAAGATGCGCGAAATTCTGTGTCTGTAGAGCAACAGAGCCACAAAGGGCAATTCTCCTCCCGCAGGATCCTGTCGCGCTCGGCGAACGGATGCATAGCGTCGCGGGCTCTCGCGCTGCTTGTTTGGCGTGAGTTGTCAAAGGGCGTGATGTCACTGCGTGCAAGGCACTGGACCTAGCTTGTCGCCAGCCCTTGGTCCAGCCAGGAAACAGCAGAAGATCGTCGCATTTGCGTGTCAGGCATGCGGCAGGCACGCCTCGTCGCTGAGCTGGCGGAGAGTCGAAGCCCGGTGTGCGGTGTGTTTGTCTCCGCCGCCTGGAGGTGGCTTCGCTGTCCGGGCCCCAGATTTGACGCCCGCCAGCCTCGTTCTTCCTCGAGCGACATGGACACCGTCGCCATCTATTTGACAAACTCATACATGTCATGGGCGACAATCCGCGTGAGATTGGCCCGCTCTTAGCGCAGGCAGCCGCTTCAACGTTAAGGTTCTTGGACATGAAAAGGTGCTGCAGGCATCCAGCGGCGGTTCCGTAGCGCCCGGTTCCTGGCCGTCATTCACCGGTTCGGCGCGCCAGGTAGCCCCGAGCAGGTGCAGTCGTGCCGGGCGCATCCAGCCCGACCCAACACGACTGCGTCTTACATGCATCCTCCCATGGTGTTGGGCCCCGTTTACGCACCAAGCATGACCGGGTGGGTATGATGTGCGTTGCAGCCAAGGTGGCCCCCGAGTCCCACCGGCCCACCGTCGGTGCCGGGCCAGATTCGTCAGTAAGCCACGATGGCTCAAGTGCCGCGGACAAGGCAATAATACCTCCTCGTAACCAAAATCCTCAATTGTGCGCGCGAGGTGCTGGTGGGATCGCAGCGGTTTGTTCTCGTCGCTGCCGGCCGCGTCTGCCACCGCTTGACTCGCGATCGTCGTGTGCGGCGCCGTCGCCTTGCGTCAGAGGAGGCTCGCTTGGCGATAGGCTTTCCATGTGCGATCTGCGACTGGCGGAAATAACCCCCGGGACCTGGGGCAGAGCCTGGGGGCTGTCTCTTATACACATCTAGATGTGTATAAGAGACAGGGGGGGCTCGGTGGCTTGGGGAAGAAGATGTTGCGGGGCGGCCATCCGTGGATCTTGGGGTGGGAACGACCAACTCGTGACGATGGGAGGGATCATCCTTGCGCAAACGGCGGCGAGCAGCCGTTGTCTCATCTGCGTTGCTGCCTCTTCGGCGTTGCTGCGTGGCTGCTGCTAATCACGCGCAGATGATGCGTCGTGCACGATTGACAGCCATGACGAACGGGCGGCGGCGTCGCCGACGAGTGCCAAAGATAGGTAGGTAGCGTGCCACAGAGTACGAGGGCAGCGACGGCTCCAGGTGAGGGAGGGAGGGCGGGAGGAGGAGTCGGGTTGCCTGCCGTGCCGGCGCCTGATTTACACCCGCGACGGGGCTAGCTCCAGTAGTAGTCCGGCTGGATGAAGTGAGGTGGATGGGTGTACGAGTATTGGCTGGGTTAATGGACCGCAAGAATGAGGAGGAACAGGAGGAGCAGCTCGCCGGGTTGACGTGGGGCCCCGAGTGGATGGAGGGATGGAAGAAGGATGGATGCTCCATGGACTGGGCTGCTGCCCATGTGCACGCATGCCTGTGGTACGAGCAGCACATGGGCACCCTTGGCACCCCAGCGCCGGCAGGAAGCTCCCGATGCGGCGGGGACGAGAAACAAATCAAGGTGCCAGCCATGGACAGCGACCTGAGGTAACGCATTTGTGATGACGCCGGGCCCAGGGTTCTGAAGGTATATCAAGTTGCGCCTGCCCCTCCAGCCCAGCCTACCCAAGAGCTCGCCTTTCCCTCGCTCGGACGCTCCTTCCCTCGTGACTCCCGGCGGGCCACACCAGCACACCAGATCTTACGCTCCTCTACCTGAAGTGTCGCTTCTCCCACCTCGACATCTCTCACCGCGAATCGTCCCTTATCCATTACCAAGACCCGCGCCGCCCGCGCGACAACCTCACAATGGGCTACCCCGGCACGCTGGAGCGCGGCGCCGCGCCCCATGAGGGCATGTCGGCGAGCCGCTACGCAGCAACGCGCATCTCGACGCTGAAGCCGCCCATGCTACCCGTGCCCAACCCGTGGAAGCTGGTTCGCATGCTCAACCGCCAGCAGTGGGCTTTTTTCTTCCTCGCTTTCTGGGCCTGGGTGAGTCTTGCCTCCATCCGCCTTCGTTTCGTCCAGACCTGGGACGACAACTGCCGTTCCAGCGCTGATCTCCACTGCCGCAGACCTGGGACGCCTTTGACTTCTTCACCGTCTCCCTCACCGTGAGCGGCCTGGCCAAGACCTTTGACAAGTCCAAGACGGACATCACCTGGGGCATCACCCTCGTTCTCATGTTCCGCTCTGTCGGCTCCATCCTCTTTGGTATTGCCGCCGATCGCTATGGCCGCAAGTGGCCCTTTATCGTCAACAATGCGCTCTTTGTCGCGCTCGAGCTGGTGAGTCTTTCCCGCCACCTGATCCCGTTTGAGTCGCCAGAAATTCGCCCAATTGCCTTTTCGGCCGGATCCTGTTTTCGCGTGGGGGGGACGCCACCCCCGATCGGCCTGGTGCGGCGTCAAGCCTCCTCGTCGGACATGACGAAACGCCGCCCGGACAGACATCGAGACTTTGGGTCCGTCCCGTCGCGCTTGCGCTGCATCAGTCCGCCGTTGGGCGCGCCCACAAAAGATGCGAGACAATTGCAACGGCGACACGTGAGGGGACGCGCTCCGAGGCCGACTGTCGATGGCTTGGCGACGATCTACGCTTGGCGGTGCCACCCGGCTTGGCCAAAGCAGGGGTGCGGATGCGGCTGCACTGGGGCCTTGGCAGTGACGCGATTGCATGGCTTGCACGATGCTGACCAGAGACTCGCTCAATAGGGCACCGGCTTCTGCCAGACGTACTCGCAATTTCTCGCCTGCCGCGCCCTCTTTGGTGTCGCCATGGGCGGCCTATACGGCAATGCCGCCGCCACAGCCCTCGAAGACCTGCCCGAGGAGGCGCGCGGTCTCATGAGCGGCATGTTGCAGCAAGGTGTAAGTCGACCTGAACACTGCGCAAGCGGCGACGGGTAGGGGTGATAAGCTGACATGCACGCCGCAGTACGCCTTTGGCTACCTCCTTTGCGCCGCCTTTGCCCGCGGCCTCGTCAACACCACGTCCCACGAGTGGCGGCCCCTGTACTGGTTCGGCGCCTGCCCGCCCGTCATCTTCATCATCTGGCGTCTTTTCCTCCCCGAGACAAACAACTACCAAGAGCGCCAGCGTCTCCGCGCCCAGGCCGGCGTCGGCGCGGCCGGCACAAAGTCTGCCAGCTCCGTCTTCCTCAGCGAGGGCAAAGTCGCGCTCGTGCGCCACTGGCTGCTCCTCACCTACCTGGTCCTCCTCATGGCGGGGTTCAACTTTATGAGTCACGGCAGCCAGGACTTGTACCCGACGATGCTCGAGAACCAGCTCGGCTTCAGCTCCACTCAGGTCACCGTGACGCAGGTCGTCGCAAACCTCGGCGCCATGACTGGCGGCACCATTGTCGGCTTCTCCAGCCAGTCTGTCGGCCGGCGCTTCAGTATCATTGTGTGCTGTATCGTCGGCGGCGCGCTGCTCTATCCCTACAGCTTCGTCAAGACGCCTGCCATCATGGCGCCCGCTTTCTTCCAGCAGTTTTGCGTGCAGGGCGCTTGGGGTGTCATTCCCATTCACCTCATGGAGCTGTCCCCCGGCGCGTTCCGCACATTCGTCGTCGGCACGGCCTACCAGCTAGGTAACCTCGTGTCGTCGGCGTCGTCGACCATCGAGGCCCGCATCGGCGAGCAGTTCCCACTGCCGCCCACTGAGGAGGGCGTCAAGCGCTACGAGTATGGCAAGGTCATCTGCATCTTCATGGCCTGCGTCTACGTCTACGTCATCATCCTGACTCTTGTCGGCCCGGAGCACCTCAACCGCAAGTTCGACGTCGCGCACGACCTCGACACCAAGGCTGCCGTTGGCGCGGACGCCGTCGAGAACACAACAGGCGTGCGCGCCGACCACGACGACGACCACAACGAAAAGGCACGCGAGATTGAGCAGGACGAGGAGAAGCGCGGGTCGACGCACGTTTAGGCCGGAATGGCGAATGATTACTTGTAGTCGCAACAAAGAATGAATGATCAGTTGTGGTTATGTTACCGTCTGACATCCGCGCGACTCCTAAAACCCGACCTTGATGTCCCAGCCCGAAGACACCTGCGTCGCAGAGTAGCCCGCCTTTCCAATGCAGTCGCCGTATTCGTAGGGCTTGGGGATGCTACCGCCGCTGGCACCGCTTGTCTTGGACGTCGGGTAGAAGAAGGTGGCCTCCGTCTTGGGCAGCGAGTCGCACGTGTGCGAAGGCTGGCCGTTCCAGGGATAGTACTCGACAAAGCCAAGCTGCCCGTTCTTGATATTCCCGGCCCCAGATGGCAACGTCCACTCCCCGACAACAGTGGCCGACCCCGTGACGGTGTCCACCAGCGTCCCCTTCCACGTCCTAGCTCCCGAGGTCTCCACTACCAAGTTGTACGTGTGGCTATAATCGCCCTCAATGTCCACCGCGCAGCTCACGCCCGAGCCACCGTCCGCGCCATCATGGCAGTTGGGATGTCCCGTCGTGGTGCCCTCTTGGAACGAAGAAAACGCCGCGTGCACGATGCTCTTGCCGTTGGAGTCGGGGCGGGGCTGGAGCCCCGTGTAGCCGACGTCGGGGACGCCGAGGAAGTTGAACTGCTGGGCGAAGTAGTAGCCGCTCTCGTGGGGGGCGTGGGCGATGTTGAAGGGGAAGGTGACGTCCTTGAGGCCGGTGGAGGGGGCGGAGGCGAATTCCCACGAGTTGCCGATGAGGGCGAGGACGGTGGAGGGGGCGAGGGCCGTGGAGAGGGCGAGGATGCTGGGGAGGGACTTCATTTTGAAGGCGTGTCGTCGGGCTGACGCTGTAAAGGGATGTCGAGCAGACTTTTGGGTTTCAAGCAGAGGGGCCTCGGGTGAGACTTTGATTCAGAGAGGCGAGTAATGAGGTGTGGGTGAGCTGGGGCAGCATGAGGGGATGAGAAGGAAGTCCAGCGAGCATTTATATATCGAGTCCACAGGCTCATCCCATCCGGCGCAGAGCGCATTCCACACCGGTAGCCGTGCGGCATGACTAGATTCAACACGTCAACTCACTAGTCGATGCAATAAATAACGTGAAACGTTACACATATGGGCGGTCGTGAACATAAGCCCGCAGGCCCTTACTCATGTCTCCATGCGGTGCTACTAGCCTCATTGTCCCCGTTGGTATTCAAGACTCGGTCCCAGAAATAAGGGGGGATGCAGCGGAGTAGGACCTGTCTCTTATACACATCTAGATGTGTATAAGAGACAGGGGCTGGAGAACTCGCGCCGGGATACGTACAAGCAAAGAGGCCAAGCAGAGGGAGGGAGTGAGTGAGTGAGTGAGTGAACGAGAGACGGAGGCGGGCCGAACGCTCGCCCGTTCCCCGGTTCCTATTCCCATTGTCCGTCGTTCTTCGCAAGTTAGCACCCTCTTTGCTTGCCATCTTGCCTGCCATCCTACCTACCGCATGGCGCAGATCGGGCATGTGGCTGCACGGGCGACGATCACCATTGCGGGGGAACACCAACGTCTTGCCCCGACGGGTCTAGCCAGAGTGCTTTGGAACACGGACTGATAACCCATGCAACTACGTAACTACCCATTGCAGCCCATCCGGCACCTGAGGACTGGACGCAAGCAGCACGGGGTTCACCCGCCTTGAAGGCAATGGAAGATCTGACGCGGCGGCCAGTGAGAGAGGCGTTCTTGGGCCCTTCAATCTACGACGGGTGGGCCGGGCCAGACGCCGGCGTCGTTTCAAGCCCGGCTGGTGCCATGGTTCGGACGACGCGCCGTCGCCGGGACTTCATCAAGCCCAAACAGCAGATTCTCGAGCTATCTGGGAAAGTGTACGTATCTGTAGGGGAAACGGGTGGTTCATCTTAAGGGGCTGCGCGACACGTGGGTGTCCCGTCGGATTGGACGCCTACGCTGTGTAAGTACTTTGATCCCGACGGAGATCTCCCGTCCAAAGGGTGGGTGGTAGCACTGCGTTCGCCACTCTGCATGCCCCCCTCCGAATCATGCTCGGGGATTCCACATGGTGAGGAGAAGCAAAAAGGTGCGGCCGACGAGTCGTCAGTGACATTCCACGACTCTGCGTCGCGTCTGATGTCTGGTGCGATCAAGGGACCGTGATGCGCACACACAAACCCGACAGCAACGTAGCACCTCATGAGAACGGACACGGTCTTCGAGTAAATGCGCTCATAGATGCAGCTTATCGGATATTGCCAGCTGAGTATGCAGCCACCGCGAGCAAGCGAGTCATTCACGCCGTGTCTTGTACAACGGTCATCGCACATCTGGTGCCGATGAGCCAGAGGCCGTTGGGGAAGGCGCCCTGGCTCGCCCCCTGTCGCCTATCCGTCACCGACACCTCATGATGTGAGGCCCATCTTTTATAGGCGCGCTTGGGGTCATGGAGATGCTACTAATAATACGGTGCCGACGCCACGCAGCTCGCGTATCTCGTGGGTTGCGCGGCAGTTCCCGACGAGTTCCACGTTCCACCTTACGGTCTGTTCTTACACGCGCGAGCCCCAAAAAGGGAGTCGACGCATGCTCCCCAGATGGTGCTACAGATACTACATGCCCTATTCGGCATGAGTGGGAAAGCCTAGCGCGACTCGACACTACACTGAAGGACGCCCAGTGCAGGTCGCTCCTTGCTGATGCGTGAAAACGTGGGGACCTGAGTTGAGATCGGCCAAGGCATCTCTAGACTCTGTTCCCAAAGTTGTCTCGCGGCCCGTCATGGATTGCAATGCCGGCTCGCGTATGTCCCGCAAGCTGCCGGCACGTAAGAATGTAACCTTTCCTTACGTTGCTACGGAACAGTATTTCGTCGGGATGGGCAATCCACGAGTTGTGCGACCGGGGGGGATGGTGATACATGTTCTATCTGGAGTGGCTCACGACGAGCAGGGAACCACGGTTAATGCAAGACAGAGGGAAAAGGAACCCGCGAGTCTACCTCGGCTGGAAACGTGAACAATCACCTGCAGTTGCGACGCCGACTGACGTTCCTCTGGCTGGCTGAATTCACGAGCTCGAACGCTCGTGACTGTCATTTATATGCGACATGCGCAGTGGTATGTAACTTGGATGCCTCGCATCGGGGGTGGGCTAATCAGGCAAAAACATCAATCTGCAAATCCGTTGCGGCCGTGAATCTTATACATGTCAACCATGAAACCGCTCAAATGCCAACTGCCCACCCCGAGGGCATCATCGCCCAGGAGCGTAGGCTTCGTGGCAATCAATCCCCGCCCCCTGCAAAGACCGACAGCATCAACAACACGGCGCGTACGTTATCGCTCAGTCCGAGTCGCTGCTGCTGCTGCTGCTGCTCCCGCCCATGCCGCGGCTGCCGTGGCCGTGCTTCTTCATCTTGTGCTTCTTGTGCTTCTTCTTGAAGGCGTGCTCCAGGACGTTGGCACCCACGGCACCGGCGCCCACAGCCGCGATGGTGCCAAGCATGCCACCGCCGGCCTTGTGCGCCGCCCAGCCGGCCGCGCCGCCGCCTACCAGCGTGGCGCCGAGGCCGCGCTCGCCCTCAGGCCCGCCGGGGCCACCGGGGCCGCCGGGGCCACCGGGGCCGCCGGGGCCACCGGGATATTGCTGCTGGCCGGGAGGGCCGCCGCCGTACGAGGCAGCCGCGCCGCCGCCGTACTGAGGCTGGCCACCGTAGCCGCCATGCTGTTGCTGTTGGCCGCCGTACTGCGGCTGCTGCTGGTGATACGAGGGTTGCGGGGAGTGTCCGCGGTTGTCGTAGCCGCCCTGCTGCTGGGCGTACGTGGGCTGCTGCTGGTAGCCACCGCCCTGCTGGTGTGGCGGCTGGCCGTAGGGGGCGTTTTGCTGGGGGTAGGGCGAGTGGGACTGCTGCGAGTATTGTTGCTGGACGTGGCGCTGTCAGCAAAGGTGAGGGGGAATCAGGGGAGAATCATGTCGCTCACCTGTTGGGGGTAGCCGCCGCCGTGCTGCTGCTGGCCGTACTGCTGCTGTTGACCGTAGCCTTGCTGGCCGCCGTAGCTGGGCTGCTGCGGCGGGCCGCCGCCTCCGTAGTAGTCGTTGGCGGACATTTGATGTATGTGATCGAGGGGTTTGCTCGAGGAAGATGCGGTCGTGCGTGGTGAAGGGGCGCTGACGACAAAGGACGGCGCACGGGGACGGACTGGCACTCCGAACGGGCGATGGGCTGGCCGAGCGGTATTTATGTACGGGCGTCGAGCTGCTGACACTAGCAGTTGCTACCGTAGCGTTTGGCGTCGAGGTGATGGCAAGCCAGGAAGACGAAAAGGCCGACGAGGCCGGAAGCTGCTAGTTAATAAGTGAAACGGAGAGGAGGCAGCCAACGGTCCCCCTGCAATGCCGAGGACAGCTTCCCCTCTTCGACCTGAATAAGGTGCCTGCCAATCGCCAACCTAGCGTGTGGCACCTGAAAGCCACGCTCACATCAGGCGCCGGGCTCGGTGCCACCGCGAACCCCATGATGACGACGGGCGTGGTGGTGGTGGGATGGATGGATGGACGGATGGATGGACGCTGCGCTGTTCGGCGGCGGCGGGGTGGGCGACTGACGTGCGTTTCCATGCAGCGCTGTCCAATGCGGGTGGAGCGTTTCCACTGCTGGGGCGCCGCCAGGTTCAGTGCTCGCCGGGCTTGCATGCCCGCTAGAACCTGGAATGCTGGGGTGGTCCGCTCCCCAGGGCAGGGGCGTCCCAAATCGTGGCGCAGCAAAGGGCAGCCGAGGGGCTCGGCGCAGCGAGCCAGCCAGTGAGGATGGGCGGCAACCCCCGGTCTGGCAGCGAGGCACCTGGCGAGGCGCTTCGGGGTCTCCAGGGCTCCATTGTGTGCGTGCCCCTTTGCCCCTCCCCCCACCGCTGGCGGCCTTGGCTTGCGTGCGTCGGGTCTGCTTGCTGCAGGGACTTGCCTTCAATGTCGGCTTTGTTGATGAAAATGACGATGCGAACCTCCCGTGACATCCGTGGCCACAATGTCCGGTTCGTTTCCTTGCCCCCCGCCCTTGCGCATCGGCGGGGTGCCTGGCTGTCCGCCTGCCTGGCGCCCAGTCGGGTGTTTTGGCGCGCCTCGCCCGTCGCCCCCCTGTGTGATCGCGGCTCGGATGCGCCGTCTGACGGACGGGCTGCGAATCGTATGCCGAAAAGGGTAAAACGAGAGCAGCCGTGGGAGGCACTCTGAATCCTCCTGTGAGCGAAGCGCCTGACGCCGCGAGGGCCTGCATCTGGGGCCGTGGGTGGCATGGGGGCTGTCAGCTGGGCCACTGCTGCCAGCCACTCGGCGTCGTCATTGCACAACGTGCCGACCGCGGCTGGGACAGAGCTGTGTCTCCTTGTCCGCATCGTTCCTGAGGTTCGGGGACGTTGGTGAGGCTCCGAAGGGTCCACGTAACCGGGTCGTCACGCGAGCGGGCGGAGCCGCGACTGCGATGCTTCGACGGCATTTCCAGGGCCTCCACGGGATGGCAGTGTAGCTTGCGCAGCTAAGGTTAAAAATAGCCGGTTAAGGTTGTGTGCGTCGAGGTGTGCTGCTGCTGCGGACTGCGGAGGCACCAGGAACGACCTCGTTGACTTGTTGGGAACTTGGGAGGCGATTCCCGCTTTGGGAGGGAGCTCGCGGGCCACCACAGGCAGCTTCCAGGTTGCCACCTCCACCGCCACACCCAGCGCCCAAGCTGTGACAGGCAGCCACAGCACTGCCGCACTCGCCGCCCTCTTGTCCCAGACGGCCAGTTGCTTTCAAGGCGTCATGTGTTCACATCTCATTCTTGTGGACTTTGTTGGGCTCGGCCTGCCATTGAAGGTTGTTCGAGTATCTCATGAAGGCAATGAGCTGCCATGGCGACACGGGGAGGATGCAAGCCACTGCAAGTTGTTGGATAACCCATGCTCCAGCAATGCTCCCCAGTATGGGCATGAGGCCCATAGGGCACAACCCCGTTAATGCCCTGCGTTCCACGTGATTGTATTGGTGTAACGTCCATGTTGTTCCTACCAATATGCATTTTAGACGATGAGTGTTCGTGCTCGCCATTCCTGGCTCGCGTTACGGCGTGTTCTTGTTCAGGCATTGGAGTCTGGCGTACGAGGCCTCGCGAATGCCCGCCGAACTGCCGGAGCACTTCAAACGGTTTGACAAGCCCGAAACACACCTTCACGTACAGCTGGCGGTCGCGCCACAACGCTAAACCCACCATGGCCGACCAACGACGCTCCGCCCCGTCCAGCCCACAGGAACCATTCCGGTTCATGGACTTGCCCAAGGCACTGCGGCTCGAAATCTGGTGAATCTTTTGTCCGCCCATCACTGACGATGGTCGGGTTATACTTTACTTCGTGGTCGGTCTGTTCGTCCCAGGTGCCAAGATCTCGGTCCAGAAAACGAGGTTACTTCGAGAGACAACGGAGACAACAAGAACCCTTCTGGCCCTGCACCGAGAAACCCGGCGGCTCGTCTCACGCGCATTGCCCGATGTCCTAATCTTTGGAGCACGGACGGACGTGAACATGAAACGTTTGGCTCGATTCCGAGAACGAATCGGCTTACACGTACCGCTCGAGCAACAAGCCTGTAGAGCAAATATCAAGGGCATGGTGCGATTCAGGAAAGAAAGAGATGCCGTTCATTTCATCCATGACTACAACGGCCTTCCAGATCCCAGGATGTATGGGTTGCACCGCAGTTTTGTCGAGAGCGTGACAATTGTGACCATCAACGATATAACCGCGGATTGTCGGGCCATCTTGTTTCTGGCACGGTTCAAGAACTTAAAGAGGGTCATCTACTACCAAAACATGTCGGACCGATTCACGAGAATAACGACTTCCTTCAATTGGGAATGGTTTGCGACCAAAGCGTGTGTCCAGGAACTCTACTTCGAAGACGACGGTGAAATGACAGTGCGCTGCTTCTCGAAACCACGAGTGTGGCCATCCGTTAAAGACATCGGGATTGCGGTCAGTAAAGAGGCACGCCAATTGGTACAACTTGCGAGCACACGCGGCTGGGAAGTCGTTCCTATTGCGACATTTCACGGTGACAAGGCCGTCGGAGAAATTCATCGGCTGCTACTGGAGCAATATTCTGTGCGGGCTGCGCAGAAGGAAGGAAAGAACGACGTTGAAGGGGAAGAAGAGGATGAGTCCGAAGAGGATGAGTCCGAAGAAGAAGAGGAAGAGGGCAAATCCGAGGATGAAGAAGATGAGGAGGATGGCTCCGAGGAGGAAGCAGGTTGGGAGACGTGCAGTTCCTTTGACCCTAACGAGGGCTAATCGTACGCGACATGTGTCACCTCACCCTCGGCCTCAGATCTGGGCCGACGGATTCGGAGGTACAAGGTCCCAAAATCGACAAGAAAGATCTTTGGAGGATTAGGCCAGGGCAGGAGTCGGAATTGGAAATGGCATTGAGCAGAAAGTCCGGGGCGGATAGCTTGCTCAGTCAGGACGTCGCATCTAACTCGACTCCCTGACAGCGTGGATGGAATGATGGAATCGGCAAGTGGAACACAGTACTGATCTCGAGCACGCAGAAATTTCCATGTATCTGGGGTGAGAGCCTTGGCACAGCGTAGAAGCGCATTTCGTTGTTCTATGAACAAATCGACGTCTCACATGTGGCCCGGCGCAGTTCGTATAAGAGGAAAGGGCACTGAAAAGAACGGATTGGCGGTTGGTGTCTCCAGGCTGTCGCTGCGAAGACGCGAATCGATTTAGCGCCTGTCTGGCTGACTCATCCATTTCGGCGACAATTTCTAGCGCCATCGTCTCAGTCAAGGAACCCCATGTAATGAACTCGCTCCATTGTACGCCACTCGGACGACGCCGACATTGCCATGGCGAGGCCGCATCTCCTGCTCTGCTTCGACGCCTTCGGCACCCTGTTCCGGCCCAAGCGCTCCGTCGCACAGCAGTACGCCGAGGTCGCGCGGCAATGCGGCGTCACGGGCTTCAGCGACAGCGAGCTCGAGGCGTCTCTCAAGTCGGCGTTCAAGGATGAGGCCAAGCGGAACCCCAACTACGGCCGGGCGACGGGTCTTGGTGCAACGAAGTGGTGGACAAACGTCCGTTCGAGCCAGCTTTCATCCGTTAGGTGCATGGGATTTAGAGCTGACAGCGCCGCATAGATCATTCACAAGACCTTTACACCGTTGACCAACAACCACTCACTCCCAAAGGATCTCGCCCCCAAGCTGCTGCATCGCTTCGCGTCCAAGGAAGGATACGACGCAGAGCCGAATCTCGCATCCATCCTCAGAGCCCTCAAGCGGCCGGATCACACGAGGCATTTCGACAGGATCGTTATCGGCGTCATTACGAACTCGGACGACCGCGTTCCGGACATCCTAGCGTCATTTGACCTCCACGTCAGCCCACTGAGATACGGCACCGACGTGGACCCCAGTGCGCTCGCACAGCGCGACTACGACGTCGACTTCCACTGCATGTCGTACGATGTGGGCGTCGAGAAGCCGGACCGGCGCATCTTTGACGCTGCGAGCGGGCTGCTCGTTCGCATCTTAGCTTCGCGGGAGGGCAAGTCCGAGGACGAGATCGAAGCTGAGGTCAGCAAGACGTGGCGGAAGGTGTACGTCGGCGACGAGCACGCCAAGGACGTGGTCGGCGCCAGGAATGCGGGCTGGAGCCCTGTCCTTCTGGATCCCGAGAACCACTCTGCAGGAACTGCAAGCGTAGAAGACCACCGCGGGCAGACTCTTGATGATCTTTTCAAAGAACATGGCGTTCTTAGAGTAAAGTCGATACAGAACCTGACCACCTGGCTGTCTGGCGGTGGCGGGAGATAGCTGCATGATACCATGAATTGATGAACCCATTACAGTTATCCTTGCATGGCTGGCCAAAACGCCTGCTCCGCGGCCAATAGTTCTCGCCATTTTGCTAGTGACCGCTCGAGTATCTCCTGCTTGGCGCCTTCGCCGCGTTGGCGTATCTCAATTTCAACAGCCTCGTTAATGAGGTCCCCTAGCTCGTCCACAAACTCGATAAACTCCTCAGACGTCCAGTTCGGGATAAACTCCTTTCGCAGCGCGCCCCCATCGGCGTCTGCGGCCGGGTCAGCGCCCTCCTGGAGCAGACTCTTGGCATACGACCATGCATCAAGATAGCACTTTTCCGTGCCATAAAACACGACGGCACACTCCAGCCAGGGCAGGACATCTCCCCGCCCGGGCCCCAGACCCGCGAAAAGTGCCTCGAAGCGGCGCAGGCCCTCAATCTTTGCCTCGTCGGGGACGCGTCCCTCCGCCGAAGCGGGGAGGTTGACGACGATGCCAAAGTCGTGCGCCGTGTCGACGAAGAAGCGCTCCTCGCGGCGGATGTTGACGAGCGCGTCGATCATCCAGGCCAGCAGGCGCGTGGCGGGCGTCTCGCGATCCTCGTCGTCGTCCTCGGCGCCGCTGGCCGCGGATCGCTCTGGCACCGTCTGCGGCAGGGCGAGGAAGCTCAGCAGACGGCCGATGCCCCGGATGTAGCCGTGGATGTACAGGCGGTCGTTGGCGAGCCAGCGGCCGAGCACGTCCTTGGGGACGGCGCCGCGGGCGGCGTTGCGGAGGAAGGGGGACTGGGTGGCGCGCTGGAAGCCGTCTGGGTCGGAGGCGATGAGGGCCTCGGTGAGGCGGAAGCGGGCCATGGTGATGTGATATTCCTCTACGTCTCACTGAGGATGGGGACGAGAGATGCGGAAATAACTCCTCCACGAGTGAGCGACGGATGATGAGGGGCGGTTGAGAACCTGGAAGCTGGGGCTGTGGCTGTGGCTGCCCGCTGCCGTAACGCAGCCGTGCTGGTGGGTGACACAGCCCCGGAGGCGCGCATTGCTTCCACAACGGGCGCTAGGTGCCGACGCCCCAGGGCACGACAGCCGGAACGCGGCAGTCGATCCCCTGTAAGGCTGGTTTGCTCCGCCCGCCGCCCCGCCAAGCCACGGCACCAGCTCGTTGAAGGCCAGACCGTCCTACCCTTGACGTCACGTCGTGATTCGTATCTTGACATTGGAGACGTGGACATCCCACCCATCTTGGGTTGCATTGGTGAGACTTGATGAAGCCGCTGATCGAAAGCTAGCCACTAGCTCATGTCAGACTTGGTAGTGAGCTTCTGTTGTCTAAAAAGGGCAAACGAGGAGCAGTCTCACGTACGCTATAAAGCCGGTCGTCCTGCTTTGTCCACGTCAACATCAGGCAACCTGATCGCGCCACCATTCATCAATGATATTCCTACCTGCCGTGTAACAAGCACGGGGCTCTCGACATAATTAAAGAGGGCTCAACCATGGCGCAACAACAGGTCGCCGCACCCCCGCGGCAGTTTCAAGTCAACCGCACCTCCTTCACGCGCCACTACGACGTCTTTTCCACCGACGGACAGCAGGCCTTCTACATCGACATCTCGTCGTTTACGCCGAGCAAGCCAGACCTGACGGTGCACGAAGGCAAGACGTCGGGCGGCAACGTCGTGGCCGTCGCGCACATGCCCAAGTTTTCCGGGGACTTCAAGATTGGACTCGGCGACCGGTCGGGGCGAGCTGGGGACGGCGGAGGTGCAGGCGGAGGGGCAGGCGGGTTGGCGGCGACGCGCTGGGAGGACATGACCAAGGAGAACCTGCGGCACTCGGAGCACCGGTGGGCGATGACGCTGGGTGCAGGGAACGACGACGGCGGCGGTGGTGGTGGCGGCGGACGCGGGCAGACGCGGCGCGAGTTTGCATGGAAGCGCACCCGCAAGGTGGGCGCCGACGGGGCGAGCGTGTCGTCGTTGAGCGGCCGCAACCTGAAGCTGGTTGAGGTGGGTCACGGCGGCGGAAGAGGAGCAGAGGAGGACGAAGGCAAGGTGCTGGCCGTGTTCACGAGCGAGCGCGGCTTCTCGTCGTGTGGCGTGCTGCAGATCAACGCGCAGCTGGGCCGCGACTTTGATGTCATGGTGGTGACGACGTGCGTGGCGCTGTACGAGAAGGCGAGGAGGCGGCGGCACCGCGCGGCGGCGGGCGGAGGGGGAGGCGGTGGAGGGGGAGGTGGTTGACGAGCGGATTGACGGGCGGATGTGTATTTGAGTGGCATGAGTTGTTATATCCTTGTCTGTCGTGGTGTTGGTTGAGAATAAGACACCCTAGAGGTCCATGCTCCGGCCGGTGAAACTGAGAGTTCATCGTATGTGACTGCAAAGTCGAGGTATCGGGAGAATGAAAGCTTATATAATTTCTAGCACAAGCGAGCTGCTTCATGTTTGATAGGGAGCAGGTTAATTGCAGAATATTGCCACGTACGCTCTTATCCCGGCGCATCAGGAAGCAACGCCGACACAGGGAAATCAGGACGACCCCCGGATTCCAGATCACGGCTCGGTCCGCGGACTTGAACGCACGGTGTCCAAGGTGTGCCGTGTCCACCGTCAACTTTGCCGCATTATGTGCCCCACACGTAGTATGTGGAATTGCGCCTGCGTATGTACGTGGTAAAAAATCATGTCCAGAACAGTGCCAACACCACAATGAGGCCCGGCGGGCGTTGAGCTTATGCTGCATATGCACGTTGGGTCCACGCCCAGCTGGGCATTCGCCGTCGCCGTCGCAGCCGTCGGTAGCGACCAACCCGGCCATTTCCAACATTGGTGCCAGGCCGGGCGGCCGGCGCCCGCTGGTTCTGTCATATAAGTCCCAACTTTCGCGTCGCCTATGCCGTCCCGTCGAGCGCGCCCATCAAATTGCTCACCGTCGTCTCACCAAAAGCCCCCTCCGAATAGCATCGCGCCCACGTCACCATCACACCGGGCGTACCGGCTGCCACAGCAGAGCAAAAGCAAAGCAGAGCAACGCAAGAAGAAAAAAGAAATGGCGACATCATCATTCTCGCCCATACCGTCCTACCTCTTCGGCACCGCCTTTCTCGGCCTCAGCCTCAGCGCCCTCCTCGCCCCGCGCCGCGAGTACGCCCGCTTCGGCCTGCCGCTCGAGACCATCGCCCCCGTGAGCGTCAAGCTGTCCGGGCCCAGCGGCGGCGGCGGTGGCGTCGGCGGCGGCGACGGGAGCTTCGCCTCGCCGCTCATGTACCTCAAGGGCATCCGGGAGCTGACGTACGGGGCCGCGCTGCTGGCGCTGCAGTACCAGGGCAACGAGCCCGCCGTGACGACGCTCGTGGGCGTGCTCTCGTTTGCGGCCATTGGCGACGGGTTTGTTATATGGGCGCATGGCGGGAGGGAGTTGCAGGGCAAGGCGTGGGGGCATTGGTTGCCGGGGTTGGGGTTCTTGGGGTGGGCGTTTTGGCGATGGAGTAGTCGCTGAGGGGGCGGGCTTGTTCACGATGGAAGGGATTTAAGGGGAGGGCAAGGGATCACGAGGGGACGAGGGGCGGGACGAGGGTGCCGCTATCTAGATATGATGAATTCAAAATGACTGTTTCTGGCGCTACAAGTTACAGCACAGCGTGCAATCTACACGATTCTCTTGCTCACTTACCTCCAGCCATCCAAAATCCCCCGCCGCGTCCCTTCCGCACTCACTGCTCCCGGTCGTCGTTGAACGGGTACGTGCCCGTCGGAAACGCGACGGCAAACTCGAGGGCCAGGCGCACCGCCCGGCCGGGCTTGAGGCTCACCTCCCACTTGACCTCGCCGTCGCGCTTGAGGCTCGCCGCGGCGCGGCCCCAGTCCCGGCCGCCGGCGCCGGACCCGGGGCCGTCCCGGGCCTCGAGCCCCGCCGAGCCCGCCGCCACGACGCCGCCGCCCAGCGACAGGCCCTGCGGCGTGAGCACCTCGACGCGCAGCTTGTCGTCCTGCGAGACGGGCACCTGGTCGCGCACCGTGATGGAGACTGCCGATGACGATGACGACGACGACGGCGGCGGTGAAGCCGACGAGTGCGAGTGTCCGCCAGCGGCGGCGCCGCGCGTGTTGTGCAGCAGCACGCTCCGCGTATACACCCACGTATTCTCCTTGCTAAACAGGCCCGCCGTGCCGCGGCGCACCCCGGGCTTCGGGTACGCGACCTTGACGGCCGGGTCGACGCCCAGGCTGAGCGTCATGTCGGCGCCGGGGCTGCAGCGCGGCAGCGTCGCCTTGCCGAGGAAGCTGCCGTCGAGCGTCAGGCCGGCGCGCCCGCGGAAGAGCGTCATGCGCGACGTGTTGCGCAGCCGCGCCTGCAGGAACGCCACGGGCTTGTACTTGGCCACGACGGTGTGGCTGTAGGCCACGCCCGTGAAGGTGGTGCGCGCGACGGGCGACTTGGTCGACGTGTGCTTGGGCGCGAGCGTCTTGAGCCCGGGGAGGTCGAACGTCGTGGTCATGCCCGTTTCTTCGACGACGCTGCCCGTGTGGCTCGACTCGTTGGACTCGTCGTCGTCGTCGTCGTCATCGGACTCGTCGCCGCCACCGCCGCTGCTTCCAAACAAGCCCCCCCGGGGACCACCGCCGCCACCGAGGCTATCCATCTTCTCTCCGCGCTCGAGGACCTGGCTGATGTTCCGCTGCAGCGCGCCCGACTGCATCGCCATGCTGTCCAGGCTCGCGCCAGGCGCTGCCCTCGACTTTGCGGCGGGGAGCGCCCGCGCTGGTGCTGCTGCCGGCATGGGTGGTGGTGGCGGCGGCGCCCAGGCCTTCTTCTTGAACATTTGCTTGACGGAGCTTCTCTGCTGAAACTGGTTGCCGTCGTCGCCGTCTTGTTCTTCCTGCAGCTGCAGGCGGGCCGCGGCGTACGCCTCCTGCCGCGCGCTGAACCGGTCCTGTTCCCTACCAAACAATTCCACACGGGGCCGCTGCGCGTCCGTCTGGCGTTGGCGCTGCTCCTTCCACTGGGCGGTGCTCTCGAGCTCCTTGTTGCTGCGCAGGATCTGCTGCGCAATGTCGGTGCGGCCAAAGTGCGGGTTCTGGCTCATGAGGCCGAGGCGCCACGGCGTGAGCTCCGGCACGGCGTCGTCGAGCCCGGAAAAGGTGGCCTGCGAGGTGGACAGCGAGACGCGGCAGTTGGACCATGTCTCGGAGGTGGCGTTGTGCAGCTCCGCCTCGAAGCTGAGCGCGCCCGTATTGTTGGTCGTCGACAGCTTGAGGTCGTACGAGGGCGTCCAGTACGCCGACGACGTCACGTAGGACAGGACCAGGTCGCAGCTGAGCGGCGAGGAGACGTCGCCGGCCTCTGTGCCGTCCAGCTTGGTCACGTCCACGTCGGTCGTCACCACGGAGGCGCGGCGCGAAGAGCCCGGGGTGAAGGCCGCGCCGGCCTCGATGGTGATGCGCACGGCGTAGCAGAACTTGGGCCAAAAGTCCTCGCGCTCGCGGCGGATGCGCGCCCGCTCCTTGGCCCGCTCCATGCGCTGCCGGGCGCGCTTCTCCTTGGCCTGCGTCTTGGGCTTGCGATCGCGCTCCCACGCCTTGCGCGCCTTCCTCTCCGCGACACCGTCTTTGCACACCAGGGAGTCCAGGTCCCTCGCGTGCTCGGTGACGGCGCGGTCGGCGTCGCGCCTCTCGCGGCGGCCTTCCATGATGTCGTCGTGCAGCTTGGCGCGCTCCTGCTTGTACGCATCGAGCCCGTCGGCGACGGGCACGCTGCGCTTGCGCTCTAGGGTCTTGCCGTAGGCGTCGAGGTACTTGAGGCGGGCCTCGGCGTTGGCAATCTTCTCGTTGGCGAGGTCGAGGGCGTCGCGGAGGTGCTCGAGGCGGCGACGGCCGGCCTGGAGCTCCGCGCCCTCGTCCCAGCGGAAGGGCGCCTCCCAGTCGTCATCGTGGTCGTCTGACTCCGACTCTGAGTCGCTAGGGTAGATGTCTTGCCATATGTCGCGGTTGGGGAGCGACTCGACGAGGACGTCGCTGATGGCGACGCTGCTGGCCGTCTCGACGCGGACCGAGTCGCGGTCGGCGGTGGGGGTGAGGCCGAGGACGGTGATTTCGTTGGTGCCGGGCTGAGAGGGGGTCAGTCGAGGTTGTCGGATGAAGAGTGGTAGATTGGACGGCGACTCACCTTGAGCTGGACGCTTGCAAGTTCCCTGCTGACTTGGGCTCTGGTGGGGAAGAGTGTGACGGAGCGTGTGGGGAGCTTGCGGACGTGGAACTCGAGCTTGTTGACCGCGTCCATGTTGGGTGTGTGTGAGGGATTCATTTTCGTTTGTCTACCGAGGGAGCTTGAACGACGAGGACGGCAGAGGCTCTTTGCTTATATAGTTGTTGGCGTGTGTGCCTGGGCGCACAGCTGAAGCGCCACGAATTGAGGCTGTACCGGCAGCCATGGCCAGGCACACCACGGCGTTGGTGGAGGCCGGCTGGTGCCTTGCGAGCAGTGACTCCTTGGCGCCGGAGCCACGCAAGCTTCTGTTGCCAGTGTTTCTGGTGGCTGCTGTGGGAGAGAGTCGGTTAGGTTTGGCGTTTGGCAACTCCAGCGCGGGTGCATTGTCGCAATTCTTGCACTCCCCAACGTTGATTTTTCTGTTCTCTGCTGCGAGACCGGGCTGGAGAGACGATGGAGGCTGCCAGGGTGTCGAGCTGGTGTAAGTCGGTGGGACCCTGATGATTGCGGGGGAATTGACAGACGCAGGTGTTTGCCTGCCTCGGGGCTTGGGCTGCCTCCGTGGCTGATGGGCCCTGGCGCTTTGGAGGCGTTTGCTGGACCGCGCCCGGTTTGCTGCCCCTGGCGGTGACCATCATGAGCGGTGCGGCTGAATGGGTGCGTTCCTTTGATTGTACAAAGGTATAACTCGGCAATGGGCTGGGTCTACAGCCGTGGATGAGCTCTGACGCGAATGCCGTCTGGAACAGGATTGTTTGCGAAGCGGTGTCCCGTGTTAGTGTCGGCAGCTTGCCGTGGATGTCTACATACTACGGCCTGCCGTGGGTGACGATGACTCCGTATAGCGTGCGTCTTCAGGGCAGCCAGTCAACTCAACAACAGCCACATTGACGAGACAGGCTCACCAAAAGTTGACAGGGCCGTGGGCAGGCCACATGCAAGCTCCCGGCATGAGCCGTGGGCGCACCAGCAATCAGGACCTTGGCATTGGATCTCAGGCAGAGAAAGCATCAGGCAGCCCCGCAGCGCGGCCAAGGGTTCCGTCTTGTCCAGCCATGCATCCATCCATCTAGCCGGCTTCGTGGCAGTCGACCGACGCTCGACAGGATGATCCATGTACACCTCATTACCAGCCACCGAATATTATCACAACAACATCGTCCACCCCGGCAAAGCCGTCATGTCGTCCCTGACTCAATCCCCCTGATCCACGCAAACATCCATCCATCTGCCCATCCATCCATCCACACATCGCCATGAGCTCGTCCGGCCCGCCCCTCGCCGCCGTCGAGCCCCGGCCCGAGTCCTCGCCCTCCAACGTCGTCACCGGCATACCATGGGAATTCCCGCCGCCGCCGCTGCCGCCCGGCACATATGACGGCGCGCCGCTCCCCGTGTCGGGTCCCCTTCCCGGCCCTCCTCCCGGCGCCGGCATCGCGCTGCAGCTCGGCCCCGAGTCCCAGATCCCCGACCACCCGGGCAGCATGGTCGGCGTGCCGCAGGTGCAGCCTGAGCCGCTACCACAGGCCTATGCGCCTCCTCCACCGCCGCCAGCCGCTGCTGCCGCTGCTCAGGCCGTCGCCGCCCAGGACCTGGACGTCCGCGACATCAAGGCCAGCTGCCAGCTTGGGCTGCGGGAACTCTCGGGCATGCAGAAACAGCAGCGCGAGTCGGGCGGCGCAGCGGGCCTCGAGTCGCGCATCCGCGCCCAGGCCGGCTTCGTGCTGGGCGACCTGCGCGCGCTGCAGGAGGAGGTCCGCGGGCTCGTCAAGGCGGCCGAGGACCACCGATGGCGGCGCTGGATCTTTGGCGGTATAATGTGAGATCCCATCCCCTGTCCACGTCAGTGGCCTTCGGCCCTGAAGTCGTTTTATTCCGCTCACCAGCAGCTACTACCCAGAGCGACCTTCATCCCCGCCGTGCGGCGCATCTTCCGCCGCGACTCGCGCTCCGACGACGACTCGCGGCTCTCGTCCAACGACACAGAGTACGCCTTCCGCCGGTCCAAGGGCCTCATGGCGCGCATCAAGGACGGCGTGCTGGGCTCGGGTAGCTTCGCCAAGGTGGCCTTCTTCGTCTTTGCCGTGCTGTACGTGTTCCAGAACGAGGTGTCGCTGCGCGTGGCCAGGACGGTGCAGAAGCGCGTGAGGCGCCTGATGGAGAGGGTCGAGAGGGGGGACGAGGATGTGGATGAAAAGGACGTGAAGATGCTCGATGGGTGGCGCTGGCGTGTGCTGCTGTGGTGAGCGGTGATGGTGAGCCTGGGTCTTGACGCATCGTGATGTGTTGTGAGGCAATAATGAGAGTGCCCGTCCATGAGAACAGGCTACACGGCATGATACACATGAAACGTTTACATATACAATCTTATATGGTGTTTCGTTGTCCGCAAGTGAAGGTGAGTTTTGGTGTGACTTTACACACAATCAGCTGTCACTCACGTCTGCCCTCCACGTCTGAGAGAGGTGCTGGTTGCCCCACCAAAACTCACGTCCCAGCTTGACGTGCCATCTCAACTTGACCTCACAAACGTCAACCGCCGCCATCCAACATCTTTACCATCAGAGGCCACCCATCATGGGGACAAAGCGAAAAGCATCCGCGGGCTCAGACCCGCCCGCTCCCGTCGACAAACTCCCATTCACGCACAAGGACTGCGACGCCGCGCCGCCACGCGATGCGAGCGCCCAGCAGGCCGCGACGGACCGCCGCTTCCGCGAGCTCTACGCCCGCGCCCCGGACTTTGCAGACCTGGCACGCCGCGATCCCGACTTCGCCGCCGTGTGAGTTGCGCTTTGCCATTTCTCCCTTCGTCATCCCCGGTGAGATGATGTAGAGATTGGAGAAGCTGCTCAGTCCCCTGATGCTAACAACGCTTCGTGCACAGGACCAAGGGCCGCGAGCTCGACTTCAACGACCCCAAGGCGGTCATGCAGCTCACCAAGACGCTGCTGAAGCTCGACTTTGGACTCAGGCTGGAGCTGCCGGATGATAGGCTGTGTCCACCGGTATGTGTGAATGCGCATGGCCGAGGATTGGAAGCTCAGTTGGGGTTGCTGATGTCCAGAAACCCAGGTCCCGAACCGGCACAATTACATCCTCTGGCTCAAGGGCCTGCTTGACACATCATCTTACAGCCCACCCGGGCAAAAGCTCGTCGGCCTCGACATTGGCACCGGGGCGAGCTGCATATACCCCCTCCTCGGTTGCACAGAGCGACCCTGGTCCTTTATCGCGACGGGTACGCTCACCGCAGGACCTTGCTGCTCGAGTTTCCCATGACTGACTGAAATGGCAGACACCGACGCCGAGAGCATATCCTGGGCCAGGAAAAACGTCGAGATCAACGACCTCGCCGCCCGCATCACCGTCTCCCACCGAGACCCGTCCTCGCCCCTCCTCCCCCTCGACGACCTCGGCCTCGCCTCTCTCGACTTCTGCATGACCAACCCGCCCTTCTACGCCTCCGAGGCCGACATGCTCGCCAGCGCGGCGCTCAAGGCCCGCCCCCCGCGCACCGCCTGCACCGGCTCCCCCGCCGAGATGGTCACGCCCGGCGGCGAGGTCGGCTTCGTGGGCCGCCTGGTCGACGAATCGCTGACGCTGAGGACCCGCGTGCGCTGGTACACGGCCATGCTGGGCTTCCTGTCGAGCGTCGCTGACACGGTCGCCCGGCTGCGCGCCGGGGGCGTCGACAACTTTGCCGTCACCGAGTTCGTCCAGGGGAACAAGACACGCCGGTGGGCCGTGGCCTGGAGCTTCGCACCCATGCGGCCGGCGCAGGAGGTCGCGCGCGGCACCAAGGCTGCGTCTGTCAAGCTGGGCAGCGGTACTAGCATCTTGCCGCCGCAGACGGAGCACGACTTGCGCGTGTCACCGCTTCCTGATGACATTGGCGTGTTTGTGCAGCATTTGCGGGACACCGTGGCCGCTCTGGAACTCATGTCTTGGGAGTGGGATGGCGAGGCCATGGAGGGGACTGGACGGGCTGCGGATCGTGTGTGGGCGCGGGCGTGGCGGCGCAAGAAGAAGCGCGCGGCAGAGGCCAAGGAAAAGGGGCTGGAGGAGCAGGGCGATGACATGGTTGATCCGGTCTGCGTGTTTGGGTTCCGGGTCCGGGTGCGGGTGGCCCTCGACCATATTGATGTGCAGTGTCGCTGGATGGAGGGCTTTGATGCCGTCGCGTTTGAGAGCTTTCAGGGGTTTCTCAAGACGACGGCAGAGGCGGCAACTGCAAAGGCAAAAAAGTCCAAGTGAATTTCAAGACGTGCCATGTCCGTCACGCTATGCCCTCGTCTATAAGTTTGCTTGCTGCGGCCAACCCGACACCGGCAGGGGCGCCATCTATCTGTACCTCAACCTGCTGACTTGCATCCGTCTAATTGTCCAACGTGAATCCGTCCGGCAGGTGGTCGTTATATCCAGCCGCCACCAGCCGTCCCATGGCCGCCCACACCTCAGGCGGGATCTCCTGCTCGACCTGGAAACCGCGCGCCGGGTAGTCGCGTATGCGGACGAGATCCCCAACCATGACATTAATGACCAAGTCGCGCGGGTTCTCCTCATCCGGGTAATCCTCAAACGCAGCGAAGCGCGGCGACGTGACACTCATGCGCACGCCCTCCGCGCCGGGCCACTGCTTCCGAAACGTAGCCCACGTCCTCCTCTCCATGTACGGCTTCTGCACCAAGATGAACGAATCAGCGGGCACACCGCGCTCCTTGAGCAGCGCGTGCGTGAAGCGCACGTTCTCGCCCGTGTTGGTCGCGCGCGGCTCCACGACGATGTTTTGCTCCGGCACGCCCATGCGGCGCGCCACGGCGGCGAAGGCTTCCGCCTCGGGCAGCCCGCCGAAGAGCCCGCGCGTGAGCTTGCCCGAGGCGCCGGAGAAGACGAGCGTGGGCGCGAGCCCGTCGAGCCACAGCTGGGCGGCGCGCTGGGCGACGCGCAGGTCGAGGCTGCAGAGGCAGAAGATGACGGAGGAGGGCTGGGGGGTGTGGTGCAGCTGGTGGTAGTGGAAGATGAGCTCGGCGTCGCGCGCGACTTGTTGCTGCTGCTGCTGCTGCGTTGCTTCGGAGGCGGAGGCGGAGGAGGAGCCCATTGTGGTGACGGAGCTAGGTGATGGCACCGATGAGAGGAGTGAGATGTGGTTGTGAAGTTGTGAGATGAGTGAGAGTGGCTGGCTTCCTTGTGGTGATGGATGGCAAAGTGGAGTGGACTAGCCAGCAGCTCTCGCGGACGGATAACCCGAAGCCCGACTTACACGCGCTTACACACAGACACAGGAACAATGAACAAAGGCAAAATCCCCTCAATGACAACTGGTCGCCCGGGACACGCGCCGAGGTGAGACGGATGCGACAGATTGTGAGGGCAACGTACGCATTCACTGGGGGACGTGTTCCCGCGTGGCCAAGGGCTCTTCTCGTCTCTGCCCTGTTTCCATCAAGTCCAAGGGGTTTGATCCGCCCCCGTCCTGCAATCAGGCTCGACAAACATCCTCTTGCTCTGCTCGCCCTCCCACACAGCCGGCGAGTAATACGCCCGCCACAGCTCCTCGTTCGCCAGCTCCTTGTTCGCCAGCACGAACCCCTCAAAGCTCTCGGACCGGCGCCCGTGGTTCATCCTCGCGCCGAGCACCTGCCGCGCCCAAAACGTCCTCTGCGTGCGGCCATCGACGGTACCCGCGCAGGGGACCTCGAGCGCGTCGGCGATGGCTTGCGCCGGCCAGCCCCTCGCCTGGTCGTCTGCTTCGGCGAGGATGCGGTGGAGGCGCAGGAGCATCCGCGCGTGGCTGTTTCCCTTGACGAAAGAGCCCTCGGTGTCTTCCAGTGCGATGATCTCGGCCTCGTCGATGATGACGGCGGCGGCGAGGGCGAGGTCGTCTTCAGATGGCGTTTCGACCGCGTCGCCGTGGATGTCTACCGTGACGAAGTCTTCGAAAGAGTCGTCGGTGTGGGATGAGGGCTGGTTCTTGGCGATCGTGTTGACTGTAGTCTTCTGCGCAGTCCCATTGAACGTTGTTGGCTTCGGCGCACTTCCTTTGACCGTGGGCTTCTGCACACGTCGAACCATGACAGGCTTCTGTGTGGCTCCACTGACCAGAGGCTTTTGGGTAGGTCTTTTGAGCGCAGCCTTTTGCGCGCTTCCATCGGCCTTGGGCTGCTGGGCACTTCCACCGACCGCAGGCTGCTGGGCTCTTTCGTAGACCACAGGTGACAGCACTCTTCCATCGTCAGCAGGCTTCGGCGCAAGCACAATGTGGACCCCAAGCGTCGCCGCAAGCACCTCCGGCAGCGGCTTCAAGTCCGGGATCACAACCCCAACGCGCGCATGCATGCTCTCCCACACGAAGCGCGAGTAGTACTGCTGCCACTCGTCGCCCCTGAAACCAAAAATGTCCACAAACTCCTCGGGCGTCATTTCCGTGTGCAGGCCGTGCCACATGGCCACAGCCTTCACAGCGCGGATGCCCGTCTTCATGATGGCGCCGGTGAGGCACCCGCGGACGTACTGCAGCCAGAACCACGCCTTGGTGGGCGTGAACGGTGGGATATTGGGGTCCGTGGCCCGTCGGCGCATTATGACGGTTTCGATCCCGTTGAGCGCGTGCTGCTGGATCACGTCGGGGCCGAGGTTCAAGCTCGCGGCCGATACGTGCATCTCTCGCGCCACGGCGAGCCCGAGGCTCATGAGCCTGTAGCTCTCCAGGAAGGCCTCGTCGACGACCGCGGGGGGTTCTGTTGCGAAAGGCATCGTGTAGACGGATGGCAGGGGCCAAAAGTCTGGAAAGAGCCAACGCTCGCTGGCGTCGGGAGAAGAGATCCGGCGCTTGGAAAAGTAGTCCCTCCACAGGCCCGAGTCGGACAGCTCGGGGTTATGCAAAAGGACGTTGGTAAAGTCGTCGCGTGTCAAGGCCCTGTCGAGTTGCACCTCTTGAACGTACTTGTTCGCCGAGAGGTGAAGTTGGAGAAGCCAGAAGATGGTCTTGGTGCTGGACGGTGTTAGATAAAAGATCAAAACAAACTTGACGAGGCTTTGCCCTAGGGGTAACCTGCCGGTGTGTTGCGTCGTGAAAACTGTGATCTGGCTTCAAGGTTTCCAGGTATTTAACCTTGTTGATGAGCACGTCTGCGCAGTCGAACAGCGTCATAGAGGACGTGGCGCCCTCGACCAGGGCAAAGAATCCAGCCCGTAGGTGGCTGTAGTGATTCCACTCCTGCACGTCACCTCGCTCCAACGACTGCCAAAACTCGTCCGCGGACGCACCATCTGCGTCAATCATCTGCCGTGCCTGGCGCTTCAGATCATCCAAGTCCGCACGGGGTCGCTTCGCTGCGGGCCGCGATTCATTCCACGTCGGGATGGCTGCTCGCGGCTTCGGCCCGCGCCGGAGGCGTTCTTGCACGTGGTCGAGGATGACGTGCAATTCCGCGTCGGAGCTCTTTGTGGCGCTCAGGTACGGGAGGTCTAGTACGTCTATTGTGAGTTTGTGGGCGTGTTTCGTCGATTCTTGCTCGTAGCGCCTCATTATGTTGGCGACGTGGTGGCGCCTTTGGGCGGGAGGCAGGAGGTCCTGCTTGTTGAGGATGACGAATATGTAACGCCCGCCCCCCTCGGCCAGACCTTTGGCCACGCGGTGAAATTCATCGATCTGCTCGTCGAACCGCTCTTTATCCGCACAGTTGTGGATGAAGAGAATGTACTCTGTCGAAGGGAGATAGTGCCGCAGAAGGGGTCGAAGCTTCTCAGACCCTGCACAGCGCTGTCGGGTCAGCCACACGCTACGCAATCGTCACAACTCTGCCCGTGAGCCGGCTGAAGTCGAATGAAAAGAAAGCGCGTACCTCCGACGTCCCACAGAACAAGATCCGATCCATTATTGCGGGGGATGGTCTCGACGTTGAAGCCCATGGTGGAAATTGTCGTTATGACCTCGCCCAGCTTCCAGCGGTACAGTAACGTCGTCTTGCCAGCGGCGTCGATGCCAGCCAGCAGGCCGCGCCGCTCTGGCCCGTGGCAGTAATTGGGGAGGAACCATTTTCTGAGGGCCTTGCTGCGGGCGAGAATCCCGCTCATGATGGTGGACGGCGCTGGGAATGGTGCGGCTTTGATTCACACGGGAATACCGCGCAAGCCCCAGAGGATAAATTGACGACACGATGGATGCTCATTTATGTGCTTTGCAGCCTGCGTCGCGACGCGGATGCTGATCGGCAAGGAAAAGATACATTGCGACGTGGCCTCTGATAATGATGCTGCCTGGTCGAGGTTCAAACTGTCAAAGCTGTCAACATTGAAGTGTACGTTAGTGAACAACCCCGGTCTTAGCCTCATTCGAATTGCCGACACCCGGCCTCCAAATTGCTGCCTGCGTCAAGTTTTGGAGATACCTGGCCTCAGCTCATGACTTTAGACTGCTGCCTCTAAGGCGCGGTATTCGACATGGCACTCAACTCATGGTGTCGACTCAAAAAAATGAGCAAAACAACAGCTCACGCCGAATCACGGCTCACATGCGTACAGCGGACAGAGTCGGCGGGAGTTGTTCGCTAAAGTAGATTTGTTGTGGTACTCGCGGGCTTCCTGCCAGACACAGAACCGCACGCCATTCATTCAATGCTATGGATGTAGTAAATGCAGTGACGACTTCCTCGGCCGAATCGACATCGAACCCTCCTGGTCACTGGTGTTTAGTATCAGGTGTCTCCCGCCGACCTCTCCTCATATCGTCACTCCCAACCCCTCCTCGACTTACACCAGAGCTTTCCCCACACTCCTGTCGACCTCCCCTCCTCCTCACTCCACGATCAGTCATCTCACCCACTTCACCTCTCATACTCACGTCCTGCCGCACCCGCCGCCATGTCCTCCTTCGCCGCCGCCCACGCCGCCGAGCGCAGCGCCCTCACCCAGCGCGCCATCCCCTCCATGACCCTCGCCACGGGCACCACTACCACCCCGGCCCCGCCCCCGGCCCCGGACGCCGCCTCCCGCTTCGCCGTCTCGGGCGTCGCCATCCTCACCGGCGGCACGGGCGCCATCGCCGCCGCCGTCTCCCGCGCGCTACTCCAGCACGGCCTCTCCTCCCTCATGCTGCTCGACCTCGCCGTCGACTCGGACGACGCTCGCGCCGGCATCGCCGCCCTGCGAGCCGACTTCCCGCACGCAGGCATACGCGCCCGCGCCACGGACGTCACTGACGAGGCCGACGTCGCTGCTGCTGTGGCCGACACGGTTGCTGCGTTTGGCTCCGTCGATGCGCTCGTCTGTCTCGCTGGCATTGTCGGCTGCGCCCACGCACTGGATATGCCCGTCGCGCAGTGGCGGCGCATCATGGACGTCAACGCCACGGGTGCGTTTGTCTGCGCGCAGGCCGTCGCGCGCCAGATGGTCAAGCAGAACGAAGACGACGACGCAGCGCATCGCAGTCGTCGCGGCGGGCGCATCGTGCTCACGGCGTCCATCTCGGCGCATCGCGTCAACTACCCGCAGCCGCAGGGCGCCTACAACGCCAGCAAGGCCGCCGTCGTGGCGCTCAAAAGCTGCCTGGCTGCCGAGTGGGCGCAGCATGGTATTCTTGTCAACAGCGTCAGCCCGGGGTACATGGACACGGTGCTCAACGCTGGCGATGGGCTCGCCGACGCGCGTGCGAGCTGGTGCGCTCGCAATCCCTCGGGCCGCATGGGCGCTCCTGATGAGGTCGCTGGTGTTATCGTCGTGCTGCTGAGCAGGGCGGGCTCGTATCTTAATGGCGCCGACATTATCGTTGACGGCGGCGGCGTCGTCTTCTGAACGTCCATTTAGACGAACGTGCTCCAAAGAGATCCGGCAGCATGTGCTCCCACCGGCGAGGACGGCAATAAGAACAGCAGCTTCCCGGAATGCATCTACGCTTGCCCTTGCAGCTGACGAATCACGTACTCGGTTGCAGTAGCCTCGCTGGTGCCAATGTTCATTGTTTGATTATATATACTTGTAGAAAGTTAGACGCGTGTCTCGCCAGACTCGCCCGATGCCCGCCATCACTTCTTGCCGCAGTCCGCGCCTCCAATCCTGACGCGGTAGCCGAGCTCGCTGTAGACCATGGCCGAGCCCTCGCGCATGCAAATGGGCGAGTCCTTGAGCAGCGACAGGCCGTTGCTGAGCCAGCTCCACGAGCCAAGAGTCAGCTCCTCGGTGTTCTATCGACACAGAAGCGTTAGCCCATCGTTCACTGCGTGCGCCGTGCATCGTTTCACATGGTATAGAGAGAGATGCTTACGTCGTTGCACCACCACACTGCGCAGCTGTGCTGGCAGCTGACCCTGCCGCAGCCACCGGCTCTGTTGGACGGCTTGCCGTTGATGTGGCTCAGGTAGTAAATGTGGTTGTCGAGCCAGGCAGCCAGGTTGGACCAAGGGTCCTTGCCGCACACGATGAGAGACCGCGAGCTGAAGCCATCGTCTCGGTTGCGGCGATCAACTCGGGACGTCGTGGCCGCATCGCGCGCCTGCAGGGCCGGCGCGACCTCCGTGTCCCAGTTGGGGTTGCGCTCGAGCAGCTGCGCGTGGACCTCCTGCACGGTACCGTAAAGCGTGGCCTTCTCGCCACGGCGGACTTCAACCTCCCAGGCGATGGGGACTTCGTCCGCGGGAGCGACGGCCGAGGCGAGGACCTAAAGTTGACGCTCCTGTTAGACAAAGCTCAAAGATGTCACAAAGATGGGTTGTCCAACGTACGCCAACGACGAGGAGGCAGAGCGCAAGGATCTTGGTGAAGAACTGCATTGTGGCTGTGTTCTTTGCTTGTGATGTTGACTGAAACTTGAGAACTGGCGTAGAGATCAACCACAGGTCAAGGCAGCATGAGCTTTGAATGCCCCGAGGGGGGGGACTCTTGCTATTTAAAGTCCTGAGCACAGCAGGGAGAATCGCATCGCAAGCGAGGGCGCGCTCTCTGGTCCGAACTTCCTCGGTTTCGCGGCTGTCGCTTGAGCCTACTTCGAGCCCGTGATGCCATGTCGGCTCTCATCCGAATCCGTTCGCGAGGACTTTCACAGGCGGTGAGTGGCATATGGGCCTGCCTTTGCGTCCGTGATGGCAGCCATCCGGAGTTTCAGCCGTGAGCTGGGACCAAAGGACGGTATCGTCCTAAGCGAGATCCGAGCATGGAGGCCGGTGCCTGGCTGCAGGGGGAGACGAGGCGCGCTTGATAATGCCATGTCTCTGGCATACGTCGTCTGAGGTATGCAGCCTCACAGGACGCACTTCTCCCGAAGCCGTTGCGCGGCATTTCTCATAAGGGCCATGACAATGGCTTGCCGCTATAGCATACAGTACTATACGAGCATGATTGAACGCAGTCGCGTGACTCGTGTTTGGATTCCATCCCTGGTAAGAAGTTTCCCTCTGCGTAGGGCAGGTGTTTGCTTTGCAGTGCCATGCACGCCACGTCTCACCCGCACGCAGTTGAGCCCACCCGATGCAGCCCCTGCACGCTTCCCTGCCCCTCGCGGCACAGGCCAGCTATCCGATCCGGCGCCGGCGCGGGGTCAAGCGGCTGCCGGTCGGTGCTCGCACGAACGGCGGCCGGGTGGCGAGGCACGTGCGGCTTGGACGGCGTGTAAGTTGGTCTGTGTGAGGATTTTATCCGCGCTTTGTCGACAAGACTCTTTTTGACTGGCAACGTCACGAACAAAGACAAGACGGGTTTGTTATTCTGATTGCTTCATTCGACTTGGGCCAGTGCTCTCGAGACAAAGGACGGCTTGACGCTTGCTGCGAGACCGGATCGACTAGACGACAAAGAGGGCAGGCCGTTCCGAGAAGTCCCCGTCGCCATGCATGCAACCACAGAGCCAGCAAGCATCTCCGATCAGCGAGCAGCACGGGGCGGCACCTGACCGTTCGAAATCCCCTCAAGCGATCCGAAAGCCCATGCAGTACACGAACATGGCCAGGTCGCGGCGACTCGGGCCTCCGCTGCCAAAAGACGGCGGCACTTGAGATCTGACTCGGGCCCGGCAGAATGTCGCGATGGCGTCCGGAGGGAGCGGCGAATCAGCGCCCCACGTGCAAGTGACGGATCCCTGGTTCGCCCCGCGCGGGGCTCGTGCCGGCGAGACGCTCTGCCCTCCTCCCACTCCGCTGCCGCGAACCGGCACCGTGTCGATGCCCGTGTCGCGCCGGCCGCCACACCTCTGCCGCACCCGGCGTCCGTGAGGGCCACAGCCCAACCCAATGGCCGAGCCCCTAAACTTTCCGTTTCTGCATCTGCCCTGTCGCGCGCCTGTGGTTGGGCCGTTGGAAAAGAGGGGCCCGTGTAAGTGCAGCTGCGTGTATGTGAGGGTCGACAACGCGGGGGAGCCGCTCGGCAATGTTATAAACGAGTGAGCGCTTCGTCGTTGCATGGATCGCAACGTCGTCCATGGAAGCCTTTCAGGCAAGTTTGCTGCTTGCTCATCGGCGATCGCCATGGAACGAATCTCCCTTCTCACGGTTTCCAAAGTGGAACCGGCCGTATCCATAAGTCCCCACTCGACCGTTGTTCGTCGGCTGAGCCCGAGCTTGATCCTCGCCTCGCATTGCCAGCGCGTTCTCGCGACACTTTCCTACGTCGTGTGCCTTCGCGCCTATCTTGTCGCCAGCGTCGCCCTGCCGCATGCCTCGTACGCCAGCCGTTTCCTCGTCGCTTGGGCCGTCGGCGCCGCAAAGACTGGCGCCTTTCACGTTCTCCATATGTCCAGCAAAGCCGTCGCCGACGCCTGGGAGTCCCAGCCGGTGCGACAGGTCCGACAAAAGCTCTTCTACGAGTTTGCCGTCTTCATCCTCGGCGGCGGAAACGCCCTGATCCTCTTGCTCTTTTGGCCCGGATGGCTCATCCTCGCGGCAGCCATCTGGGGGCTCTATCGTTTCTGGGGTTGACGCATCGACGACGCTGAGAGATCAACAACAACCGATTCGAAGCGAACACCCCACCTGAGCAGCAATCAACTCTATGTCTCGATACGGGCAGGCTGCGCAACCTCTCAGAGAAGCCGCCATCACTTCGCATAGAAGAAGGTGTTGCCGCCCGTGTCCTTGCGGACCTCATTGGTGTAGTCCTTCTCCGGGTCGAACTCCTGCCACGTGCTGGCCGGGTATATGTGCTTGTTCTTCTCGTACCACCTCCGGTCTACAACCTTGGTCACCGTCGGGTCGTCCGTTGCGCCCTCGAGCGTATTGATATCGGGCAGCGGCGCCTTGGATGCCTTGGTCAACAGCCGATCCGCATCCGCGCTGTCGGTTCTGGCGTTGGGAGTTTCAGGGCGTGGGGGCGCCTCGTTGCGGTAGTCGAAGAGACGATGGCCGCCCGGGCCGATGCTCTTGTTCATGACGAAAAAATAAAAGTCATAATGCTGGGATTGTTTGGTTAGCGACTGCAAATAGCGAGCATAGCGGAATTGACTTACATGAGGAATAATGACCGTGTCGCGCACGAGCATCAGGTCATCCACGCCAACTCGTGCCCATGATTTGCGCGACGTGCTCTGATCGCCAACACCAAGCTCAGCGCCGACCTTGCGGCTCTTGTCGAGAAATACCCAAACAAAGTCGCCCTTCTTCATGCGCACCATGCCGCCTGGCGTATTGGCGCCGTCGTAGAAGACGAACGGGATGGCAATCTCGGTTGCCTTGACAGCCTCTTGCACCTGCACAAACTCGCGGCGCAGTGTTTCTCGCTCGGCAGCTTCTCTTCGTAGCGCGGACTTTGTCGTAGCTTTCGGGACGATGCCTACGGACGCGTTGGCCTTGAACTTGGACTTGACACTGCCATTCTTCTCGGCCGCGGAGCTGTCCTCGTCGTCGCCCTCTTCGTCGTCAAAGGACAGTAGCTTCTTCCCCGGCAGCTTCTTCTTCTTCTTCTTGACAGGGGCCACGCCAGAGCCGCTTGCCGAGTCGCTGCCTGCGTTGTCGGGGGTCGCCGTGTGCGAGCGATCGGGAGTCGAGGTGCCAGAGTAGGCAGCCTCTCGCGCCTCGCGCTCTTGTTGCTCGAGGACCTCGGCGCGTCGCTTGCGGAAGTCGGACAGGGCGACGAGTCCGACCGTGTTCGTCGAGAGCCGCTCGTGGGTGGACTTGTTCTGCGGCGCGAACCGCGAGCCGGCGTTGTCGGACATGGCGGCGGCAGCTGTGGTGTTGATGGTGACGGGTCGATGTTGGTCAATGGTCAGACAGGCGCAGAGCTTTGACTCGAGTGGCGGGCAGGTCGAACAGTAGCAGACCACTTCGCACTGTGGGGACTAACGCCGACCAACCCGGTCAACACAGTGCCTCCTCCAACCTCCACAATGTCACCTCGATTACACCGTATGATCTGATCGTCAGCAGCAACGCAGAATAAGATTGGAGTCATTATCGAGCTTTCTATGGAAGTCGGTTGCCCTGCCGCGTGGCCTGTCCGACAAGCGAGTTCGTGGTGTCATCGGCATACCTCTTGTACGCGGCAAGATAACGCTCGTCGGCACTCCAGGTCGCCTTGACGCTCTCACGATTCTCGACGGCATCCATCCACGTCTTCCAGCGGCCCCAGACGCTATCTCCGTCCTTCGGGATGCCCAATCCTCCGGGTTTGTAATGGTCGATGAGCCACAGGCGCTTCGCCCATGGCGCGAGGCTTATGTCCACGAGACTAATTTGGTCGCCCAGGAACCATGGCCCGGTCGGGTCCATCTGCTCGGTGAAGGCCCGGATATGGCCATGCAGCTCATCGCGAGCCAGCTCAATGCTATACGGCTTCTCGGGCGTGTGCTGCAGAAGCTTGTAGAACGCCGGGATGATGCGCGTGCTGATGTGGTCGATCCACAGTCGCGCCCGTGCCTTCTCGTACGGCTCCTTGGGAAGCAAAGAGGGCCCATGCTTCCCCTCATCCGCATAAGCCTCGTCGAGATACTCGGAGATGATGCTGCTCTCGAACAGCGGCTTCTGCTTCTGGCCACTTGCATCGACGGGCACCGCCAGCGTGGGGACCAGGCCGCGCGGGTTCATGGCAAGAAAGCTGGCCTCCTTGTTGTACGGATTGATCTCGACATACTGGTGCGGGATGCGCTTCTCCACCAGAACGATCCAGGAGCGCTGCACGAACGGGCAAAACCAACCGCCGTACAGCTTGAGCGGGTGGTTGGCGGCGTGGCGTGCGGCCAGTTCCGCCGCCGCCCCAGTTGTCTCAGGCGGAAGGGACGTGTCGACGTTGGGCATTTTGAGATGTCGTGGGAGTTCTCAAGGCAATAATGAGGATGGAAATGGAGACCTGGGTTGAGCGCAGACGCCAACAACGGGGACCGGTTGGGGATGCATGACGTGATGGCTGCATCGCGCACCAGTCGATTTGTAAGTCGAGCCCCTCGCCGGACTCCGAAGCCGCTTCATTCAACTGTTGACATCGACTTGCAACTCATTTTGCCAATAAATACAAACAAACATCGACTGTTTGACGCAATTCAGCCATCTGATCCCGGAACGCGAGCGACCCCCACCAAGCAGTCTGCGACCTCGTTAACAACAGCCAAGTTCAGTTCTTCTTGGCCTTTTCGGCCTTCTCCGCCTCAGCCTGGAGACGCAACTTCTCCAGCGCGAACAGCGCCCAGTTGAGCACCAGCTGCCCGACGAAAACCCACCCCTGCGGGCCCATCATCTTGCCGTTGTCCCATTCGGGTTCCGCCCACCATGAACCGGGATAGAAGACCGCGGTGATTCCAGAGGCCGCCGTCATGGAGCCCACGATGGCGGCTAGGAGGAGCGAGTCCTGCGCCGCGTCGGCAGTGGGCGTGCGACGGTGCAAGAGCCACGTCGCAGTGAGCGACGCCATGGCTCCGAACGACAGCGACTGTCCGTTGTGGAAGCGCGCGTGCGCCGGCCAGCGCGGGTTGAACACGTGTGTCTCGTTCCAGCTCTTGACGAAGACGAGGCCCGAGAAGAGCAGGTTGTTGGCGGCCATGAGGCTGCGCGGGATTGAGTCTCTCAGATGAGACATGGCGAAGTCAGCTTTTGCGATGAGAAAATGGATGCGATTGCTACAGGGTGACAGTTGCCCGGACCATTTGTGGCGACTGCCGACTATTTACATGCGCTGCCGAGCCACGATGCTTCGGCACTTCAGCCCTACCTGAGCTCAAGCTCTCCCGAGACACCAGGAAGACAGCTTCAGCCTCGAATCGTCTAGGCCAGTATTGGACGAGCTTGGGGTTCAGCTTCCTCCGACGAGCAGAGCGACAGCCGACGGTGGCGTTTGGCTCTCCGTCAAGTCACATGTCTGTCGCGACAGGACGACAGCCCTTCGAGCATGCCAGGTCAGCTTGACGCAATTGGTTGACAAGCGGAAAGAAGGGTGCAGAGAAGCGTCTGGTTGCGAATGTGTCAGCGTGTGGTTCACGGTGGCTTTGTCCATCTGTTCTGGTTCCCTGCATCTGGAAGACCATTAAGATACGCCCGTTGCGGCATGCCGCAGCCAATTAGCAGCAGGCCCGTCGCCGATTCAAGTAGCATACGCCTGCGATGTTTCTGGAACTAAGGGGACGTATTTGCTATGCAGCTAGTTTGATTCAGGTTGAGGGCCACTGTGCTTAAATGTCCGGTTGTCTGGCACCACAAGAGACGGGAACTCTCCCATTTCTGGCTCGTCGTACCGATGCATCGTCGCAGTAGTGGCTCTCAAAGATGGATTTCCGTCTGAGAGTCTCTTGAGGGGGTTCAACGGCCGGCCAAGCAGATTTGTTGCAAACACGGGCCGTCAACTCGACAGAGCTACTGCCAGTGCCCTCCGTCGAACACACCAGCCTCGTAGGGCTACAATGCCCCGATCTTACACATGTGCTGCACCTGCAGAGGGCTTGATCAGTTTTTCCTGCCCGCCTGTGCTTGGCCCTGCTGCAACGTTCAGTTGCCACGGGAGCCAGTGCGCGAACACACGCCGCCCGCCAGTCGGGGGGCGGCGTTTGCTACCTCTGCCAGTCACTCCAGAAGGCTCGGAGGCCGATTCACGGGTCACTGCTGTCTCGCACCCTGTCTGCTGGCGGCGGCCCCGGCCAGGTGTCGCCGGGCCAAAACGTTGCTTCTGCGGCTTGTTCACCAGGCGAGTCACACCTCCATCAATCTGGCCTGCACGCGTGGCCTCAGGCTCGTTCTTTCCTTCAACACCCTCGCTACACTCACTCTCCTTCACCACAACACCACTCGCTCAGGCGCACAACACGCACGCGGTGCCGGGTCATTGCGGTCTGGCAAAGCCTTTGTCTGCGTTGAGGTATCCCTCATTCACGCACAACTTCAAGGTTAGCGCCCACCGGCGACAACTTGGCTCAGTATGACGTTTGACCTCGAGCCCAAGGTGGACATGACCAAGCTCCTGTCGCACCTGGAGCTCCTCGAGGGCGACGATCCCACGAAGGATCCAAACGAGGTGAAGAGCGCCCCCATCTTCACCGAAGTGGTTCGTGGCCATGCAGCAGATCTGCCGTCCAACCCGTTCACCCAGTACGGGCTCCTCGGCGGCGACGCGACCAAAATGTCCAGCCTCATGTACACCAACAGTCTCGTGTCTGCGGAGCATGACCCGAGAATTTACCAAAACATCACCGCGCCTTCAAGCGTCTTCATCTGTGGCAGTCAGGGCTCCGGAAAGAGCCACACGCTGAGCTGCATGCTCGAAAACTGCCTGCTTCCATCCGAGGCAAACAGTCTCCCTCGCCCTCTGACAGGCATCGTCTTTCATTACGACTATTTCACCTCGGATGCAGGCGGTTCGCCGTGCGAGGCGGCGTACCTGTCGTCGCATCCAGCGGTCAAGGTGCGCGTGCTGTGCCCACCGACGAACATTGTCCAGATCCGAGTGAGTTCCTTCTCCGTCTTCGCCGATTGTTATCGAAACAAATCTGACACCGTCGCAGAGAATCTACAGCAAACTCCCCAACGTCAAGGTTGAAGGACTGCGCTTCGATGAAGCTGACCTCAACACGAAGCGAATGCTCGACTTGATGGCCGTGAGCTCTATCCACGGCGGTGGCATGCCGCTGTACCTCCACGTTGTCACACGTATACTGCGTCAACTTCGAATCGCCCAACAGAATGCCAACTCGACATTCAACTACGGCGCCTTCAAGCATTTTCTCGAAGCCGAGGACTTGACGCCAGGCCAGTGGTGTCCTTTGCAGCAGCGACTGGACACTCTCGAAAGCTTCATGGCGAGCGAGCAGGTGTCTGGCGGAGGAAAGAAGAAGAAGGCGGCGGTTTCGATTCGGCGAGGCACTGACTGGACTCCAAGGGTGCGTCCTCATACAATCCTAAAGCGAGATCTGGATTTTGCTAACAAACGTCCACACAGGCCGGACAGCTGACAATCGTCGATTTATCATGCCCGTGCGTCACGGCGGAAGCAGCTTGTGCCTTATTCAACATCTGCCTCAGCCTTTTCCTGGAGCAAGCATCGACCATTGGTCGCGTCGTCGCGCTCGACGAGGCGCATAAATATATGACGGACTCGGCAGAGTGCGAGACGCTCACGCAAGCGCTGCTTACGACGATCCGTCTTCAGCGCCATCAAGCGGCCCGAGTCATCATCTCGACCCAAGAGCCCACGATTTCCCCAAAACTCTTAGACCTGTGCTCGGTGACGATAGTGCATCGATTCACGTCTCCGGACTGGCTTCGCGCGCTGAAGGGACACTTGGCTGGCGCAACGGCGCTGAACAAAGGCCGTAGCGGCGTCAAGGCTTACGAAACGAATCTTCTCGATGATCCCCCAGCGCACGCGGACGCGGAGATGCAGTTGTTTTCGCAGATCGTATCTCTGCGCACCGGCGAAGCGCTTCTCTTCGCGCCCAGCGCTGTCGTTGGTGTCTGCCAGTACACCATTGAATCCTCCACCACCGACACTGGATCGAACGAACAGAAAAGCGAAGACTCGCACGAGACAGCCGTCGAACCCGAGGAGGGCGTTTCGAAGACTGTCACCGAGCTGTTGCGACTCGAGCATGGCTTCATGAAGATCCGCGTTCGCAAGCGCATCACTCAGGATGGAGGCCGCAGCGTGATGGCGAGTTGAGCGGGACTGAAATTCGGTACGGAGGCTCGTGGAGGGAGATGGTCTTGTTGCCTTGGCCCTAGATGGAGACGCGAGGATGAACGGTCAAACGTAGAGTACAGAGCTGGGTCGTAGATGCGATCTGTTCACATGATTGTAAGATTAGGCTCGAGGAGCAATCGAAGCCCAGACAGATGACTGAGAGATTCGACAAATTGCTCGCCACTCGGCACTGTTCACTCTCGACAAGGAGATGGCCCATTGACTGTTCCTGTGAGCTCTCGGTCGTCCGAGTCCGCCTGACATATTCCATTGTCTTCAGGAAGCAGCGCCGGCCAAGAGACCTAATGAGGTATGATCAGCTTCACCCTGTGCCAGCGAACTCTGAGTTTAGACGTACCCGTCAAAGAAAAAACCGCCCAGACGACACCGGTGCTCATGAGCTTCGGCGGACAAAACCTTTGCGTGTAAGTCAGCCTGCTTCGCACAGCATATCGGGCCATGACTTACAGAACACCGCTCATCTCGAGAAATCTCGTCCAGTACGCAAACTGCACCAGAGTCACATACCCCAGCACGATGCCGCCGACAATGGCGCTCGCCCAGCGCTTCAGCACCGTCTGTCTCTTCCTGTGCTTGACGCCAACCCTCGCCGTCCCATCGCGACGCACACTCACGCCCCAATGCCTTCCCGTCTCGTATCTCCTCCCCTCGGCCGGAAACGCCTCCCCGTAGCGCTTGTGGAAGGGTATCAGGGCGATCATGCACAGCAGCAGCAGCCCCGGCGCGCTGGCCACGAAGCTGACGTGGTCGGAGATGAACTCGCGCGGCTTGCTTGCCCCCGGCAGGCGGTGCCACGTCACGCCCGTGAAGATGGCCGATATGATGAGCAGGAGCATTTCGGACAGGGACGTGGCGATCCAGGCGTCCGTGTAGGGGAACTCGACGCGCTCGTCGAGCTTGCGCTGGATGATGGTCGTGCCGTCCCAGTCGCGCGGCCGGCGCACGCGCACGACGGTGCGCAGCAGGGCGAGCACGATGAAGTGGAACCGCGGGCGCGTCATGAGCACGGTGAAGATGTGCAGCATGTTGAGGTGTCCGTACCCGGGCGTGTTGCCGATGAGGCCCGCCCCCACGGCGTTGGCGAGGAGCTGGCACGCGACGGTGACGGTCCAGGCAAGCCAGACGGAGTTTTTGGCTCGACGGCCGAGGAACCCGCGGGAAATGTAGTGGACGAAGGGACGGTATGCTACCAGCGGCGTGAGGAGCGTGACGACGGCCTCTGTCACGCCGAACCAGGTGAGTATCTGTGAGCCATTCGGACAGGTGGTGTCCGTGATTTTTTGAGGCGATACTATCCACTCGAACGGAATCGGCGGGAGGTCAGAAGTTGGGATGCCGCCGTAAAGGCCCGTGTTGATGCCCAGGTACGGCGCGATGGACGGGCTGTCTAGCGAGGAGAGGTTGCCAGCAGGAAACGCGCCCGCGGGACGGGCATTGTCGTCACGGCCGGGCCGGGAGAAGAGAACCCCCATGGTGGCCTCGAATCAAGCGCCAGGGTTTGGGCGTCCACGGCGCGCGAAATTGTTGATGACAAGTCCATGATGGGGGAACCTGCAGATGATGGCGGTTTTGTTTCGCTTCTCATCGGGCTCGGACACCGGTGTCGCTCCGCGCGGCGGGCATTGCCCAAAACAGCGTAGGACTCGGGCTGAGAGGATCCCTGAGACCCTGGTCGGCGTCTGGCTGGCCGACCGTTGCGTTTCTTGGCCGTGTGGTGTAAGCCCTAGCGCTGGGCATCGCGCGCGAGAGGCGGAGAGGTGACATTGTAGCTCGGATTCGCCCCACCTGGATCTGATGACAGGTCACAGCACCGCACTAGTCTGAAGTTCTGAACGTGAGTATCGAATGCTTGTGCAGCCCCAGTGGGCTGGGACAAATGTCGGCACAAGAGAGCCGCACGGCAATGAAGATGGAACGGACGTGGGCTGGGAGGTGGCAAGGTGAGAGGGCTCTGTCGCCGACGGCGATTTGCACACATCTTGATCTTCCATTGACTGGGCGCGTACAAGATCGTCGCCCAAGCGTTGTTTGTCATAGGCGACGCTTCGAACGCAATCCCGCTGGGATATCGTCCATTCAACTACGATTTTCATCTTCTATGAACAGAACGTTGTCAGTGTGGGGGGAATTTCTGGGCCAGCTATCGACCTGAAGGAACTACTTAGACGTCCGTATGTATACTCCAACACATGTTGGCGAGCTGGACACATGCATCCTGCAGCTCCTCCCTCTATCTTTCATCTCTACGTGCACCCAAGTCGAGCACTATACAAATATAACACACTCTGGCGCCTCTCTTCCGTGATGTGTACCATACTCAGGCCGCAAAGAACAGTATAGGGCTCGGAATTAGGAGCATGGCGCGCATCGGGTACATTTCGGCCTCCCGGCCGAGCCACAACTAGCTCCATGACTTGAGGGTCTGCACGACGGCTACGACGGTGTCAAATGCGAGCTGCTTGCCCACACCTGTCGCGGTCGCAAACTCGTGACATCCTCGTGTAAGCTAGATAAGCTATAATTAGGTAAGACATAAGTAGCGGACATTACGTCCTCAATTCCAAGCTCATTTCCCATCCTTGACTCCGCGAAGAACGCCAACAACCTCCTGGGCCACCCGCTCGCCCGACTGTATGGCACCTTCGAAATATCCAGGATGGTCCGGCGACGTCTCTGTTCCTGCCCAGTGCAGATTGCCAATCGGCTCGTGAGGCATCGGCAGAATACCCTCCGTAGTGCCAGCGACCGGGAATGCCATGTAGCCGCCGCCACAGTGCTCGTCCAAATGCCAGGCCTTGTCGTGCCAGTCCACAGGCTGGAGCACGCGACGGCCCAGATGTGGCACGAGTCGAGACAGCAGAAAGTCGCGTCGCTCATCAGCGCTCAGCTTGTCGAGCTGGTGCGCAGGAGAACCGGGCACCAAGATGCACAGATGGCCCGGCCCTCCAGGTGAGGTAGAGTCGAACACACCGAAAGCCGGGTCATCGAGCATCAGGATTTCGCCGCCTAATCCCTCGCGCCAGAAAGGCTCCTCATAAATAGCAAAAGCTTTGTAGACGATGCCCATGCGGGTGTTTCGTTGGACCGCCAGACGTTCAGCGGGCAACGCAGGCTCGAACGTGATGCTCTTCCACATGGGCGGCGGGACTGTGACGATGACCTTGCTGGCGCGGAACTGCCTCCCTGACGCTGTTCCTACCTTGACTCCCTTGCTTCCAACCTGTGACACACTCGTCACGGGCGTGTTGGTTATTACCTTGCGGGAGAGCTCTCCGGCTAGCATGGAGGTAGCGATGCCGGTGGATTCCACAATCAGGCTGTCTTGCGCTCCGCCCGCTGTGCCCATCATGTCTATCAAGCCGCCGCATAGGGGAATACTTTTGGCATAGCTGTACATGGAGAAGTTGGCCAGATCGGCGGTGGACGTGACAGCGACCAGGAGGCGGAGGAGTTGTCGTGCGAGTTGCGTTGGGGCCATGGTTTCAATGGCCTTGTCCACTGTGAGCGAGACCCAGCTTTGCGGAACATAGACCTTGCTCATGACTTCGAAGATGGCGAGATAGAAAAGCGACAGAAGTGCCGACGGCGAAAAGATGGACACGGTGCGACGGTCGCGAACAATCAGCGGCAAGCCGCGCGTGAAGGTCTTGTAAATGGTGCCCCCGGCCTTCTGAACCAGCGCAGTGAAGCGGTCATGGCCGTGCCCAATCCATTGGCCTCCGAGGTCAATGTGCGACCCGAGCTTGGTGGTGGTTGATTTGGAGCGGCCGCCGATGGTTGGGCATGCCTCGAGCACGATGACGTCGATGCCCTGGCGCTGTAGCTCCGAGGCGGCTGTGAGGCCCGACAATCCAGCGCCAATCACAATCACCTGTGCATGGTCGTCGCTGTCCTGAGCCATGGTCTGATTTGAGAGCTTACGACTGAATGATGCGATGGGCAATGGCGACGATGATGAAGGTGCGATGATGATGGATTGATGTGAAGCTTGGCCGTTCGTGCGGCGTGCCGGGAAATACCATACGGAAGCGGCGACGGAGGAATTATAAGCACAATTCGTGGCGCACTCCTCAATCCGCCCCGGATCCGGTAGCCCAGCATCAGTCCCGAGCCGCTCCGGGGTCCGCTCCGGGCCCGCCTCAGGTCCGCTGCAGGTCCGCCCCAAGTCTCAGTGTACTGCCCGGACCCGGATTCCGCGGGCCCACCGGAGGGTTGGCTCAAAGTGTGCTTCGACAGATTCAGTTGCATTCAATGTTGTTGATCCAAACCGTGCCAAATGTGACTTACTGCAACTTGAAGGATCAATCAACCACCAGACAGCACCGAAAATGCCATGACGTTTCTCCAAGATCAAAAATACATTAAGTCATAAATTAATTGCATGGGCCAAAAGTTCCCTCAGGCGGAGCGACACGGACCCTAATCACCCTACACCCATAGCCTGAGCCGTCGAGAACATACACGCCAACGCCCTTTGTAACTTTGAAGCTTCGTGAAGGTGACGAACATTGACCTCATCGCTGACGACGTAACACACACTTCATGCACATTCCGTTGCGGCCAAGTCCTCTCAACACACAGTCCTCTGCTGTGACTGGAGGCTACGCCGTCAACTGTCAGTCAAAGGCTCAGCTCTCGAGGCAGGTTTCGATGCATCGGTCGCACAGAATGCAATCGCGGCGCCGAACAGCCTTCCTGCACCCACAGAAGCACCTGCAGGGCTTGTCAGCGCAGGTAATGGGCTGTCCGTCCCAGGCCTGGGAGCTAGGCGCTACATCCACAGAGGCCTTAGGGCCTCGCAGAGCGGGAGAGCTGGGTTGATGTGTAGCACCACGCTGGGAAGACCCAGAGCAGGGGTCCGCGGATCGCATGTTGGGAGACATTTGAGCGTCTTTACAAACGAGTTTGTGTCTTGCCGAGGTCAAAACCGTTGTTCTTTCGAGTTAGGCGTATCGAGAATGTGCAGTTGGACTACGTTGACGTGTGAGCTAGTGGGGAGGAATCGAGAACTGGCGCTTGCTTCAAAGGTCTTCCCAATATTTATATTTACTGCCAGTAGACTGAGGCCTGAAGTCTGTGAACCAGTGTTTGTGCCCGTCTCCGTCGCTGATAAGAGCCGTGACATGCGAGTTCTCAAATTCGACCTCGTCGCATATCGCTGCTGTTAGCACTGAGAGCCTACTGAAACAAGCTGTTACGAGCAAGGCCTTTGGACATGATATGTCCCTGTCTGTAAGTTCTCGTCCTACTGAAAGAGCGGTCAGTTGCCAAGCAATGTTGCGACGAAATGAATAACCGTCTTCTTGACGGAGCAGGCAGTGATTCCAGGCACTTATCACGTCGCACCTACGATTCGGAGCGAGAAAGTTGCGCTCTAGACGCGCGATGCTATGGTTCTGGAGCTCAGAGGACTGGGGTGTCTGTCTCGGTCATCACCTGCAACCAGCCCTACGTCCATTCGTTGTTGCTACGGGGTGTGACATCTGTCTGGTTGCAACTCCGTCTAGACAATAGCTGCACTCACCACAGTTCATACCGGGCTGTGGCTTCCGAAGCGTGGTGACCATACCCCACGCCATCCAGGCCACATGCAGGGAATGGCGGAGCTTGGCACAGCGGATTTAGCTCCGATTCCCATGTGCTCTAATTGCACTGATCTTGCCTACTTCCCTTGGGTGCGCTGCGTTGATGAAGTGTATTGTCTTCACTATTAGCACGAGTGGCAATTGAGGCGAAGATGCCGCCAACAATGACAGGCCGTTGTGTAAGTGTGGACACCAAACTGGTCCCTAGTCTACACTTGATCATGGTCGGTCGGTCGCACCAGTACCATGACACCGGAATGACGCTGGGACCTGAAGCTAAATTGCGACCCCATCACGCCTACATGTACGAGCGAACGCGAGTTGAGCCAATGCGGGGGCAGGAGTCTGGACTCGCTCGGCAACGATAGTCAGCGAAGCGGCGACAACGGAGCATTCGTCCTGCCAAGCACGCCCTCCAGGCCCATTAAAACAGTAACGCTCTCCCTCGGCCACCGACTCGCAAACAAGTTCCTCCACTGCACGACCGCATCTGCACGGCAAGAAGAATGGCCTTGACGAACAAGCGCGGACTCAGCGTCCACATATCTCTTTTCATCGCGCCAGAGAACGTGCCGAAATTCTTCGAGGCGTTCAAGCCAGTCTTTGAGAAAACAGTGGCTGAGCCCGAGTGTCTCTTCATTGAGGCATACCAAGCAAGCGATGACCCGGGGCACATTCGTCTCGTCGAGAATTGGCACGTATCAAGCTCTGCTACAACTGCGTCGAAAATTTGTGAGCTAATGCTTCAGTAGGGATGCTTCAGTAGAGTTTCTGCAGGTACTTCCGCCCTTCGGCGAGACCTTGTGTCATGGCGCGGCTAATATTGCGTTTACAGGCAAGATCTGGTAGGGATGAGTTCAAGGAGTACTTCGCTTTCATAGAGACCCTTTTTGTGAAGCCGCGTCGGATCGAGGTATTCAATCGCCTGTGTAACGGTCTCAACTCAGTGTATTGACAACTAGCTGAGCGACTGCAACGAGTATCCTAAAGCTGAGGAGAAAAGAAAGGAAGAAGAAAAAGAAGAAAGTTCGAGAACAGAACACGAGCTTTTAAAGGGAGCTCCGGAGCCGATGTGGATCCCCGGTCGAGAGCGGAGCCGAGACCCACACGGGCCCAGCCCGTTACAGCCTGGAGGGCTTCTACGCCGCTCAAGAGTAGCAGAGTGATTGAACGCAGAATGGAATGGCGCTTATCTTACAAGATTACAATTACAAGATCCTCGGGTTATAGCCCATGTTTTTGTTTCAAGTATTCAAGATGACTGCCTGAGCACAGCAACCTATCGGCTCTACAGTCATAGGGTCGCGGAGTCAAGCGACATCGAAACTGCCTGATGACGGATGTTGAATTCATGCCACATGTAGGCTAACCTTCCCCAATTGCTCACTACCTAGAACTCTCGGCCGTCATTTTCAGCGTACCCGCAGTGCCCCTCTACTGAGCATCTGACGATCGTTGACCGAATGTCAGCTACGAATTGCTGTCTGCATCGTCAATATATGGAATGAAGACGGTAGACACATATACATGGGTAGAAAGCTGCTTCGTCTACTTACGAGGGCAGACAACTTCGTTGTGAAGGGTATAGCATGTGTTGACATCACCGGGGATGCTCTTGTCAGGGCACTAGTCGCCGGATTAGTACCCCTTTTCTCGTCATAACACACAGTTCCCTGTCATACCCGGCCAACATCGCAGCCCCTGAGTTGTTCCTGTCAGTATACTTGATGACAGAAATAGGACAACGTCCAGTGACTGAAGCTCAACATACATGATTGCGTTTTCGAAGAAGCAGCTGCCATCTCTGCAGATCTAACACTGTTCAACGTAACGATACTAAGAATACGAAAAAGCTTGCTCACTCCACCCATCAAATTGCCTTCTCCGCGCTCAGCAACTTTGCGCCCCATCGTTTCTTCCACGGGCCAAGCAGCAACGCCACCAGCGATGACAAGAATTGCTGCTAGCTCGGTAAACTTCATGATTTCGGATCTGAGAGCTGTCGAGATAACGATGCTTTATTCAGCTTGCGGCAGTTTGCAATGCTGTCTGCGAGAAGGGCAACGTGCTTTATATACATCCGGTGAGGTATAATGCAAAAATTACACATATACAACGCAACTCCACGCATGGCTATGCAATGGGAGTCATAGGCACAAGTTAACACAGGTAAGCATACAAGTTGGGATTATTTTCAAGGCATATTGCCGGCATCAAATGAAAAGCTGTAAAGGCAAGGCTTGCTGCTAAATGAGACTTACGTCGGATATCTCTCGGCAACATGAACCAACAGACTCACCGCTTTCCTCATAATACGGGTGGTTTGTGTTGGTGTTGAAAGTACCCGAAAGCCGGTGGGGCTCCATAACAGTCAGAGGTGCATTTGAATCAAGAATCGAAACGGGAAACACTTCATGCTCGTTGCTCTCCATCAACGCGCCTTGGCAGGGCGAGGACCCGGGGCCAGACGGTCGGTGCATCGCATTGAACCAACGACTGTCGCAAACGGTGAGCATTGAGCACGGTGAGCCCCACGAAGTTCCCATAATATCTCCGTTCCATTTCCCAGACTTGAAAGGCCCGAGACGTTAGCTAACATGATCTGTTTTCGCCGCACCAATGGCAGATTTGCTCACAGGGATTCGTGGTATCTACACCATTGGCATTCGGACATCAACTCACGATCTGCTGTTAAACCCGACAGCCGATGGCACAACGTATCAATTCTAAGGCATTGCTATGACAATTGCGTCATTATTTAAAGCACGTCGTAGCATTAATCGAGTCCAACGTCCTGCACGTTACGTTGTTGTCACCTGATGTACTACCCTTCGAAACCTTTTACTCATGTGCGTCCAGGCGATATACAGGTCCAGCATATAATATGTGCCTGCCTGGCCCCTCTGCGACTACTCTCAAGTGGATTCCAAGTCCTCATGAACTCATAGCCCATCCGCGGAGGTCCAAGTCAACGCCAGCATGCGTGCCACTTCTCTGCAGATAATCTTCCTTGCGAGCCTTTTAGGGTCTTTTGCAGCAGCCACTGATCACGACACGGACCGCACAGTACATCATGCGAGAGCTATTGGAAAAGAGGACCTAAAGTACGGGATACACTGCCCAGGGGGGCCTCCGAATCCAAGCTGCTTGGCAAGCGGATTCTGCATTCAGGTGGCGTATCGCATAAACACCGATGACGGAGCAGTGACGGCGGAAGTCGCCGCCGCCTGCAAGGCCGCCTGCAACTGTAAAGCGTGAGCGCTCGGCAATCTCGATTGATGGTGTTCACGTCTCTAATGAGCACATGGTCAAGTTCTGTCGACAGGGCGCACAAAAAGACAAGCAAGGGCTGCGAGAAGACGAAGAGTAAACGGAGAGCCAAGCCTTGTTTCAATTGTGACATGGACACAATCACCGTGGCATTGTGAGTCATGGCACACAGTTGAGTTGACTGTTCCAACTGGCCATGATCAAAGTGGCATGGTGAGAGTGCTGATGTCACCAAGGCGTAGGCCTAGCTGTCCGGAAGGGATCTAGGGTACGTCTTACTCGTGACGCTCACCGGCAACGACATGTATGGGGGCAGAGTCCACGTCAAGACTATTGGAACGCACAAGTATGTAAGAAGTCTCGTATTCAGTGTTAGTTACAATCGCATGGCCCTCTTGAGATACAGCGCCATGCTGCAACATGTCCGTGATGTCCACCCAGCCGCGAGACTATCCACATCACCTTAAGAGCCAGTCGGCGAGAAGTGCCCGTTCGAGTAGCAGTAATCGCACAAATTCGTGTCCCGCCGGCGCACAGAACGCTTGCAGTCACAGGTAATGCACTTGCACGGGGGGTTGGAGTGCGTGATGATTCCCCCGGAGCATGAGCTCGGTCCAGCGGCGCATGCGGTGAACGGGCTGGGCAGCTCGACGTCTTCGGTATGTTGACGCGCAGATGCACTGCCCGACGCGGCGGGGATGCGTACGGGTTTGGGTGTCATGATAGCTACGGACACAGCCGATCTCACTTTTAGAAACGTCAGGATGCTGGCAGTGCTAGAGGTGAGTTGTTTTAGGTGAGATTGCCGGGTTGGAGCTTGCAGAGGGAAAAGCTTCTTCTCAAGGAGACATTAGAGGTCATTTTTATATCCATGCTATTCTGCAGACTTACGCAAGTGCCCTCGCCTGAACGTGAAGCGAAAACGTACGTTGGCTCAGGTTATTCTGAACAGCGATCGGGGTCAAATTGTCCTTGGATGTCGCGAAGTAGCCGACATGCTTGGATGGAATTCCCTCCGGCAATCCCACAACAGCATCTCATGTTTCACAAGATCAATGATCAGACAAAAGACTCAACCAAGTGCGTCCATCTCTAGTGCTTCCAATTACGATACGGATACAATCACCGTCGCATTGTAGGTTGATGCGTTTCACTACATGACCAAGTCGACTGGAAACCTCCATATCGGGAAACGCCTTGTTATACACCAAATCATACTCGTGAAGGTCAGCGGCAGAAACATCACTGGCAGTTGGGTTCATGTCAAGACCATAGGAACGCATAAGTATGTACGAAGCCTTGTATTCAGTGCTATGTAGTTTCTTTCGCAAGCCCGTCCCTCGAGCCACAGCAGCATGCAGCAGCGTGTCACTCAGACCTTGCGACCCAGACGCGGGGGGATGCAGGCTCAGAGCTTTATGTTTACCCAACCACGAGACTAGTCAGCTAGGAGCCAGTCCACGAGTGCGCACTCTCGTAGCAGTAATCACACAAATTAGTATCCCGCCGCCGCACGAGGCGCTTGCAGACACAAGTCGTGCACTTGCACACGGGGTTGGAGTGTGTGATGATTCCCTCCGAGCATGACCCAGGCCCTGTGGATATCGTTGGACTGGGCAGTTCGACGCCTTCAGTAGACGGCGTGCCCAGCACGAGTTGCCTGCGTACGGGCTTGGGAGTCATTACTGCTACAGATAAAACTCAACTTCGCCTTGAAGATCTTCCAATGTTGCTGCGCTCTGGTGCGTTGCGATTGATGGGAGAGTGTTCAATGGTAAGATGGCTGTGTTCAGGTTTGCGAGGGGGAAGCTCCTCGTTTCTGTGAATCTCGCGGCCGCTTTTTATATGGCGGTATATAGACTTGCGCAAATGCTTTCTCAGTTCGTGAAACGATGTCTGCTTTGGTTCACTTGATGTTGTTCGCATAATGATTGGACTCGACGCGTCGTTGCATGTTGCGAAGTAGCAACATTGAAAGGCTTCACCGCAGTTGCCCACCATCAACAACACAAGATTATCGCCACAAATCACGTAAGGTACATGTGGTTAGCGGTCCGAGGGTTGCATCTATGTCTAGTTCCCATTGCAAGTAAGATCACAGATTCACTACCTTGTCATAAAACAGTTGCACAGCCTCGTCCATGACCTTCTTGACCTTTTCGGCCTCCAGTTTCTCTTTCCGGTCAAACGTATACAAGCCGTTTGCTTCTTGTTCAATGTCCGTCCTGGTGAAGTGGTCAGTACTTCTCATCCATTCTCATCCGAGGCCTCGCGTCACGAAACCAAGCACGACGCGGGCCAAGTGCCAACTTACAGTTGCGTGTATACAAATGCGCAGCAAATGCCGCCGCTGGTCACGGCCTTGACAAGTCTCTCGAATCTCCGCAGCAAATCTTCAGCATTGCTCGCCGTCGTGTATCCCCAGTCGCGATCACCATCGCCTTGGGTTGCCGCGGTGGGCGCAATGTTCACACCGCCGAACTCGGTGCACATGATGGGCGCCCCTTCTTTATGTTGCGCGCCACCAACGAACATGTCACGGCCGGCTTTGGGTCCGAGAATGAGGTCGCGACAGGCACATGTTTTCTCTAGCTCTGGCCCATCGGCGTAGTCATGAAACGTCGTAAGATCTGTCAGTACGTGCTCCCAGCCGCAGTTGTCGTTGATGCTCCTGGTAGGGTCGAGGGTCCTACTTCGTTAGTGGTCGTGACCAGCATGACAATCCGCAACATGGTCTTACTTGGTCAGGTGGTATAACGCGCGGATGTGATCTCGCTGCTCGGTGCTCTCCTTGGCACTCAGCGAGGTGTATCCCCAGCTCTCATTCACCGGTGTCCACGTTACCACCGAGGGGTGGTTTATGGCCAGCCTGACCGACTCGGTCCATTCCTGGTTGAAGCGGTCGACATACTCGGGGCTGAATTCGTACGAGTTGGCCATTTCCGCCCATACGAGGTATCCGAGGCGGTCCGCCCAGTAGTAAAACGTTGGGTCCTCCACCTTTTGGTGCTTGCGGCAACCGTTGAAACCCATTCGCTTGGCCAACTCGATATCGATGCGGGTGCTGTCATCCGCGGGCGGGGTCATGAATGTTTCCTTCCAATAACCCTGATCTAGATTGAGAGCTTGAAAGTATGGTTTGTCGTTGAGCCTCCAGAAGCCGTCGCCGCAAGTCCAGTCGATAGATCGCATGCCTGTTGAGGTTTTGACCTCGTCCAGAGCATTATTGGATGCATCGAGGAGACGGATTGTCAAATCATACAGGAGTGGGTGCTCCGGAGACCACAGAGCGAGGCCGTTGCGCCAGCATTGGTCGGAGCCCAGCGGTGCCTCGTCAAGAACAGTCTGAGGTACCTTGGCGAGCTGATCCTGGCCCAATCGCATTCCAAGAACCAGGTCAACGTAACTCTTCTCCTTGGGCAAACTCCTGCGTTCAGACCTGGCCACTGCCACGCCCGCAAAAGCCGCTTCAATCTCGACCTGACAGGCCTGCCCCGCACGTCGCCCCTGGACAGCAATATGGCAGCCCAGAGTGCCCGACTCAATGTCATTAGACTTGATGACAGTTCCGTGAATGCTATCTGCCAGACGTGCAGGAGGGACGACCTCGAGCCAGACCGACTGCCATATGCCACCCGAGGGCGTATAGAAGATGCTCTCCGGCTTCGCGCCCCAGTATTGTTTACCACGGGGCTGAGTGAGGTCATACGCGGAGTCATACACCCTCAAGGTCAGCCGATGCGATGAATCCGCTGCTTCTGTAGCATCGACCGCGTCGGTAATGTCAATCTCGAAAGGAACATGCCCTCCACGATGGGACCCGACGAGGCGGCCATCGACCCAGACCGTGGCCTCATAGTCGACCGCCCCAAATCGCAGCAGCAGTCGCTGCCCTTGGCTCTTCTCGTCTGGACTGCGCAGGTCACTGATCTGGCGCTCATACCAGAGCACCTCGTGGACGCCGCGGTCGTTAATGCCCGAGGCGGGACACTGGAACACAAACGGCACAGTGATGGCTAGTTTGCGGTGTGCGGCGGCGGCGCTGCGGGCAAGCACGTTGCCCTGGAAGAGTTCCTGCGTGCCGGACGCGATCCGTTGCACGATGGAGTCACTGTCGGACGTGGCTCCCGTCTGTTGCGCGGATGACTGAGACTCCAGCGTCACCTCATCCGGAACGCCGGTCTGGGCCCAGCGGCAGGTGAGGCCGACATCGTCGTCGTCAAACAGAAAGTCCCATTGACCGTTGAGCGATTGCCACTTTAGCCGCGTGCGCTCAAAGTCGGGACGGGGATACGATGGTGCGCTTGTCTGCATGGTGATGTGTCGCAATGTGACGAGACGGGGCGGCGGTGGGATGAGGTTGGAGTGGAGGTCTTGCGCTTCCTCGCTCGTCGCGGGGTAATTACACGTAGGTGAGGCAGGTCAAACAACGGGAAGGAGCCAACAGTTTGCGAGCGCTTATTATCTCGTGAAATGAGTGAGTAAACTCGGGGGATTTGACGATGGAATCAGGTTAATGTTGTCTACGGCTAAATAACGCACAGCAACGTGCTGATGTGTTCTTTTCCCCTTCTCGTCGTGGCCGTGGAGCCGAGTTGACGTGTACCTGGATACACTTTATCCTGAAGTGCCAATCAGCGTGGCATGTGGTGTTGATCATCGTGCTGCGAAACGTCTCGACGGTCGACTGCCCCACCGCTTCCACCATTGCGGGGTGAAGATAAAGCTGGGGGTTCGCATCAGGATGCTGGAAACTGGATGGCTGGGCAAAGGAGCTTGCGAATCGACCGGCTCTGTCACTGGTGCGCCTAAGAAGGCCAACTCATATACAGAGCAGTCGATAGAAAACTCCTTGACGTCCAATCTTCCCTTGAATTGATCATGATCATCGATCCATGGTGGCGAGCATTCTCTCTTTGTCGCGCAACAAGCCGTGGGCAAACGCAATTACCCCGGAATACATACGAAGTCACGCAAACCGTTCTTCTCCGTTACCGTTCCGTCGATTGCTCTCGGCTGCAGTGCTCCGGTAACATCAGGCCACCGGCCGGAGTCGCGGTGGGCAGCTCGGATCAAACCAAACGAAACATTGCATGTCCGCGCGCCCGCGGGAGGGGTTTGTCGGCTGCATGTCAGACTCGCAGTCGCACAGCGCCCGCCCAGTCTCACGTTCCAGCCGCGACACTCCCAGTATCAAAGTCGCACAAAAACAAAACGAAACAAGACGCCCGCAACACTTTTTTGAGGGAGGTGAGAATTGACCATTTTTGCCGACATTGCCTCCGATAGCGGCGACATTTGATCCTACGAAGCGGCAATCTGACAGCACAGAGAGCGCAAACGCTTCTGGCAAACCTTGGCAAACCTCGCCTGCTCAACGGCGCCCCGCCGCCAAGAAGGGGAAACAGGGACCGCCCCCGGACAGTCGGGAGTCGGGATCCGGGACGGGTCCGGTTCGCCCGATCTGCCGGTGGCCCATCTGGGCATCGTGACGTTGGATCGATCAAAGTGCTGCTGGGGCGAAAGCGAGAATGCTTAAGCGCGCACGAATACGAGTGTTCTGGACCGAACCCTTCAGCGCGGCTGGTGACCAGGCCGTTGCAGGGCGGGGGGGTTCCTGAGGGAGAGAGCCCGTGCTGGGCTGACACGACGTTGGGTTTGAGTCGTTTTTGACACCCAGCCACCCGGGGGCGCAGTAGCACCCTGTGACCGGGCAGGGCAGTATGTGGCCCGGCGGAGTGGGCGGCCTGTTGCAGCTGTGAAGAAGACGGTATGTATGTGCATCCTAGGTAGGTATGACTGCAGGGCTGGGCTACGTCTATCCATGGCATCGGGGCGGACGCTGGTTTCGGCCGGCCCAGTCTGTGCCTCTGGAGTCTGTTCCGTCACAGCCACCATCACCATGAACGGACCGAGAGTTGGCATTACCTGAACGATACGTAGAGTAGCCATGCCGCTGGGCGGCTGTATGTAAGAACATGACTCATGTCCTGTAGACGCTCGACGTCTTGGTCGTACCATGGATGGACCTCGACTTCCGATGCCGACCTTGAGAATCTGCGCAGATTCACGCGCAGCTCGTCAATATTCATGCGGCCTGTCGGGCGGTGCAACGTGCCCCATGCCGGCGTCGGGTCTGTGCCCCTCGGCAGGCGCCCATGTAAGTGAGTTGACGTGCATGCAGGACAGCATCTGGCCCCGGCCGATATGGGCGCATGATCACCGCCATAAATTGCACGCCGTAATTATAGACGGGCCTGGACGTTTTGCAAGCTACGGCTCTCTGTATGCCAGCGCAGAGACGGGACCTCCAGCCACCCAGACGGAGAAGTACATGCCGTCGTCCATGGTTAACTGCATGAATAGACTGCCGCCACAACCGCACGTGCCAGCAGCTTATACGGGGTCACGCATCGACGGGCAGCTTGTTCATGGAAGCAAGCAAGCGAGGCACCCGTCCCGCAGCCTTCTATGTGGTTCGAAGGGGGGGTTGGAGGCGGTCAATGCGGCCGCGGCTCTTCGCGATGCGCGTGCCGGCGGCTGAGGGGGGGAATACGAGGACCCAAGTGCCGATCACAGGACACACCAAACCCACCCTAACGGCGCCGCCGGGGGGGAGGGCTATTAATATGCACCTGCGAAGTAGGTTCTCTGTCTTGGAGTGTACGTACTGAAATGAGAGCGAATGCCCTTTGTTCGCCTGCAGCAGAGTCGCCCGGCTGCATGTCTGGAATCTGGGATGGATCGCGAGCCGAAGAATATGGACTATTGCTGCACAATGCGGGCCAGAGTCGGTGTCCAGATCCAGACCGGGAGCGGGAGCGGAAAGCCGACAATCACGGCTAGGTCTGCCCGCCCGCGGGGCAAACAAAACGTCAGAGAAGGGCGCTGGCGCACGCCAAGTCAGCCGCTGCCGGTGCAGCTGCTGGCTACTGTAGCCTGTGAGGCAAGTCAGGGTCCAGGGCGGGAACCCCACCTGAGCCAGCCCAGGGCACCTCCACCTCCACCACCACCACCACTAGACCACCACCACGCCTAAACCCACGTCGCCCGGCCCGCATCACCGATACGAGCCCGCTGCTACGTCATGAATTCTTGGCCCGCTCCCTCCGTCCTGCGCATCACGGACTTTTTGCGCCTCCTCGCACGGGCGGTCGGGCAACGGCTCGTCACGGCCGCAGCACGTTGAAGTCCAGGTGGCACATGGTTGCGATTCTCCGCCCGCGGCTCGCTGGCCGTCTATAAGAGCACGGGTCCCAGGAGGCTCTGACTTGGTCACTCTCCTCTTGCGACATCCTCAGCTCGTTCACTTTCCTCTCTCTCTCTCACTCATACTCTTCGAGTCGCACGCTCGACGATTCCCCCTTATCACGTTCAACAGGACAACTCTCCGCAGCACTCTACTCGTCACGACCAGAAAAAAAACTCCCTCCACCATGCTGTCCCTGCTCACGACCCTCCTCCTCGCCGGCTCGGCCCTCGCCGCGCCGACGGCCAACGCAAACACCAACAAGTGCACGTCCAGGTCCACCAAGGTCAAGGAGTGGACGGTCCACGACTTCGACTTCCACTCGTCCGAGGTCTTCACCACGCCCGCGCACCAGAACTCGTGGGGCTACGTCAACTTCACCCTGTCCAACCCCGTCGTCAGCTACCGCCCCGTCTGCTCCGCCAGCTCCAACCAGCTGAGCGACTTCTTCTACGGCAACTTTGTCTACAACTGCAACGTGCCCGCCGATGGCGACAAGGCTTCTTTTACGTTCGCGCGCCCCACCAACGAGCTCAAGCTCAACCAGACGTGGAACTGCCCCGGCGAGGGCAGCCGCTTCGACGCCCGCGGCGGCGCCAACCTCAACCTGACGTGCACCACGACCTTTTGGCAGAACCCCAACTGGACGCCCGGCAACATCTACTCGACGCGCAACGTCGACTGCAAGAAGATTACCGTCAAGGTGCCCGTCAAGGAGATGAGTGGCGTTGCCTAGGCGGCGCGCCGCGAAAGTACGACCGAGTCTTGAAGTTCTCGCGATCGACAACTATACGCAATGCCCAACAGTCAGGTGCGGCGGTGCGAAAGGGAAACAGAAGGCGTTTTAACAAGACGGAGGGCAATCCACCAGTGATTTTTTTGGGATGCTTCTTTTTGGCTGGATGGACGGACCACGCGACGGATTCAATGACGCTCCTTATGACCATGACTTATACCCCGGAGGGACCAAAAACCCATAGACAGGCGGCAGAACGCCACTACTACTACTATTAATGAAACCGGAACTTGAACATCTATTTGCCCCACAGCATCGCGACCTCTGCTCTTGGCAGCCACCGTTGGGTCACTGTGCAGGTGCCGTTCGTGTTGGTGAATGACGGGAGACCCATACGGCTCACATAGAAGTGCCGCTTACATACGAGTCAACCCCATGTGGCGCGTTCAGCGTAGGACTGTCGTTCCGCACATGTCGTAAGCTGCAGGGCAGTACGGTCAGTACCGAAAGCTGACATCAGATACGTCTCCCGAGTGCAGCTCATGCCGGAAAGGCAGCAGGCCAGCCTGGTATTGGCAACGCGAGCACGTCATCGGCAGCATCAGGCGACGCCCGCGGGAGCTGCACCGAGAATCGGCTCGGATCGGACGAGGCAACGGGCGGCGCGGACGCGGACGCGTGGACCTGGGCCGAACCCACTTGAGCCCAACCGAGCCAAAAGGTCATGCACGGCCTCGAACCCGATCCGAAGCTCCTGTTCTTTTGTCTGAGCCACGGCTGGCCAGGACAATCACTAGATCTCCAGTACTTCCAGCTGTCAAGCTGACACCGCGCATCCGGCACGCGATCGCTCGCTCCAGGGATCAGCCCGCTTCCAGAAGGCAAGCCCATTACCGTTCCAGAACGGCGCTAGAGGGATTTTAAGAGTGAAATTTAGAGATGAGGTGATCTCCCGCGCCTCCATCGCGGGTCGCTGCTGCAAGGTGCAACGGGGCGGGCGCGCGGAGGGATCGAGAGAGCACGCGATGCCCGAAGAAAACGGGGCCCAACGGCCCGTGTAAGCAGCCACTTCGGTTTTGCAGTGTAGAAAGAAGGATGATACGTCCGCAGCGGGCTTCCACCAAACGTTCCATGCGTGCGCGGCTGCAGCCACTTTGCAGCATTCCCAGCGCCCGTCCCGAGGCCATGCCTGCACATCGGCGGTCAGGGCAGTCACTCATCAGTGACTCGGTGGAGCCACAGGCCCTCCTCGGCGCTGTCCTGCCCCCCCGGAAGTGGTGAAATTTTGCAGCGTGCGGCGCGCTGATTGGCCGCTGACCGGGGAGCCTCCGATCGCGTCATCGGGCCAAGCGCCACCTAGAGGAGATGCCCTGGCGCTGGGCCAGCAGCCTCAAACCCTGCCCGGCACACAGGGCCACAGGGGGACGCAGGGGCGGATGGAGGATGTGCGCTAAAAGCTAAGGTTGTCTGAGCCTGATCCACGTGCCGGGCGGCGGCGCGGCAGACGAGCAGCCTGACAGGGAATGGAAGTTTTTCCAACGCTTCCATCGGGGGTGGCTTGCGCCATGCAGAGCGGCTCAGGGCCGCGACAGGGCCACCTATGTTTAATTTTTCTTCACCGAGAAATCTTCATGATGAGACACGGCGCCAACGTCACCTCGTTTTCAAAGGTATAGCCATGTAATGCACGAATGGGCCAAACAGCCCATGACAACAACGACACAGATGGCGCCGCAGCAATGACAGCCGCAACGGACGGCATAGCCGCTTTCAGGTTTCCATTAGCACAACGCGCAAAAGTCGTGACCCGAGGGGGGCGATGGCACCATCGCGCGCGACCCGCAACGGACCCTCCGTCGACGACTCGACCGCCCCGTCGTTGCAGTTCAAGCTTCGTCGTGGGCGTGGGTGGCGTGGGACACACGACACGACGTCGAGCACCAGCACCACCACCCGAGGGATTGATGGCGGGCGGCGGGCCCACCGAGGGTAACCAGCTTTTTGCTGCTGCTGCTGCTGCTGCTGCTGCTGGATTTAGAGTAAAATGATATATAACGTCGGTGTGCGGGATGGTAGCTTTTTCTTCCCCCTCTCCCCCCTCTTCCCCGGATGATTTGGTGCCTGGTGTGTTGTATTGTGTGCCGTGGCTTTCAACGTGGAGTTTTTTGATCACATCGGAGGCTTGGATGGCAGTCGGTCTGTGAGACTCGCTCGCTTCGTCTCTCGCTCTCGACTTTGATCGAGACAGCGTCGTCGTCGTCGTCGTCGTCGTCTGCGCGTGCTACCGTTCTCTCGACGAAACGAAACGAGTCCTCGACTTCTCGCAAAGATGGGCATCATCGGCAAGGACAACGACACCGTCAAGGTGGCCGCCGGCAGCGACTCTGCCTCGGCCACCAACGACACCGAAGTCGGTATGTATTCACATGGCCCTCAGGGAACCTCCCCTCTCCTCCTTGATTCATCCATCATGATTCCGTTCCCCCCAGCTGACACACGTCCGCCTTGGACCGCGCAGGCCGTCTCGAGATCGCCCGCGAAAACAAACGCCAGATCGGCATCCCCTCGGCGGCGCTCCTCATCCTCAACCGCATCATCGGCACGGGCATCTTCGCCACGCCCGGCACCATCCTCGCGCTGTGCGGCAGCGTCGGCCTCTCGCTCTTCATGTGGGTCGCGGGCATCTGCATCGCCGCGGCGGGAACCGCCGTCTACATGGAGCTCGGCACCGGCCTGCCGCGCAACGGCGGCGAGAAGAACTACCTCGAATACGTCTACCGCAGCCCCAAGTTCCTCACCACCAGCCTGTACACGGGCTACGTCCTGCTGCTGGGCTGGGCGGCCGGCAACTCCGTCATGTTTGGCGAGTACATCCTGCATGCGGCGCGCGTCGAGGTCACGGACTGGAATAAGCGCGGCATTGCGCTGGGGTGCCTGACGGCCGCGTTCCTCATCCACGGCACGGCGCTCAAGTGGGGGATCCGCCTGCAAAACGTGCTCGGCGTGCTCAAGATCCTCGTCATCGTCGTCATCATCATCGCGCCGCTCGTCAACCTGCCCAAGGTGCGCGAGGTCAACAACTTCCACGACGCCTTCGAGGGCACCACGGGCAGCGGCTACGGCGTCGTCATGGCCCTCTACAACGTCATCTGGAGCTTCGTCGGCTACAGCAACGCAAACTACGCCCTCTCCGAGACCAAGAACCCGACCCGCACCCTCAAGTTCGCCGCGCCCCTCGCCCTCGGCGGCATCTCCGTCCTCTACATGCTCGCCAACATCTCCTACTTTGCCGGCGTCTCCAAGGAGGAGATCCTCGAGGCCAAGCGCCTCGTCGCCGCCTCGCTCTTCCGCAACATGTTTGGCGAGTCGGCCGAGCGCGCCATGAGCGTCTTTGTCGCCCTCTCCGCTTTTGGCAACGTCCTCAGCGTCATCTTCTCGCAGGGCCGTCTCGTTCAGGAGCTCGGTCGCGAGGGTATCTTGCCCTTTTCCCGCTTCTGGGCCAGCAACCGGCCCTTCAACGCCCCGCTTGCCGGCCTCACGGAGCACTACATTGTCACCGTCATCACCATTGTCGCGCCGCCGGCCGGCGACGCCTACAACTTTGTCCTCAAGTAAGTGCCTCCGCCTGGGTTCTCCCACACAGCTTGGGACTGCTCTACCGGACATGGTTTGCTAACGTGCTACCGCCAGCCTCATCTCGTACCCGCTCGCCATCATCAACGTCTTCGTCGCCGGCGCCCTCATCCACCTCTACCGCCACCGCGCCGCGTGGAACTGGAACCCCCCGCTCAAGGCGTCCTTCCCCGTCGCCGTCTTCTTCCTTCTCAGCAACATCTACCTCGTCGTCGCGCCCTTCATCCCGCCCGAGGAGGGCCAGAGCGTCTACGACTCCCTGCCCTACTACATCCACTGCGTCGTCGGCTTCGGCATCATCTTTGCGGGTGGCGTCTACTGGGTCATCTGGGCTAAGCTGCTGCCGTGGATCGGCCGCTACGAGCTCGTCCGCGAAACCGTCGTCGACGACATTGACGGGTGGGAGAGGACGCAGTTTTACACCCGGCCGCTGGGCAAGCGCGTGCAGGACGACGCGCCTCCCGTAGACTACGGGACGGCGAATGATGGGGGGGATAGGAGAGACTGACGCACCATGGCGTAGCGAGTCTAATTTTTCGTTTTCAACAAACAAGCGAAGCATATCTAATGAAATACATAATGAATCCTGTCAGGCATGGCGGGCGACTCTGCCTTCGGGACACTTACATGTTCACCTGCATTTCACGTCTCCGTGTGAACCCGGAACCCAAGAGCAGCGACGCACCCGTGAGCTAGTAGTTTTAGTCGTGTTGGGACAAGGGCAAGAAGTCGCGCGCTGCGATGCCCCAGCTATTCCACTTATCAGCGCCTCCGCTTGCCATGTCCCGATTGCAAGCGCGAGCTGCTCCTGAGGGCCACGTTCGTCAACGGGCCAAAGCAGTCCTCCCGACAAAGGCGTTCCGTTGCGTTGCTTAAAGCATACACGTGCGGCGCCGCTGTAGACTGTTCTCCCCGTCATCACAACCCAGCCCTCAGACATCATCGTCAGCCTCATGGTATGGAACCGGCGAATGATCTCGCGGCCAACGTCGCACACCTCTGCACGCACCGCGAAACTGCAAGGGGAAGCGCGAGAGCCATTTGCATCTGCGCAGACGCACATACCGGTGATCCTCTGCTCGCTCGCGCGCTCTTGGCCACGGCCAAAGCGAACCTTTGGGCAGCCTCACATTGGCCCGTCGTTCATTCAGGCTCATTCCCCCATCACGACGCTTGCAGATGAGATCGCCCAAAAGGCGGGTGCGGCTGGGCGGGCTGGCGCATGGCGGTGCAGTCAGCACGTAAAAGCCCGATTCGGACACGCGGGCCTGCCTGGCTGGCTGTTCGTTCGTTCGTATGTCAGCCGCCGTTTCGGCCGACGATTGCTACCGCATCGCGATCACACACGCGTATAGCCCATGTTGCAATGCCCATGGCCGCCCGTATGAGGATGAATGGTGGTGTGTAAGATTGCTAGACGACATGCCCATCTTTTCACCATGCAACGTGCGGGAATGCGGTGAGAGCCAAGAAGTTCAACCCCTGCGATGACCAAAAAAAACACCAGTGTCATCACGCTTCAGCAATCAGCACATGTACATCATCACCCATCATCCCAACTCATCCCGCGCTTGCTTGCTTCTCTCTGGCAGTGGCCCCCCATATTCCCGCGCTTGGTCGCTATACTCGTATAGAAACCAATTCGGGCAAGTCATCTTGCCGATCGCTCTCCGCCCGCTTCACTGACCCGCGCGACTCTTGCAGCCGCAACGACTGTGGCGCGACTTGGTTGCTGACGGCGCGCATGACGACGGGGCCTACCCTACCGCACTGGCGGCACACCCCCTAGCCGGCGACCTGGCCTGGGCGACGACGACAGGCCAAACAGACGCCGCGGGACGGGGGTTGCGCCAAGGGATCGATTGACGTTTTGATGGTGCTTGCCAGCTCCACGCGCGATTATCCACTGTCCGCAAGGTCGTTGACTCGCTGTGAGCTTGTTCCTCTTCTGCTCTTCTCTGCTCCGCTCGGGTATTTTATCCAGACTCATTACGTTCTCCGAGAAAGTGCGGCAAGTGTAGGGGCGAGACGGGTGCTGTATCGCCTTCTCGATCACCACCAGCTACAAGAGCCGGGGTCATCACCATTCGACTTCATTGTCCATGTATCCAGTTAGTATCTACAACGTACGCTCCGACAGGTCGGTCGGGCCGAGCCCGGCAGAAACAAGAGACCCCCCCCAGCTCGAATAGACGCCGCTTAACGCACCGTACCGCACCAGCGCCAAGCGAGCGAGCCATGTGTGTGTCGGCCAACTCTGTCAATCTGCGCTCCAGGAATGGCCTGCAGGGGGACCATCCTGCATCGACCGTAAACTCGAAGCGAATACCGCCGAGAGACACACACTCCCGCGTCCTTCGCAGAGACGCCCCCCCTCGTCCTAGCCCCTGCCTGTGAGAGGAGTGGACAAGCCAAAGTTGCACCTAATTAAGGACCATACCCCGGAGTCCGGATCGCGTGGGGCCATTCCGAGCGTTTGCGCAGAGTCCTAAAGTGCACATGGACCAGGATTTGACGCACACCCGAATATGCTTCCCGCCTCTTCTCTCATCATCGTGGCTGCTCGGCTTGCACATGGCTGCTTTGACGTAACCGCCAGGGGTGGAGGGCAGAGGAGCAAGTCAGACCAGACCAGACCAACGAACCCCCAATACATATAGGGCCTGCTCGTCCGTCCTCGTCCCGACCGCTTTCTTCTTATCTGACCTTCTCTCCCCGTCTGTGCTGGCACTCCCATATGCATCGGTATCAGCCCGCCTCCCAGCGATAGCCATGGCCGCCTCGGCACTCGCGACGAGCCTCCTCACCGTCTGCCCCGTCGTCGGCGACCTCCCCACGCTCTTCGGCTCCGACAACACCACGACACACCCCACCCCCTCAAGGCGCCAGATGGCCCTCCTCAGAAGCGGCGTCCATCAACAACGGCGCCAGGACAGCTCTGGAAGCACTACTAGCAGCAGTAGTACCAGCAGCACCGGCAGCGGTGGGGTCAGTAGCTGTCGGCGCGGGAGCACCATGAGCGGCGACGGCGACAGCAGGAGAGAGTCGGTCGACTCCGCCGTCACGAGCTGTTGCGGCGCATCGTCGTGCACGGAATGCGATGCCAGCGCTGCGGTGCAGGAGATGGCCGTGTGCGTCGAGGATGCGGCCGAAGACGAAGACGACTCGGTACTGCTCCTGGCGCAGGGCAACGCGCTCATAGGTCAGTAGTCGTCCGATTGACCTGGGTTATGATTGCTGACTTTGCTCTAAAGGCACCGGTGTCGATGCCCCGGGTGACGGCTTCATGGTCTTCGACACCAGCATGAGGCAGATACAGACATGTATGCTGCAGCTCACGACATCCTTGTACACAAATTGTTAACTCATGCCACAGGCGACTCTCCTCGCGATGCAGACAGCCGAACTCGAAGTAGACGCACAGAACAGTCAAGAACGATGCGGCCTGCCGACTCAAGATGATGTTTCACTGAAAAATGACTTGATGGGTTTGTCTGCTGATGGGCTCGAGGCAAGACGGTGTTCTCGGCGCACGGTGTTCGGGATATCAGGATATGGTTAGGTTTGTCTAATCCACGTGACACGTGGCACTGAAGGCCAGGCGTGCTCAATATTGATACCAAATCCGCGGTCCACGTCTGATACTGGCTTTCCGTTGATCACATGCTTGGAGAGCGCTCGTCTGCGGTTGGCTCGTCCTCTCCTTCTTCCGCGCTACCCATGTGGCAGCACTGTTCGCGTGCGACGGGGCCTTGAGTCTCTCCCTTGCCCCGAGATCCGGCACTCGACTTTTCCTCAGTGTTGTGAAGTTGGCTCAGGCCCTGGCGCTGCTTCTCCTTGGCTGCGTTAACTCGTCTGTTGTTTCCCTTTGCCTGGTGCCTCATTAGCCGTATTCTTCGCCTTCAACGAATCTTACCTTCGCCTGAGCGCTTACCCGAAACTCCTTCCTCGGAGCGTTGACGATCCTGAGCTTCCAACCATCCCCTGCTGTGAGAATGGATTTGACGAGCTGCTTGGAGTGCTGCCTTCAGTCAGCCACGCGCGGTTCGCGAAGCAACACCCCTGGGATACTTACCCTGAGCACAAAACTGATTGCCTCTATGCGTTCCTGGAACGAAGGATAAGGCTCCTAAGCCCCGTCCGCCACGCACCAGGTCGGTAGCTGCGTCACTCCTTGCTGGGACACCACTGCTGCCTCCTGGTATCGTCAGCTCTGTTTCGTCGTTCATGACGGCTTCTGGCACGTACCACCACTCCCCATGCGAGCAGCTCAATGGTCTGGTCGCTCGGTACTTGGCCAAGAATCCTCTGTTGCTGTGCCTGCACTGACGGAAGTAACTTGTTGAGGTCACGGACACTTGGGCGAGGTTCCAAGCCCGGACAGGGCTCCTCTTCGCCGCTCTTGGAAAGCTTCTCAATAGCCTTTGCCTTGGATTCGCGATCAAGAGCGCTCTTCCACTCCAGTATATAACTCCAGTCCATTATAGCATCGAATACCTGCTTCACCACTTCCACCCAGCGGTCGTCTGAAGTTGGAAAAGTGCCGTCTTCGTGCCAGCTCGTCCTTTCCTGGGGCGGCTTGCAGTACAAGTTTTGAAGGGTCTCCATGGCTGTAGCTGCCTCCGACCTGCTTTGGAAATGTCCCTGCCATTGTCTTGTCTGTCGACGTTTGCCGGACTTGACTAGATCTGCTTCATATTTGTTTGCTGGCGCAACCTCCACGCGGGGTTTTAACACCCGGTGGCCACCTTCAGGATTCCAGAAGCGTTTCAGCTGCTCCTTGACCGTCAAATCCATCAGGCTGGAGATGGCAATTTGTTCCTTCGGCGTGTGCTCTTCGTCTGCTGGGCCGCCGAATAGGTCGCCCTCCTCCTCCGCGTTCATTGTTTGTGGCGTAGGCGGGTCATGCTGCTGTCGCGCTAGGCATTCATCCGTGCAGCGAGTTGACTTGTAGCACGAGTGGTCGGCCTCGTTGAGGAGGGGAAACAGCCTGAGCTGATCATCGAAAGTCGGATTTTCGACCTTTGGTATGTTCACTGGTGCCACTGCCTGATACTGACTGCTATGCGTTTTTCATCGTTAGAAAACCATCTCCAAAGAGAACTGGGGAACGTACGATGTGGTCGCGTAGCTTTGCGGGAAAGGCAGCATAGGGCCCGGCGCGTGCTGCTGGGAGAACTGCAGGCTCTGATCCAGATACCCCAGGTCGTAGTTCACCATGCAGGTATTCAGAAGGCCTCGAGGTCCGTGCTCCCCTTCATCGAGACCTCGTTGCTCCGCAAGAGCCTCATGAGAGGCGGTCGCGAATCCAAAACTGCCCCAGTCAGCCGAGTTGTATCGAAGTGTCGCAAAGTCATAATCGTCGCTTGTCTGGTCGCTCCGAGGGTCGTCCATGTCGAAAGTGAATGCAACAGAGGCCACGGAAAGTCACAAAAGTATCGGGTCTTGCAGGATGCTCACAGGGTCGGTGTTGAAGGGAGAGTGCGGTTGAGAGCAACACCACGAGGGCAAACCAAACACGTGGAGGAGGGTGAAGAAGAGGATCTGGTTCGCTTGAATACGAGAGTGGGAGTAGGCAAACATAGCTGCCTGCGCTGTTCGCTGGTTGCCAAGTCCGCCAACCCAGGTCGGTTGCCCGGTCGCCTCGAGCCGTTCATGCCCCAGGCATTCATTCTGCGAACAAGTCCCTATTCGGGCTGGCGAAACGAGAGCGCTCAGGTAGGGTGCAGCTACCCGTCGCAGAGATGGTATGATTGCATGGCCAAGTCGACGACATAAAGAACCCATTAGTCCTCCAGTAACTGGTACGATTCAGTTTCAGCAGCGAGGTTGGCGTGGCCCGACGAATACAACCGTGGAGCCCAGAAGACATCTTGCATAGGACGGCACTGTAATCGATAAGGCAACCGTCGCACACATGCTGAGTCGCAAGACGGGTATGCAAACGGACATCGTGGGTCTGACTCTGTGTCCCCGCGGGCTTGCACCGTCTTTTCAGGTTGTCGAGCTACTGCCCCATGTAAGGCTTGCTCCGCACCACTCCGACTCTGCTGCCATACGAAGCGGGGTCCATAGCTGTAAATGCGTCTCATGTTGCATACAAAGGTCCTGTTGCAATTGCATCAGCAGCAACCGAGGGCTTCTCGGGTGTCGTAGAAAGAAGTCTTCCGACGAGAGCCGAGGTTTCGAACAGGAAGAAGCGGGTTTGGAATCTAGGCAGGGCTTGCGCGGAACTCAGTCCGTTGCCACCTTCAACCCCGGTAACCTGTGCGGGCATGGAATGTTCGACGAAGCAGAAGAGGCTGACGGGGCCTGCGGTGGCTTGAAGGCTGACCACCACTGCCAAGTCGTGGCCAGGGGCCGTGAGGCGTAGCCAGCCCGGGAGGCAGAGGCGCTGCGCCAGGACGGCCCGACAAAACCAATGCCGCCTTGGCCAGAGATTGCCGGCCTCTGGATCGAGACGCACTCCCGTGCTCATGACAGATCAATGCTGACATGTGCAGCCTCTTTGTCGAAAAAAAAAATTCCTTCCTGGGAGTTGGCTCATCTCTGACGATACGAAGCAGATGAGCGTTGCACGAGAGGCCGTTGACGATACGTAAACAAGGCCGACTTCGGTTCCGCTAAACGACTGTGCATGGGGCTCGAAGGACCTCGGATCCGGTCCATGGAGAAGATGCGGAGCCCGTGGACGAGTTCTGCGGCTGGCACAAACGCCACGCGGGGGCGACTGCATATTTAAGCTCTGGATCTAGCGATGGGGGTTACCCGAGGGCGGGCTGACTCGCGCGCGGGATGACTTTGTGCTCCTCCAGGGGCTTGATTTTCTGTATCAATCCGCATCGCCATGTCGTGGCCTGGGTTTTGGTTGCACAAAGGTCGCAGGCAGTGGTGAGGCGCCGGCTGAAGATGGATGATGGACGATGGACAACGCTTCGTCTGACGAGAGATTCGAATTGCGCCCGGCCCTCGAAGAAGCGAGGGGGCAATCAGGTGGTGGGTAAGGCACTAAACGAGATGCGGGGTGTTTCCCGCGAGCCCTGTAACCCGGGCAGGGGCAGGGGCAAAGCTGACCAGTCCCAGGCGTCGGCTGAGCCCTCGGTGGAATCGCCTCTCCATCGCCGGCAGTCCAGTCCACTTCGCGCCTGCCTTGCCTGAACGAGTGTGGAAGGACGGGTGGTCATCATTTGGAAAGATGGCACGGTCGCAGCCGCCGTTTCTGTGCTACTCGGTGAGTAATGCCTGGGACGGCGACCCGGGACACGGCCAACGGCGGGCAACCAGCCCTGCGCTGCGCTGCGCTGCCCGGGCGGACGGACGGGCTTTGGGTACAATCCTTTGCAGTATAAAGCAGGCACGCCGCCGCCCACCACCGACCTCGGATGGATCGCCCTCGGCGCATGCGCATGTCTTGGAATTTTCTGTCCCACACTCCTGTCGTGACGGGCTGACAAGGCTGCACGACGTCCTGGTTCTCGTTGAACTCGCGTCGAGACGGACAAGCTCGAGAGCAAACTCGCCGGCGCGACCAGTCAACCAGCCCCGGAAGCCAGCCCACGGTGTCGCGCGCACATCATGGCCGTCACGGAAGAAGTCTCTCGCGAGAAGGCGGGCAGCGCCTCGCTCAACGGCTCCCACGACAATGGACGCGACATCGCGGCCGCCGAGGGCCAGCAGTACCTGGACGACGAGGCCGTCCCTGTGTGCCCGCCCAACACGACGGAGCGCAAGCTGCTCACGCGCATCGACTTGCACGTCATGCCCTTCCTCTGTGTCATGTACCTCCTCGCGTTCCTCGGTATGTTATTGCGGACATGACATGGTTGCGTATTACGTGAACCAAGCAGCTGACGACGCCTCTCCAGATCGCGTCAACATCTCCAACGCCGACATCTTCGACCTTTCCAAGGACCTGAACCTCGGCACGGACGGCTACAAGTTCAACACGGCTCTGGTCATCTTTTTCGTTCCGTACTGCGTCTTCGAAATTCCGTCCAACATCCTCCTGAAAAAGTTCCGCCCCCATGTCTGGCTCTCCATCAACATGTTCCTCTTTGGCTTCACCACCATGATGCAGGGGCTTGTTCAAAGTTACAGCGGACTGTTGGCCACCCGCTTCTTCCTGGGTCTGTTTGAGACGGGCATGTTCCCCGGCGCCTTCTATCTCATTGGCATGTGGTACCGCCGTCACGAGGCCCAGAAGCGGTATTCGTTCTTTTTCAACAGCACCACCCTGGCCGGTGCCTTTGGTGGTCTGTTGGCTGCTGCCATTGGCAAGATGAGCGGACTGCGCGGCTACAGCGGCTGGCGCTGGATTTTCCTCATCGAGGGCGGCCTGACCGTGTTTGTCAGCTTCTTCTTCTTCTTCCTGTTGCCGGACTTCCCGGAGGACGTCAAGTGGCTCAGTAAGGACGAGAAGGACTTCGTTGCCGCCCGCCTCCGTCTCGACCAGGGTCAATCCGCCCGCGAGCGCAAGATCACGCTCAAAGATGTTGGCAACGTGTTCAAGGACTACAAGGTCATTGTTGGTGGCTTCATGTACCTGGGCCTGATCGTCCCTGCCTACGGCTATGCCTACTTCTCGCCATTCATCATCCAGGGCTATGGGTACACCAGAATTCAGACCCAGCTTCACAGCGTGCCGCCGTGGGCTGCGTCTTTTGGTTTCTCCATGCTCATCGCCTTCTTCTCCGACAGGATCAAGCATCGCTTCAGCTTTGCCGTCTTTGCCACCTGCGTGGCCATCACGGGCTTTTCCATCCTGATTGCTGTCGACAACAACCGGGACCTCCAATACGCGGCACTTTTCCTCATCGCCATGGGTGCCTACACCGCCATGCCCATTATTGTCTGTTGGTTCAACATGAACCTGGGTGGACATCACCGACGTGCCGTTGGCAGCGCGTGGCAGGTCGGCTTCGGAAACCTCGGTGGCATCATCGCCGTGTACATTTACCAGAAGAAGGATGGGCCCCGATTCGTCCGCGGACTGAGCGTGTCCCTCGGCTTCACTTGCCTCTCGATTGTGGCATGTTGCGTGTACGGCTTTGCCTGCTGGAAGGCCAACAAGGATCGCAATAAGAAGATCGGTGCCGAGCAGGAGCTCACGCGGGAGCAGAAGACGGAACTCGGTGACATGTCTCCGGACTACCGATATCTGCTGTAACGGCATTACGAATACCAATGTCATTGGGGCGCTGCTCAGATTGGATAATAGTTTTACACCCGCCTGGGTGCGAAATGAAATGTATTTGATCATGCTCGTTAACTGTAATTTGAGGCAGCCCTGTCGTGAAGTTTCGCTGGGACGAAGCACTCACTCAATCTCTGTAGTAAGATAAAACCGGGGGCATGAAGCCTTACACCGACAGGTCGGCAACACAGAGACTTGATTTAATCCTACATATCTTGTAATTTGGCTCTGGCCATCAGAAGCGAGTCGCGTTGAAGAGGTTCAGTCGCCAAGGCCGGAAGCTGCAGGGTAAACAGTAATAAGCCCCGAAGGTCGGGGCCTGGAGGGGCGTAATGGTCGCCGTGCCCCACGCAAATCAAGAAAGCCAACCCCGCCAAAGACCTCATCGGCGCGCCCTTCCAATTGGAGCTGCCCCACGCTTACGGCACACATCCACGCGGTTCGCCGAGCCTTCCAATTGCCACTACGTGCGAGGACTATAAGAAGCCTGAGCCCGCCGAATCGTGTCAATTTGCTTCGAGTACCGATTCTATACACAGTCGTCGCGCGCATATACCCAGATTCTAGCACGCAATGGCCCCCGAAGCGACTGTCCGACACGCCCGGCGGGAGGGTATGTCTGCCCCGCAGCCAGAGGAGTCGCGGACTTGAGGTTCCTCTGACGGACGACTCGCTGCTAACCGCCAAGCGCAGATGCCCCTGTGATCCTGGAGCTCATCCAGGCGCTGGCCGATTACGAGAAGGAGCCCGACGCCGTCGAGGCGACCGTCGAGTCCATCCAGGAGACCATTGCCTTCGCGCCCTCGGGAGAGAGCTCCGACACCGCGACCGTCCCGCACACCGAACCTACCTCGCCGTCACGGCCCGCGCGCTGCCTGCTCCTCTTCTCGCCCGAGGGCAAGGCCGTCGGCATGGCGCTGTACTTTTACAACTACAGCACTTGGCGGTCGCGGCCGGGCATCTACCTCGAGGACCTCTTCGTCCAGCCGTCCGAGCGGGGCCGCGGCTACGGCAAGCGGTTGTTGGTCGAGCTGGCCAAGCAGGTTGTTGCCATGAAGGGTGCGCGCCTGGAGTGGGTGGTGCTCAAGTGGAACGAGCCGAGCATCAAGTTCTATGAGAGCATCGGAGCCAAGGCGCTCGACGAGTGGGTCGGCATGCGGGTGGACGGACCCAACCTGGAGAAGCTGGCGCATCTTTTGGATTAGGACCGCACTCCTCAGAGGAGCCGCATAGACGGACGGGAGACGGCAGTATAGACTCGAAGAATAGAGACGACCTCATGAGGCAGAACTCTTGCCGACCTTGCGACCTTGCTTGTCCACGCCCTCAAAGATCTCGAGTTGTGACGCCGTTGGACTGGGAATCTTGGGCTGGACCGAGCCCCATCTGAAAGAGTAACGTAGAGTCTTGGGATCTTGGCTCATGGTCGGAGTAAGCTGCCAGGTCCTGTTGTAGGCTCTCCTGAACCACCTCGCTGACACGGTCGGCTTGCGCTCCTTGCCGCCGTACGGGCCGGGGTCACTGCCGCCTGACCGGACCCTCTGCGACATGGAGTTTTGCCTCTCTACCGTAGCGGCAGGCTGTGTAGCCCAGGGCTTCCAGTCAAACGACCCTGACGTGCTCTCCGGCGCGGCAAGAGGCTTCGCTGTCGACCGTCTCGCAGGGACTGCCCATTCGGCCTCGTCCTGGGCTCCGTTGCTCAGCCGCTCCAGCAAGTCCCACTCGCCTTTGCCAACGGGTGGCATGATCTTTTCCGCGCTTCGCCTCCACCAGTGTGCTTGTTTTGTTCGTACGAGGCTCTCCGCCGGCGGCTTGCCCCAGATATTGGTGGTGGGGACGAACTGATTTGGATCGGTGCTCTTGATGGCGGAGCCGGGCCAGCTTGTCGAGCCCTTGGTCTCCTTTTGCTGGTGCTTTTGCGACTGCAAGATTTGCAACAGCTTCTTCTGGTCCCATTTCTGGAAGAAGGCGTTTTTCTGTTTCTTGGGCCGCTGCGCGTCGGCTGTGCCCGTAGAGGTTGAGCTCTGCTTTGCGCTGCGGCGCTGATCCAGGAGCGCTTCTAGGTCCTGCGAGTTGCTCGGACCTTGAGGCTTGACGAACTGAGCCATGAGCTCCCGTCTGCGGCGCCCGGACCGTGCGAAGCCTTTCGATATGAGGCCAGCCATTGCGGTGCGGTCCCCGCTGTTGGCGGCTCTCAGCGTCCGCAGGGCGGACGAGGCCCTGGAGAGATGGGCCTTTGCTCGCGGGTCATATCTTCGGTTTCGATGGAAGCGATCTCGTATGCTGGAGGATATGGTGGCCCGGAAGGCTGGTGGGAGGTATGAGACCTCGCGGAGGATGTGGCGGTAGAGATGGAGGGGCGGCAGAAACGAGGGAATCGAATACGAAGGCGCCGGCATGGTGACGAGGTGATGGCGATGCTATCGCCAGCTCATGGTGAATGGGCTGCTGCTTGGGTCTGTTGCGGAGTGGACGCGGGTGGCGGTCCAACCTCGGAAAGCACAATACCTGTGGCTCCTGTGTTACCGGCGACAGCCTTCGTGGGCCCAACTCACGGCAGAATAGAGCGGAGTTTCCGGACCCTGCACGGGTCCACGGGTCGCTTTAAAGGACCGGTCCGGCATAAGCTATGCATGTGCACCATGTTCTGGAACCACGGCTTGCATGCATTGCCCTGACATAGGTGCTGTCTGATAGTCGCTGCATTGCACGTTGCTACGATTGTGTCAATGGCCGCCGGCCTACGGACGCTAACAGCTCGTTCTGTGACTTCCAACTTGCCCAGGTGTTGGGGGACACTGTGCGTACTCACTCACCTGTAATCAGGCCAATTGCCAACCTGGAAGGCGGTGACACAGCGCTGCCCGGCGGAAGCCCCACTGGGCACCGGCGGCGGGGGCTGCCTGCTGGCAACCTGCGACCCACTGATGAACCACCTGGGCACGGGCGCCCAGCCACCCCTCACATCCACCCAGATTCCCAAAAGCGTCGCGGTCGCGCGTCCTCGACACGCCCTGACACGAGGCAACCACGAAACCGACACGTCTCGATTAATTGATTTCTCGCCCAGACACCCATTCCACCACGCGCTGCACGGCTTTTCAGGACCTGTCGCATCCCGCCGCAACACCCGCAACGTCCCGCACGGCCTGTGCATGTCTGGTTAAATGACATACGTTTGCGTGTTTGCGCTGCAGCTCGCCCTGAAGCCCCACGCCGGCCCATCCATCCATTGACTGATCCTGCCGACGCTCGCACACGCTGCGACACGACATCATCATCATCAGCTTCACCGTTATTGCCCAGCACCTGGTCACGGCCGCAAAAGACGTGGCCCGCCTGCACGCACTCAAAAGCCAAAGCCAAAAGCCAATTGCGCGTAAGCCCGCGGCTCGTGCTCCCACGCCCGCTCTGCCGGCCGTGGAGTGGAGGCGTCCTTGACTGGCCTCCCCTCCCCTCGCTTGTCGAAAAGAGGCACGCTTATTACAAGCCCACCCTCGCTACTTCGTACCTCCGCCGCCCGCGCTTCCCTCGCTTGCCTGCACTGCAGCTGAGCCTCGACCACACTCCGCCAGCGCACCGCCAGCGACGACCAGGACGACGTCTGCCACGAGCAACCGCAGCTCAACTTTGCGCTGCGTCGAGCACGCGCATGCGGCATCATTTGCACTGACTGCCCAGTTCACGCAAGGACCATCGCGCGTCGTGCACGCTTGCAGGCCCGCGCCGCCAGGGTCCTCCCACGGCAACGTCGAGCATTCGCAAGCGCCCATCCCTTGACGCACCCTCAACCAAATCACCCTCCCGCCGTGCACGACAGGCTCAACCCACAATGCCTTCGGCGTCGCAGCCAGCACCGCAATCTTTTACCATGAGCCAACAGTCGCAACCGAGGCATTCTGCCTCGTTCCACCAAGGCTACAATGGCCCGGCGGAAGCGCCGCAAATCTACTCTGTATGCCTTCCCCAGCGACAAACCGTGGCGACAACAAGCTAACTGTTTGTTTTCCGCAGGCCTCGTACTCGGGCGTCGACGTCTACGAAATGGAAGTCAACAATGTCGCCGTCATGCGAAGACGCCACGATTCCTGGCTCAACGCCACCCAGATCCTCAAGGTCGCCGGCGTCGACAAGGGCAAGCGCACCAAGATTCTCGAAAAGGAGATTCAGACCGGCGAGCATGAAAAGGTCCAGGGCGGCTACGGCAAGTACCAAGGCACTTGGATCAAATTCGAGCGTGGTGTCGAAGTTTGCCGCCAATATGGCGTCGAGGAGATGCTACGGCCGCTGTTGACGTACGACATGGGCCAAGACGGTGGTGTTGCTGGCAGGGGAGACTTTAACACGCCCACCAAGGAGCAGGCCATGGCCGCGCAGAGGAAGCGCCTCTACAACTCCAGTGTCGATGGCAGGCCCAATGGCCTTTCAGGCACCTTTTTCAAGAACATCTCCAGCACCGCGAGCCACGCTGTCGCCGCTATCAGCAAGGCACGATTTGACTCGCCCGGTCCCAGGAGTCGCAACGGGCCGACCCGAGCACCCAGCTTCAGCCGACAACCCTCTATGCAGAATGGGGATGACTTCCCCGGCAACTCCCAGCAGAGCTACGCCTCCGACTATGGGCAGGGGGTGGACTCGGCCTATTCGACCCAGCAGCAGCAGAACGATAACAGTGCAGCACCCGAAAACGAGCCGCCGCGGAAGCGACAGCGAGTCACGATGACCCCGGCCGATATGTTTGGAGGGGGAGGGTATGGCCAGAACATGGAAGTGTACGCCACGACGTTTCCCGGCTCGCCCACAGAACCCAACGAATCCTTCATGTACACTCAAAGCGCCGTGCACGACCGGACTCCTGCCGAAGAGGGCAACGGATCCCTCCCTCCTCTTCCCTACGAGATGTCCCCCGATATCGAGACGAAGCGCAGCATGCTCATGGGTCTCTTCATGGACTCATCGGCGTCTGACACCTCCAAGCATGACAATCTGCAGACCTTTACGCCGCACGAACTCGATATGCCCATCGATCCCCAAAGCCACACCGCGCTCCACTGGGCGGCAACCCTTGCGCGCATGCCTCTTCTGCGTGCGCTCATCGCCGCAGGCGCGTCTCCGTATCGTGTCAATGCTTCCGGGGAAACAGCACTCATGCGCGCTTGCCTCGTCACAAACTCCATGGACCACGGTTCGTTTCCAGATTTGCTTGAAGTTCTGGGCAGCACTATCGAGGCCCGCGACCACAAGGGACGAACCGTGCTCCATCACATTGCCGTTACCAGCGCAGTCAAGGGACGAAACGCGGCGAGTCGCTACTACCTCGAGAGCCTTCTCGAGTGGGTTGTCCGACAGGGCAGTGTCCCTAGCAGCCAGAACCCGCAACCGAACGGCAACCTGCCGAGCAGCTCGCAGTCCGCGGCGCCGAAAATGGGCATCGCGCGCTTCATGACCGAAATCGTCAACGCGCAGGACAGCTCGGGTGACACGGCACTGAACATTGCCGCCAGGATCGGCAACCGGAGCATCATCTCACAACTGCTAGAGGTTGGCGCCGACCCTAACATTGCGAACCGCGTTGGCCTGCGGCCACTTGACTTTGGCATTGGCGGCGACAACACGGAAGAGCAGGCAAACGGTGAGGGGGCGGTTGAGAAGAACGGTGCCCCTGGCTCTAGCCAGCGGACCCGAGAGAGCAGCGACGAAATCATTGCCTGTAAGGCAGCCCGCTCAGACAAGCCTGCGAGACCGAAGCTGACCAAAGCATAGCAATCACACATTTGCTTAATGAGACAGGTGCCACTTTCCAGCAAGAAATGAAGTCAAAACAAGCGTCCCTAGATGCCCTGCATGCTACCCTTCGAACGACCTCGACCCAGCTAGGCGAGGCGCGACGCAACATCGAGCATTTGACTGCCACGTTGAAGAAGCAACAGCTTGCCCGCCAAAAGGTTTCGAATCTCGCCCACGCGCGCGAGGATGAGCAGATACGGCTCATGAACGAGCAGTCTCAGTCGTCACAGCCGAATCCTTCGTCATCCTGGGAGACGGAGCTGTCGGCCATGCTCGAAGCTGCAGACGAGTCTGCCGCAGGCGGAGGCGTCGAGGGCATGCTACCGTCGGCGAACGTCCTTCGGGCACGAATCCGCGCCATCGAGGGCCGGCGAGACTTTACACGCAAGATGGTGCAGGCTCTCAAGCTCCGCAGTCGGGACGTTGAGATCAAGTACCGCCGCGTCGTGGCGCTCTGCACAGGCGTGCAAGAAGCCGATGTGGATGCAGTAGTCGACAACCTGCTCAAGGCCGTCGAGAGCGAGCGGGAAGAGCTCGACATTGGGCGTGTGAGGAGGTTCCTTGGCGGCGTCGAGGGCGTGGTCCACTAGGAGTGTGACTGCACCCGCCGTCTTGGAACGAGCCTCTCGTCCCCAATGTACTCATAATGTCTATACCTCCTTGTTTTGTGTTTTTCTTGGGGGCGAAAATGTGTTAGGATAGGAGAGAGGCTAAGCGCCCGGTACGATAACGTGTTCTGTTTGGGCTGCGCCATTTGGGTTCGATTGGATGGCTTCTGTTTTTTTTTTCTTATCATGCTTCCTTCTCTGCTTTCCGGCCGCCAAATGCTGTCGGGAGACTGGGGGAATTGGCGTAACGGGGGAAAGCTCGCATTGGTTTTAACGCACGCACGCATGTCGGCGCCGTGGAGGAGATATCACGGGACGCTTTCGGTCGGACTTGTATTTCGCAGTCGTCCACAACGCACAAAGGGGAAGGGAAACCTGAGTCGTGCTGAACAATGTCAAAAAGATACTGTATCCTCGAGAGTGCGCATGGTTTTGTGAAAAAACGTTGCATGATGCTATATGGTACGTAATCTGAGTAGGCGGTATAGTACAACCCTGTCTGATACCTAAGGGTGCTAAAAAAGAGCCCTTCTTGCACCAAGAGACCGCTGCATCGCCGTTATGAATCGACGCACGCCTGCCCGTGTAATACAACGATGTAGATGTAGATGGGGAGCCCTCCGCCCAACGCCGCGCAATGCATATAATACGATGTCATCTCCCGTAGCCACATGGACGAACGCAAAACTCGTCAGTGCCCGCGATGGAAGAAAGGAGGACAAAAACAAACGCCTACGCCTACGCCGGCGTGCCGTCACGGTAGACGCCCTCCCAGCGCTCCTCCACGCTGCCGACCTTCTTCTTCAGCTCGCCAATCTCGCCGTCGAGCTCCTCCGCGTTCCTCGACAGCGCGCTCACTTCCTCGAAGCGGCGCGAGCGCGTCGCCAGGCGGAGCATGTCGTCGACCATGAACTTTTGCTCCTCGAGCACGGCGAGCCGCTCCCGCAGCTCCTTCTCCTCCGTCTCGAGCTGGCTGACCATGGTGCTCGTCTCGCTGGGGGCCTGCGAGGCCGTCTCCGAGTCTGCGAGCTCCGTGTGGCGCAGGCTGGATGTGGACTGCGTCGGCGTGGAGAGGTAGCGCGACGAGGTGGACGGCGTGGAGCGGTGGCGGAGGAGGCTGGGTAAGCTCTTGAGCGGGAGCATGTTGGTGTGCAGGAAGCTGCTGGAGTATCGGTATACGGCCTCTTGCAGCCGCTTCTGTGTCGGGCTGTCTGTCGGCAAGTTTCGCATCCGCTTCGCTGCCGTGCCGTACTTGCCGAAACTGTCTATCAGCCGCTTTCGTATTTTGCTTGCCTCCTGGATCTGTGCATGTGTTGGCGGCGGTTTTGACAGGTCAATCTCCCCGTTGCTCAGCTTCTCTGGCTGCAATGCCATGAGCACTCGGTGAAATGACGGCAGCAGTTGGCGTATACCGCGTTCAAATTGGCGTAAGGTCTCGTACGCCCTCTGATCTGGGGGTTTATGTTGAAGGGATGCAGTAAAGTCGCGGCTCGAGAATATGGTGTGGTTGCACTCTCTGCACATCCTGATGCTCAAGTGCATTAAATCTGTCCCGTTGGCCTGTGCCTTTTCTTCTGAGGCCTTCTTCGCTTTTATGTTGTCAGTATCCGCGAGGGCTGAGTGGTGATAGGGAGCATACATCCGGCGACATTGAGGCCAACTTCCAAGGAACAACCCGTCTGTGGGTCAGCGCAAACCACACGACCGCATATCCGGCAGTGATGCCGCCTGAAGGTCCAGGATCCAAATTCTTGCTGGCAAAATGGGCACTTGGGCACCGTCTCGTCCACCTCCCATGTGACAACTGACTGCTCCAGCAGCTTGCGGGTATCTTTCTGACCCATAAATGACGATACCGGGGCCAGGAGCGAGCCGTTTGACGCCGTCATATTCTCGGGAGGATCCGCCAGGAGGCGCGTCAACTTGGTCAGCCGCTTCTCCAGCCGTGATACCTCCAAATTCTGCCGCTCGACCTTCTTCCGCCGTATGTCCGCAAAGGTGTTCATATGGTCGACGGATACCCCGACATGGTCGTTGTAGCCCTCTCTCGACTTGTAGCACGTCTCGCAGACTCTAGCCCAGAAGCCCCGGACCGGTTCGTGGTTTGCGCTCCTGCTCAGCTTCATCTGATACATGGTGTGCTCCTCGCAAAACAACCGCCCGCAGTTTCTGCAGTTGATGCTTCCGTTTATGGGCCCGAGGCCCTTGCCGCATGTAGGGTCCGTGCAGACATCGTATGCCGTTGACCGCTGCCAGTGACTTCGCGTTATGAGTTCGTCGGGGTCGACCGGCCCATCGTGGTTGATCTTGCCAGTCGAGACCGGCGCATGAACGTGGTTCGACTCGTTGGATTCGAACACTTCGAGGCCACGAATCTTCTGGTTGATCAGGGACAGGGGCTGAAATCGCTTCGCTTTCAGGACTTGCTTGTCGAACCACGTCTTGACTTCGTCCTGCTCCTCCACGGGCAGCTCTTGATGGTTGTCGTCGATGTGCCGATTCAGTTGTAGCAGTGTCACCTGGCCCTGTTAAATCGCCGCAGATACAGGAAGAGCATACGAGACCTACCATTTCCTCGTTGCATATCGGGCAAAACAGTGTCGAGGCGTCGGCCGCGTTGCCCTTGGACTGCGCCCCAACGCTGATGCTTGAGCCAATGTCCTGGCTAAAGTCGGGGAGACTCCCGCTGGCGTCTGGCGACAACGACGGCGACCCGATCGAGACCGTGCTTTCCGACGGGGCGAGGGGGCTGCTGGAGCGAGGAACTGTCGGCGGCGTCGGCGGCGCAAGCCCTTTGCCGCTGCCCAGGATGCGACCGCCGCCCAGCTTCCGGCCAGACATGGCGGCGGGCGACGCGACGAGCGAGGTGTGGCCGGGTCACAGCAGCTCGGAGGGAGCAGACGACCGCGGCTTGCCGGACCGTGCCTCGACTGCTTGGTGCAGCATGCTACGACAACGAATGTGGAAGCTGTGAAGACACAGACGGCGGCTGGCTGGCAGGTGACGAACGCTGGATGCGAGGGCGTGCCAGCGGCCGTGTCAGCCGCCTGACGTGGTTCCCCGCCATTGTTAGCGAGGCACGGCACGTCCTTGCGAAGCGCGGTGGCGGACTTGGGTACCCCGCTATGTGAAGCTCTGCCCCTGCCGCCCTCAGCGCCTTATCGCATCTTATCGCCCTGACAGTCCTCAGGCTCCTTCATTAGCGCCGACCAGCTGCCTCTAGCTTCGTGCCACTGCCGACAATCGGATCCTGTTTCTGCACCTGCACACAGCGCCCAGGAATGGCAAAGACGTTCCCCGAAGTGCAGCCCGGCGGCAGCTTGATCCTTGCATGGCAAGTCAAGGACAAGAAGGTCCTTGTGGTCGGCGGAGGTGAAGTACGAGAAACCCACGGCTGCCGCAGCACGGTCGCCGGACACTAACACGCCCAGGTCGCTGCCGGACGAATCCTCAACTGCCTCAATGCCGATGCCAACGTCACCGTCGTCTGCCCGGCGTCGGGCCTGAACGAAGAGGTCGCCTTCCGAGTGTCGCAGAAACAGATTACACACGTCGATCGAGTGTTTGAGCCGTCAGACCTCGATGGGGCGGACATGGTGCTGGTGGCCATTGACGACCCGGCGGCATCCACTACCATCTGGAAACTCTGCAAGGAGAAGAAGGTGCCAGCGAACATTGCTGACGTGCCGCCCGAGTGCGACTTTTACTTTGGGAGCGTACACCGAGACGGTCCGCTGCAGATCATGGTCAGCACGAACGGCAAGGGGCCGCGGCTGGCGGCGTCCCTCCGGCGATTCATCGCCGCGCAACTGCCCAAGAACTGCGGCAACGCAATCGAGGCCATCGGCGAGCTGAGAACGAAGCTACGCAAGGTTGCTCCGAACCCTGAGGACGGACCGAAGCGGATGCGATGGTAAGTATCACGACTTGCCTTGCGAGGGCCCGCTAACACAGTGCAGGATGTCCAAGGTCAGCGATTCGTACAAGTGGGAGGACATGTGCAATCTCACCGAGGAAGACATGGAAAACCTCTTGCTCTTCTACCCGGCCAACAAGGTGCCGGCCATCGACGTCTTGTTTGCGCTGCGGGGCGGCACCGACGTCAAGAAGCTCGACGTGTTTGACGGATCGTTTGGATTTAGCATTGGGATCTGAGGGTAGCATTGTGCGGCGTTGGACGATGTCTTTGCATCCTTGGTATAGTTTGGACTTGAGACTGCCTGTTTTCAAGTTGTGTGTTTCGTTGTATGTGTACATCACCAGGAGTCTTGTGTGTATAGGAACAGTACATGGTCAGATTTTGTAGGAAAATTCTCCAGAACTGAAGTAATAACAAGAGAATTCAGCGTCTACTTGTACTTCCGTTCAAGCAGCCGAGATTGCTGGTCATGCCCTCAATATAATGCGCTGAGGTCGTTGATGCGCACAATCAATGATTAGTCATCGGTGTTGGCGTTGCCAGACGGACCGCGACGACATCACGGCCTGAGAATTGACCGACACAGTCTCTTCACCCAATCGTCACTCAGAACCATTTTTGTCAAACCAGAATACCAGGGCGACGCGTTTATTGCCTGAATCTCTCAATTTTTACATCAAACCCCACCATACAACCTCCCATCAATTGCCTGGCACGCGTCTACGCGTCAGCGCGTGTGAGCTCAAGGCATCCCAGCCGCAATAATGCCACCGCGACGGGCGGCATCACGGGCTGCATCCAACTCTCATGACGGCTCCAGCGAAGATGTTTCTCCACCCTTCTTCAACACCACCTTCTCAACACACCGCGTCTCGCCACTCTTCGTCGGTGCCGAGGGGTTGACGAGCGCGCGACTGCAGCATCTCGCCCGGCGGCTTCGCGACACGCTCGTGGGCGATGTCGTGCGCGGTATTCAGGTTGGACTCGAGGCGGCCGACACGCCTATGGGGCAGGTCGGTGCGCTGAGGTCGGTGTCGATTCGATGGTTCCAAGCCGAGGGGCTGCTTGGTGACGCGGCAGCTGAGGAGCTGGAACGGGACGAGTCATGGAGTCGGCTATCTGAAGAACAAAAACGAGGCCTTTGGGTCGAAATTCGACACGAGAATGCTACGTACGTGGCGGTACTTCTTCCAGCGTTCTCGACAGGCCATGACGCCTCGAAGCCATTTCCCTGGGCAGTCGATACAGATGCCAAAGCTGTCGGACAGGCTGACGGATCCCGATTCGTCTCACTGCCTTTACTTCTTCTACGAATGCCACAGGCGCTGAAGGCCGTCATCAGTGAATGGCTGTCCAGTGTTTTCGACTGCCACGTGAGCAAGTTGGTGCTGGGAACAAAGACGCTCGTCAACGTCTGGGAGGGTTGGATTAAGACCAGGGGCCTTCCCAACAAGGGGCCAGACTTTGTGTTGACTCTGTCCTTTAACGCGCCCCTTTCTGACACGCAGAATACTCTAGCGGACTCCGACTCCGACTCCGACTCAAAAGAAGAACCTGGCTTGAGGACTTTGGAAATTACGATATCTCCGTCGGATCTGCGACGTTTCGTCCGCGCTGGAGACGAAGACGGACAGTACCGACCTTCCACTACCAACACCTGGGCCAACGACGCCCGCGAACGTCGGAGGCTCGCGGGAAGGCACGCGGATGACGGATGGGCGTGGCGCTCGAGCGACCGGCCCCCGAACCACCCGTTCACGGAGGCGCTCGCGCGATACCTGGACCACCATCTGGCACTGAACCTGTTCCACCCAGGCGTGCGTGTCGTGCAAATCTCCTGCGGGGCGTTTGTCCTTGCGCAGTCAAGGCTCAAGGTCGTGAAGCTTGGAGACGTGACGGTGGACTTGGCGAGTGCCGCCTGGATGTTCGTGACGCAGCTGGGCGCGAGGCTACAAGACGATGGCTTCGCGGCGGTCAGGTGAACCGCCCGGGACAATTCGACACGAACAAGCAAATGGCAGCGGTGAAAAGGACCTGATTGGCACTACACTATCATATTGGTGTCTGAATGCTTGACACGAGAACGGCTGGATTGTTGGCACACTGCTCAGTTTTCCGGTGCCTGTGGGGTTGCACGCAGCCTATGCACGGGCATATGCTGCACAGGGCATGATGCGCATCGCTAGCTCTGCAGAGCCAAGCCAGTGGCAGATCTCGGCCGACTACATGCTCTTGCGTCCTAACCAGCTGCGCCTCTACCGCCACGAGCGGGGGAAGAGCAATCGCATCTGCGGGGGAAATTGTCGAACACGACCTCAAACACGATCAGGGCACATGATCAAGCCCCCCAGGTATGCTTCGTGCGCCACCAACATTATAGATCCATGCGCTGATCATTAGTGTCACAGCCAGCGTCTTGGAGAACAGATCGTGAGCTCACTTGAAACTACACAACAGGCCCTGTTGGGGACCTTGCTGTCAGGTTGGTCGCCACATGAACAACACGCAGCTAGGTGAAGCGGTCAACATCGTCGACATCCTCGTTTGTCACGTCTAGTCTGTGCTAGTGCCCAGCCGGGAGATCCCGAGAATGCCGTTGGTGCGGATCGGTTGGCCGGGGGCTTCATCCCAACGGCTTCCTGAGCTTTGTTCTGCAACGTTGTGGTGGGAAGGTCCATAGAAGATCTGTCAACGGACGGCTCGGAAAGCATCCATTCATTCACGGCCAGCCAACAAAGCCATCGACCGCGTGGCTTCCTGCATGTTGGAGACCCCGCACGGTGGCTTGTGTCGGTGTAAGTGGGAGCTAGAGTCGGGGCGCCGTACTGGAAATAGAAGTTGCTTTTCTATTAGACATCGAAACCCCATCTTACCGACATCGGGGGTTGGTGGTGTCCGTGCTGAGTGACCCCGTCGCAGCTCGCCCGGCCATTCTCACGATGCTATGCTTCTTGACATGGGCCAACGGAAATCATCGAGACCATGTCTCAAGGGTTTATTCCATGTATTGGCAGCTGTTGGACGTCCGGCGAGAGTCTCCCAGCTCCTTGGCGAAGACAGCACGCAACAAGCCAGGCACGTCACCTGCCGCTTGCGGCCCGTTGGGGTGGATGTGTCGGGCTAAACTCTCACACGTCTCAACTGAAGGGGGCAATTCCTTGACTAACAAGTCCGCCCCGAAGAGGCAAGAATGCATCCACGAACCCACTTTTGCCCGGGGCCTGCGCTGCCTCCGGCACGCGTGGCCCTGAATCAATTAATTGCCGGCCTGTGTCGGCATCCGACGGGCCACGGCGTCGGTGGAGATGGGACCCGGGATGGGCGGCGTCGACCCCCCGCTGCAGAGTTTGGTCTGGCCACCGATCCGGGCGTGGCTCGACTCTGCTGCGATGGCGGAGGTGGAGGAGTTTGCTTTTCCCCCCAACAAGCGGGAGGGAAGGATAGATAAGTAACGCGCAAATCGACTGTCCTCTTCGGCCCGGCTCCATCGCTATCAGTCACGTCATCCTCAATTGTCTGCCTTTGGCACTTGCTCGTACGACTTCACTCGCTGGTCGACTGTCGGTCGTTCTTTTATATCAGACTGAGCCGGAGAGAGATTGGAAATCGCAGCAAATGGCAGTAATACACGAGACGGAATACGACTACGACGGAGGAATCGACGCAACACACGCAAAGGCGACTACGGAGAGACACACGACGACAACCGCCACGATGCCCGACGCGACCATCTTTCCGCCCAAGGACAAGTACAGCTTCCTCGACGACTACTCGGAGGGAGCGCACCCCCAGGTGCTCGAGGCACTGATCGCGAGCAACGCGACGCAGGAGACGGGATATGGCAACGACCGATACAGCGGCGCGGCGCGACAGCACATCCGTGACCACCTGGGGCGCGGGGACGTGGGCATCTTCTTCGTGCCAAGCGGAACGTCGGCCAACGCCATCTCGATCGCGGCGTGCCTGCGACCGCACGAAGCCGTCATCGCGGCCAGCTCGGGCCACATCGTGACGCGCGAGACGGGAGCGGTCGAGGCGAGCGGGCACAAGATCATCAACGTGGCGCCGACCAACGGCAAGCTGACGCCAGCGAGCATCGAGAAGGCGCTTGACGACAACTGGCACTACCCGCACATGGCGAAGCCGCGGCTCGTGTACATCTCCAACGCGACCGAGGTGGGCACGGTGTACTCCAAGGCGGAGCTGGGGGCCATCAAGGCGCTGTGCGAGGAGCGCGGGCTGCTGCTCTTCATGGACGGGGCGCGCATCGGCGCGGCGCTGACGTCGCGGGTCAACGACATGACGCTGGGCGACATCGTGGACCTGACGGACATCTTCTGGATCGGCGGGACCAAGAACGGCGCGCTGCTGGGCGAGGCCGTCGTCGTCAAGCACGCGCAGCTGGCGCAGGACTTTGAGTTTTACGTCAAGCAGCACGGCTCGCTGCTGGCCAAGGGCCGCATGATGGGCGTGCAGTTCGCCGAGCTGTTCCGCGGCGACCTGTACTTTGAGCTGGCGCGCCGGGGCAACGCCGCGGCCGAGAAGCTGTCGCGGTCCGTCGTGGGCGCGGGCTACGCGCTGCGCGCCGACACGGAGACGAACCAGGTGTTCGCGGTGCTGCCGCTCGGGCTGGTCAAGGAGCTGCAGCGCGACTTTTCGTTTTACGTGTGGGAAAAGTGCGGCGCCGACTGGGCCGTCGTGCGGCTGCTGACGACGTGGGCGACGGACACGGCACAGCTGGAGAAGTTTAACCAGACGGTGCTGAGCTGGGCGCCGTGAGGAAGTGGTCTGGCTGTGACGATGGATGTTGATGATGATGATAAAGGGTGGTGTTGATGACGCTCACAAGAGGGTCGTGACGCGGGATTTGGTTCTCCCGGGCGACAATGACTTTGCACGTTACATACATATACTACATTACATTAGAGCATCGGCATTAATGGGAAACACGGGCTTGCACTTTTGGGCACCGGGCGATTGATATCAATAATTCACAGATGGTAATAAACCTCATGACATCACCTGGAGGCTTGAACGAGGGCAAGGCCATCCCTGGATGTTACTTGCGCGCCTCGCACTGCCTCCGTCTCCAGCAAGCTCAGCAGATCTGCACCCGAATGAGGTGCCTCCGCCACTCTAAGCCCCGGGCGACTTCCTCCGCTGTGCTGCGGCGCCTTGCCCCTGTGGAACCGACCCTGAAGCCCCCTAAGCGCCCCCGGGCCCCAGTTTCCTCAGGCCATGGGCCACTGAGCGCTCGACCCCTCTTGCTGCAATGCCCCCTTTGGGCAACACCCGACATCCACTCGATTGCCCGACCCAGGCACCAGACGGGAGGCTTCGATCCATCGACCATCCTCCCTCTCCACGCATGCATGACGGATCTTCCGCCGTCGCCGCCTCGCAGGGCTGTGGCTCCGTTGCACGTCACCCGGGCTTGGGCTGACGGTCGGGCGAACCGGCTAGCGCACCGGGGTCTGGCCTGGTCTTACGTCAGGGCGCTGCGAATAACCACAAGTCGCCGTCTCACCTGATCGACGAGTCCGCTCCGAGACGACGCCCGCCAAGCCCTTGCCAAGATGGAGGGGAAGCTGGACGTTTCGCCCGTATAGATATCAATGGCGTAGCTGCCCGTCTCGTCCGAAGGAGCCTCGACACCACGTCGTTTATCATGAGCGCTTCAGAAGCACACCACCGAGACGCAATGACCACGCATCCCAACGAGCTCCCACCGCCGTACGACCAGGACGAGCAGCCCAGCGGCCAGCTTCCCGGCGGGCCGAGCTCCACGCTCGTGCTCGACAAGTGCGACGTCTACGCCATAGACGCGCCCTCGCGGCCCCTCTACCGCCTCAGCAACCCGCCGTGCGAAGCCACCACCAAGGTCTACGGCGTCGAAAAGGTGCGCTACCGCGTTACCGACGGCGACGGCGACGAGCCGCGCCTGCGCTCGCGCCTCAATCACATCTACGACTTCCAGACAAAGTATTTTTACTCGCTGCGGGACCTGCGCGCGCCCGTCGTCGTCGAGGGCAAGACGAGTCGCAAGCGCACGTACCGGAGCGTCAAGGTGTCGGCCTCGGTGACGGGCTGGTCGGGCTGCGCCGCCGAGGACCACTTCAAAGCCGAGGTGCGCCTCTCGGGCCGCCTGCAGCGCGGCGAGGGCGCCCAGATCCTGTGGCGCAACATGGATGGCCGGGTCGTTGCCGCCGAGACGCGGCCCACGCGCGGACCCGAGGGCATGGTCGAGAAGCCGCCGCGCCTCGAGGTCCGCGAGCCGCTCGATGAGATGGACCTGGACCTGCTGGTGACGTGCTGGGCGGCGCGGCTGTGGAAGGAAGCCGAGAAGGAAATGCGAGAGCCGCTCACCTGGGGCGATTGTGAGTGCAGCCTCAATTCTGCTTGACGGACTTTCTCGTCCAATTCGCTTGCCGGACATCCAACTGACCCGCGTTTGCAGTCAAGAGAATCGCCGGACAAAAGAAGAGATTCGGCAACACGCCCATGCTGGGCAGCGGGGCCCTGGGGCTATTGGGGACAGCTGGGATCTGAGGATCTGAAAGGAGCCTTGGCTGAAAAACAGCATTCATGATAATGATGTATTCCAATATAGCACCTGTATTACTTACCCGCATGTTGTGGCGGACAAAGGATCTATGTGACCCGCCGGGGTATTGTGCACCCGCAATTCGGTCAGTTTGATGGGAAGGCATGCAAAGCGTCACAAACAAGGCCAGGATACGTCGTACTTCCGAATGAATGCTGGCGGCAGACATGTTGTACAAACTCAGCGGTCGGTGGGGGTGATGCGGATAATTCGGAAATATCAGTCGCTGGGCCGTTCCTTCCCAGCTTCCAAACAGATCGGAGAGGGGTGTGGCATCTATCGCCATCCCACCCGGGAGCCGGCGGTGGAGACTTGTTTCCATCACCCTGCTCGCCGCGGCCCTTTACTATCAACCACGCGAGCACGCACCGGAAGAGAGGCGAAAGCTGACGAGCACCACGACACTTTGGCTTGGATTGACAGCCAACGCCAGCCCCGAATCGGACCATCCTCCCACGGCCGGCAGCACGGCGAATCGGCTACGTCTCCAGGTTGCACGCCGGAGGCGACTCGGGCCTGGTAACCGGGCGTCGCAGACCGAGACGTTTCAAATCGTCCGGTAGGGCTGCTTCATCGCGCACGCAATGGCGCCGGATGTCGGTGCAACGCCATGCTCATACCGGAAGTGGTCTGTCGCCTGACCCCGCAGGATGAATGATTGGGTGAGCTGACCAGATGTAGCCCATAGCCAAGCGCGAGGGTGATATGATTACGGTCCGTGCCTCGGCCGTGTGTGTCGACTTTACGAGGCTGTGGAATCGAGAGGGGAAAGAAAGGGTTGCCGTCTATTATCCCGCTGTCCCGTCTCCCGGGCTCCATCGCCCCCGTTGACTCCACCAGCAGCTCCGCAAGCAAGGGTCAGCTGAAGATGCCGGTCCGCTGTCCCCACCCTTTGCCGCATCTGCGGATACGGCGCCAGAGCGTCTTGGCTCCGGGACCAGAGCGTCGGCTGTGGCTGGCTGCGACGCAGGTGCTGGCGGAAATGTCGAGGCAGGCGGGAGAGCCAGCAATCGGCGGCCACCAGGCCATACCACACATGGACGTCCAGGCAGGAACCCTTGTTGAGCTTTGGACTGACACAGTCTAGTTCGTTCGCCTCTGACGATGCAGCAATGCGGAGAAGGGTCCGTTATTTCCGCCCCAAAGCCCGGCACGCCGCAGCCGAGTGATCGGATGCCACGAGCCGAGCAGGCACTCGTCTGAAAATTGTTTACCTCGGGCGCGCACGCATCATCTGTCAACCTCGTTTCATGATACCCGACCGGCATGCAAGGGTTCCACGGAGCGGACCAGGATCAACTGCCCTCAGATTTAATATAGCCAGCGAGCCCGCCCGGACCGGCAGTCATCTCTTGGCGCAACCATCGATCGCGACCGACCCTCAGTAAGGCGAGTCAAGTCAAGCCGAGCCCTCGACGCGGAGCCGTATCGTGGCACGGATCAACCAAGTCTGGCGAGTCGAAGGAGTGTGTTGCGCCGTATTTTGTTGCTGGGCAGACCAAGGTGAGTTGCATATGCCGGCAGCTTCAGCTGCGGATCAATGCCAAGCTGTCACTGCCACTGCCGCGGCGCCGAGTCCTGTTCGAGCACCTCGTCGTGTCTTCACCATGCGGTGTATGAGCTGACACGCCATTTTGTAGCTCGCTCAACCGGTTGAACCAACCCCCCCGACCACTCTAACCGCGAGCAATTCGTTCCTTTCATCTTTGTATTCCGTGGCCGACGCCAACAGACCAGGTGGTCTCCCGGCTGTGCGTTCATGAAAGTAATCGTCACCGGCGCCACCGGCAACGCTGGCCGACAGGCTGTCCAACACTGCATTGACAACCCCCGCGTTACAAAGGTCGTCGTCCTGACACGGGCGGCTGTCTCTGGATATGTCGAGAGCCATCCAAAGGTCGAGGTGGTGATGCACCAAGACTTTTCCTCATACCCTGAATCTTTACTCCGACGACTGGAGGGGGCCCAGGCGTGTATATGGTGTGTTCATCTTGCCCGTCGCATTGCGCGGTCGCTTCGTTCTCTGCTCACGCTCGCAGGGCCATTGGCGGCCGAGTCGACCAACTCAAGCACGACAAGAACCTCTGTCGGCAGGTTATACTGGAGCTCCCACTCGCTGCATCGAGAACCTTTTCCCAACATCTCGCCGGGAAGACACCCGACGGTACAAAGTTCCGCTTCATCTTTTGCAGTTCAAAATACGCCGAGAAGACCAAAAAGAGCTTCCCATTCGTCAACGACCCGCGCCGGTACGTCACAGACGCCGAAAAGGGTCTCTGCGAAGTGGCCGACGCCAATAAGGCCCAGTTTGAAGCTTATATACTACGGCCTGCGAGCTTCTACGTCTCCGACATGCCCTCTTCGCAGCCCACTACGCCGACCAAAAAGCTAGTTGGGGGACACAGTACATCAACCATTGACACATCCCAGGTCGGCAAGGCCATGGTCGCTGTGGCTTTGGATGGGTGGAAAGACCGCATTGTTGAAAACGATTTTCTCGTCAAGATGTAAACTATTGCAGTAAATTGTAGCATGGTCAGGCGTCTCCAGGCGATTCTCCTTCTGTCGGATACACTCCTAGCCTTTGACAGCAGAACTCCGTCAATACAATAACGCTTGGAGAGATGCGAGGGCAGTATTGATCGAGTATGAAACCTTTCGTCGCCCTGAATCTCTTCGTTTGCACCCCTCCAATCCTCACACCGTCTCCCCAAAAGGCCCACACAGATCTCAAGCATCGATACGCCATCGCAGCCAAAACTGCCATCGTGAAGTAATATGGCCCCAACCTGGTCTCTCTGATGCTGACGCCTCGCCTACCTGGTTCGCACCGTAGCATCGCGTCGGCATTGTCAATGGGCTTCGTCGCTTGCAGTAAACCAGATCTAATTGACTTGCTTGGAATGGCTCTATTCTGCCGATGGCAGGGTTCTGGAAAGAAGGGGAGGATAAGAGAGTGGCGACGGCCCTGGGGGAAACTTGTCCCGACGAGCGCTGGGCCTGCGACGGACTCGTGGCCTTGGGTCGTCGCCCTGCGGAGGAGGAGACGACATCTCCGGCTGCTCGTCGTCATCGTTGTCGTCGTCGCCCTCAGCGCCGGCGGCGGCACCAGAGGCTATGTGGCGGAAAACATCGACTGGGACGCCCAGCACGGCCGTGACGAAGAGCAGGGCGGAGCAGATGCGGCTTCGCTGAGGCTGGGCGGCGGCAGCGGCGGCCGTGACCGGGGCGGGCTGATGACCATCGAGGCTAGATGGAAAGCACGCCAAGCAGCCTACCTCAGGGGACTCGTCTCCATGATCCTGGACATCGCAGCAGAGCGTGCGCTCGTCGTCGTCGTAATACGCATCATAGTCGTCATAGCCGTCATCGTTGTGTCCGTCCTCGGTCATGTCAGAGACGGAGGCGTCATAGCCGCTGTACGCAGACGCGGGACTCATGCTCGCCGAGACGGGGCGACTGGCGCTTTCGTAGACGTTGGCGGGATCGGAATAGAACCTGGAGACGACGTGCATCCACAGCGTAGGCGAGTTCGGCGCCAGGACGGGACTGGTGTTCGTCGTCGCGACCCTCGGCGTGGGGGGAGGCGCATTTGGCGTTGGGTTCGCGAGGCCGAGGGCATTCTCGACGGGCCCGCCCTGGATGATGCGGTACGTGCCCGTCGTCCCGTAGTGAGGCATTCTGCGCGTGTATCTTTGTCCCAGTCTTGCCGAACGCGGCGTGTTGGACCTATCCGTCAGCCAGGCTGGTAGGCTTTTGCCTTCGATGCTATCGTGTAAGACGCACGCGACGTCGCAAGGATCGCAGCGGCGGCGGTTGTCGAATGCACCAGCCAGACGACTGAGCCACCACGGGGAAAAAAGCTGCAGATGTGAGAAAGCAGGCGGACGAGGCCACAAGAAAAGGAAGAAACACAATCAGCCTGGGAGCAGCGCACGTGGCGTGCGTCAGGGCCCTCGACGAGAGTTTGCGGCTCGGGAGACGCCGCCCCTGGGGCGCGCCAAAGGACGCCTACTTGAACTTTATGTCCTCGACCACAATCATTAAGTCACGTTATTTCTACTACGCGTCTACTTGGGAAACGGCCGGCTGAGAAGAAAAAAATCTTGAGGTGCGTCGTTTGTCTGTAAATAACGCAACTTGCACTCGCATCGCAGAGTTGACCTGTGAGGTTTTGCGCTGCGTCGCTCCTCAAGACGTCAGCTCTCTTCTATCAGTCATACTCGAACGAGACCCTATTATTGCTACGAGCCCGCCGGACAACAGTATTGCGCTATCTGCTTCCACTTTGCCGTTCCTTGAGACATCAAACACATCCCCGATACAACACGAGGTCGACACAACAAGACTCTCGGACACTACTACGTTCAATGTTGGTGTTGGAGCTCTCTTGGCCGCCCCTCAAGACATCTGCCACGTCCCCTAATTATAAAATTCTCGACACAAAGACGCTTAGATCGCGACATATCCGCCGAGCAGTAATACGTTGTCGCCGTTTGCTCCTGATTCGCCAACACTCAAGACGTCGACCACAACCCCAAGTCAATACAGACCTGTCTAGAGAAGACTCCGCGACAGTCCTACATCGGCGCTGTTGGGTTCCGCTTCCCCACAGAAAACAATACCGGCTACCCGACAATACAAACCTATCGAAACAAGGCATCTGAAATAACGACGTGCCTGCCGGGCAGTGGTGCTTTGGTGGCCGCCTGCTGCCCTTGGGCAGGCACACACCTAATCGCTCGAAAGGGGGTACCATCAGACAGGGGATTGAACGCGCATAGGCCGACCGCGTGTCAAGCTGCGAGGTGAAGCCCGTTGAGTAGCTTTTGCGAGGCGGTGCAATGGCGTTCAACGCAACGGCAACGCAGGTCTGGAGTACCCCCCTGAGCACAACGACCGCGGCCGCGTCTCCCGCGCCATCAGCAACGGACTCGGCCCATTCCTGGTTTCTGCTTAGAGACGACGCGACTGACCTCACCATGATTGGGTTCGTCATCCTAGCTTTGCTCGGCCTGCTGCTCACTTGTGCAAAATCCGACCTGGTCAAGTACCTGCGAGCGCGACGCATCACCAAGGACGCCGCGGCGGAGGAGGAGCAATGCCACCGGCGCTGGATCGACGCAGAGATGGGGCGAGCAACACATGGCCGCCACACGTCACGGAGATTATCCTGCTCAAGTTGGGGCTCCGATTCGGGGTGGGCGTTTACGAAGCCGTTGATGTTGGGCGCAATCGTCGTGTCGGAACCAATGGAAGTCCACTTGTGGATGGGAAAGTGAGGCTGGTTGGGTCTTGAGGCGGATAAAGGAGGGCTGGTAGTAGCTACTCTGGTGCATGCGGAACGATGCAACGACCCTGATGGCTGACTTCATTGAAGCTGAACGTCCCGGTTTGGCGGTCAATCGGCTGTTGTTGAGTGCTCCCCCCTTTGGCGAACAGTCTTTCAACAACACCACATAAAGACACTCATTGGAGAGACAGGTATAGCTTGGGCGTTTAGACGGAAAACATGGCTTGATTACTTACACGAAAAGCGTGGCTTGGGTTATATTCGAAGCAAAGCCTCAGTTCATATGCGAAGCATCAAATAGCGCTGGAAATATCACCACCACCAACTTCTCATTCACCCCCAATCTGATCGCTTGGCGCATGCGTGCAGCGCATGAAATGTGCCTGTTTCTGGCTCAGACAGCAGTCTTCACGGCCTTGTCTCCATCAGGCAGCTGCTCGGTTTGCACGTCCTCGGCCAGGCCCTGCATGTCATCCTCTCCCATCTCGCCATTCCAGCCATTTTCGACGAGGTAAACGCGGAACTTTTCGTCCTGGATCGCCAGATCCTCGCCAGTGACGTTGGGCACAAAGAACCACGTCACCAGTACACCTACGACGCCGCAGATGGCGGCGATGATAAAGGTCCAGCGCTTGCCCAGGTTGTCCTGGATAGGCTTAAAGGCCTGGGTGCCGAGCGCGGCGCCCGTCTTGCCGATGGCGGCGCTGATGCCGTAGCAGGTGCCGCGCACGCTGGTCGCGTAGCTCTCGGAGGAGAGGAGGCCGAGCATGTCGCCGGGACCAAAGTTGCCGCTGCTCTGCATGAGGCCGTAGAAGACGACGAAGAGGGGGATGATCTTGGTGATGCGGTCGTACGAGAGGCCGATGATGAGCCCGAAGACGAGGTACCCGGAGAAGCCGAGCATCATAATGTTCTTGCGACCGACGCGATCGCAGAGGTACGCGCCGAGAAAGACACCCGGCAGCGCAATGGAACCCAGGAGCAGCTGCCACTCGGCAGTGCTACGCAGGACGTCATCGCCCGCAGAGGGCACAACGCTGGAGATGATGGTGCCGGAGAAGACGCCGTTGGGGAAGGTGACAAAGTCGTAGAGGAACCAGGCACCGCAGGTGCCGATGAGGGTGCGCCAGTAGTAGCGCAGCACGAGCTTATAGGGGACGTGCTTCTTGATGGCGCCGCGGCGGTAGAGCTTGGAGTTGAGCATGCGCAGGCGGAAGTAGAAGACGGTCAGGGGCAGGACGACGCCGATGCCCATGCAGACACGCCAGACGGTCGACAGGTTGGCCGTGGCGCCGCCGGCGGCGGACAGCACGATGAGGAAGACGATGACGGCGAGGGGTCCGCCGAAAGAGAGGGGCAGGTTGGTGACGAGGATGAAGACGGGGCCACGGTGCTTGGGCGTGTGCTCGTTGGCGGCCTCGGAGGAGGAGGCGCTGGCCGCGGGATACTCGCCGCCTGTACATATGTGCCAATTGTTAGCCTTGGCTCAACTGCGCTCACACTAATGTTCGCTTGAGTGTGTCTGTCTATGAAACTGGGCATAGTGTGGTAGCGATGGTGTTTGTGCAAGATTGTATCGCAAGAACTCAAGAAGATTGAGAGATGTAAACGCACCAGCTCCAAAGCCGACAATGCCGCGAGCCACAGTCAGCATCCAAAACATGCCGTCAATTGTTTTGCCGTGCGCGGCCGTGGCCAGGATGCCGCCCAGGACGATGAGCAGCGTGGTCAGCACAATGGCCGTCTTGCGGCCCATGTAGTCGCACGTCAGGCCGATGACGACCTGTCCGATGATCTCGCCAACGAGCAGAGCGTTGGACACGCGCGTGCTGACTGTGGACGTGTACTCGGCGGAGAAGGCCTTCTTGAAGAGCACGTTGGTCATGGTCATGAGGTTGTTCTGGTAGCCGTCCGAGATGAGGGCGAAGCCCGCGCAGAACTGAACGGAGTCATTGTCAACACCAACCGGTCATGACAGTTAGAAGAGAGTCAACTCACGATGGTGAAAATATCCGAGAGGGACTGCTTCTTGCTGACGGGCGCGGGCTCGACCTCGGCGACGGGGGTGTCATCGCCGTTGCCGCGTTGATGCACGACGGCGGCCGTCTTTTCTTGCTGGTTCTCATCCATGGCGTAGCGTGGCTCAGGTCGATAGCTTCAACAAGTGGCTTTGAAGGAAATTGACAACGTCGGGAGACTTGTCTAGATGGCCACGCCTCGTTTTTGAAGTCGCACGAAGTCGCGGTCGCGGCGCGGGCCTCAGTGCGACCCGTTCCTCCAGTCGTCGCCCACTCGGTGTAAGCCCGTGGATTCTCACCAGGACGACGAGAGCCACAACTGGCGTCTCAGCGGCGGCAAAGCAATGGAATATCTTTCCACGCGTTTTTTCTTTCTCTCACGACAGATTGAAAGAGCCAATGCGCGTCGTAAGGTCGCCCATGTGACGGATTGAATCCAGCCTGGACGAGCGCGACACTGAGGGCGGTGGAGCGACTGGAGTGCCGAGTGTCCAGCTCGGCTCTTTCGTGCCGGCCTGGCGTCGGTTTTATCTGTAATTGTGCCTGTCTCTCTCCCCGTGCTGTGTCTCTCGCCTGTCGCTCGCCTCTCGCCCGTTCGGTCGGTCGTATCCGCCTGCTTACCCCCCTTGCCCCCCTCTGCCCATCTTGCTGTGTGGCACGTGTGCCAGCGGGAGGCGTGCAGCATTTCCGGATTAGGAACCCACTGGTGCAGGGACACGGCTCCTGGTGCCGTGGCCCCGCCCCCCTCCCCACGCCGGAGCTCGCTTGGCGTTTGTGGCTGACGGTGGGGTGGGTTGTGAAGAAGTTCAAGACTCCAAGGACAGAGGCAAAGGGACAAGGGGGCTCGGGTAAGGCGTCGGGAATAATGACAGCAAAACAAGATACCTGGGCATTGATGATGGACCAGGTGGCCTCAGGCCTCATTGTCCCTGCCACTTTCTTTCTTCCCCATCCCTGCATTACGGTGTCTGTTGATATCAGCCACCAGCTGCTTCGAAGTTGGCCCTGGCCGACGGTGGTCCTGTTGTCAAAAGTTCATAACATGCAGTCGGTAGTATTGACGTAAAGTGGGCACTGGCCAACGCCGTGTGTCGGGCTCAACTCTTTTCGGATCACATCAATGTGGCTCCCCTTTTCCTACATATGCGTCAAAGTCCGATGTCAAAGCATGCGTGACTCTCCTGTGGGGTGAGCCGCGTCTAACTAACGTTTTTCCAGGTCTGATTCCTGTGTCTTTGTCAAGCTTTTCATGTCATGGCAAGCATTGGCCATGTCTGGTGTGGATTTTCGCCCATCCCGTGTGGGGTTGGCCGCAAGCGAGGTGCTCCTGCAGCTCGGTGTCTGTCCGCCGAAGATTTTGCAACGGCGTTGCCGCCAACGGTTTTGAGCTTCCGTAGTGTTGATGGATCGCAATCTGGGGTAGCCTACCGCCCTCCGCGCGGGGTTCGGTCGCCACATTCCCAAGTTGGGCCGTGTCGCCGGACAGCAGCCTGCTTGGCCTCCGTAACCGCTGGTCCTCCACACAATATCCAATGTGATATAAAGACGGAGCTCACCGCGAACTCAGTCGTGGCCCAGCGCGGGCGCATGAAAGGATTTGACGGTGTCAGTTTGGTTTCTGTTGCCTCTATGGGCGTTGGGCGATATGTGGGAAGATTCACAACTCCCGTCCGCGGTACCGTGTCAATATGATATATTCCTAGAATTATTGGAGTTTGTTTTATCTGCGACCTGTTTTGCGTCGTGCAATCTGATGAGCAAAGCTGTCGTTGTAAGGGCTTGTGCGTGTCATTGTGGCACTGGGGTCTGGTCTGAGTTGTCGATACTAGTTCGCCGTACTCCGTCTCAACCCCGCGTTTCGAAGGCAGCGAAACACTCCTGGGAAGTATCAAAAACGCCGAAATGGTGCCGTCTGTATGCTCTATCGACGAGCTCGCAGTATCGCCTTGTACCGCAGAGAAAGAGATCGAACGCGTTGCCTGTGCCGCATTTCGCTGGATTATAGCCATCTATCCAGGGCAACTTGGGTGCCTTTTCGTGTGCATCCAGACATTCCTCGGTCCCTCCGAAGCGCCCGTCGTGCCCAAAGATTGGAGGATTGTCAAAGCACGCGCAGTATGCCCTCGTGCCACAATCCTGCGCTGTTGCGGGACGGTAACGCCCACATTCCTGGGCCTGTGGGCCTGGTTCCGTCCAGATAAGTTTCCCGAAAACCTTTTGAGGTATAACGCCGGCCATAATAGCGATGCTTGCGAATGCAACGGTATACTTCATTGTGCCGCGGTCGTGGTTGAGATGAACGTGGAGATACGGGTGGCCACGGGGATCGACTTTGGCGATTGCAATTGAGCATGAATAGTGAGCGACGAGACGACTAGAAGCAATTGGGGTCCTGCGGCTGTGGGCAGTCCCATCGCTTTATAGACAACGGTTGGGCAGTTGTATCCTCGGCGCAAGCCCGGGGCCTGAAGCTTGGGAATCCTATCCAGGGTTCTTTGCGGTTCCTGTCCGCACAGCCGTTGAAGTCAAGCTCATCGCTCATCTTCCTACGGTCGCACCATGACTTCAAACACTGGACAAGAGTGTACAAACTTTGAAGTAGTCAAACGCAAAGCCTACTCCAGATCAACTGGATGCATGCGTATATCTGTCTATCCTCTATTTGACTACTGCTGTCAGTGATGTGCACTCGAGCACATAGCAAGCCGGCGGCTTCAATGTTTGTTTGCCACGGCCGTCCCGCAACCGGGAGGAAGACGAGTTGATGCAGTGTACCCTGGACTTGAACTCTATGTCAGGCAATCTTACGTGTAAGCGACACCGAGGCAATCCTGCTTGTGATTCGGTACATCGCAATGTGGATGTAG